TTAAAAGTGCCAAGTTTGAAGACGCCTGAGCTAGCTGGTAGTGGTGCATATTAATAAACATGGATAAATTCATCATACATTTTTCAGTGCAAAGGGAAAGTGATTCAGCAAAGGAACAGCCACTGAAGAAATTAAAACTGGTACTTCCCCCCCCTTTTTTTCTAGAGTTTGTAATATTTTATTAAATTATAGAATAAAATACAAAAAATACAAAAGCAAATAGTAGGACACAATGGGGAGGAAAATGGGGGGAAAAGTGAGGGCGAGAAAAGAAAAAGAACAGACTTCCTCTGTTGCAGCAGAAGGAAGCATTAACATTGAACCTCAACTTTTTACTTTTCCATAATATTATAAACTAGCTTTTTCTATAACAACAAATGAATCTAATCAGTAAAACCCAAAATCCTCTCCCTTGTTTTTTAGTCATCAAGTTTTTGATACCTTGCCAAGCACTGGTGGTACTCAAATATTGTCATATCCTAAAAATGGTACAATCTGTGAAAAGGTTGAAAAGCCCTAATATAGAATATCAAATGAGTCTATGTTTAGAGTCTAAGCTTCTAGAATAGTGGTTCTCAACCTATGGGTTGGGACCCCATTTGGGGTCGAACGACCATTTCACGGGGGTCGCCAAACAAGGCTGTCCGCCATTTTTTCCCCCATTTTCTTTGGCCACGTCCCTGGCACCCGGTGATGTATAAGTGGTTGGGGGTCACCACAACATGGGGAACTGTATTATGGGGTCGTGGCATTAGAAAGGTTGAGAACCACTGTTCTAGAACTACATCTTACCTGAAAGGGAGCTTGAGTTGTATATAGGTTTTCTACCTAATACATACTGTAAGGATTTGTTTCAGTTCTAGCAATTGCTGGAACAAGCTGTGTGCCTTGGAACTATCCATGGTCCTGCAAATTATATCTTGCCTTGCTGACAGTTGCTTATTTTGGCAGCCCTTCTCCACACTCCCTATTGCAGCCTTCTATAAACAAGAATCCTCTAGAGCAGGGGTATCAAACTGCTGGCCCACGGGCCGGTTTCATCATACCAAAGCTATGCCTACCTCATTGCTTGCAATGCAAAAAGAAACACGATATGTCGCAACACATCACATGATGTGGTGAGTTTGACACCCGTGCTCTAGAGACTTTCAGTTTATCAGAATAGTCGCCAGCCTGGACTACCAGGCTGGCGATTCAATCGGTTATAAACTTGATGGAAATTATAACTCAGTATGGGAAAGTTTCTGGTTTTAAGGTAAATAATAATAAGACTAAAATATTATCTAAAAATATGATTATGAAGGAAAAGGAAATGTTAGTTAAATTGACAGGTTTTGAAATTGTGAAAAAGGTTAAATATCTGGGAGTATATATTACAGCCTAATGTAAAATTGTATAAAAATAATTATGAGATATTATGGTTAAAAGTACAAAAGGACTTTCCAAAACAATTGGAAAAAATTACAATTATCCTTGTTGGGGAAAATTTCAGCTGTTAAAATGAATGTTCTACCAAAGTTTTTTTTGTTGTTTCAAATGATACCTATTTTGAAAAAAGATGCCAATTTGGATGAATGGCAGAAGGGTATTAATAAATTTATTTGGGCGGGGAAAAAACCAAGAATTAAATTTAAGATCTTACAAGATGCACAGGAAAGAGGAGGACTTAAGGCGCCTAATTTGAAATTATACTATGATGCGGTGGTTTTAACACTGGTTTTAGTGATTGGCTTAATTTAACAAATAAAAGTATACTTCACCTTGAGGAATGGGATTTATTATATGGGTGGCATGCATACTTAATTTATAACAAAAAAGTTAACCAGACTTTTAAATCTCATATTTTAAGAAGTGCTTTATTGCATGTCTGGAAGAAGTATTATTATAGGTTAAATTATAAAATACCAATCTGGGGGATTCCTGGACATGTGATAGAGGGGTATCTATAGGTGTGAATTTGGATAGGATTTCTTATAAGGAATTACTTAGATTGGTAGGGAATGATTGGCAATTAAAACCATTAGTTGAGTTAAAAGCAAGAAAATATTGTACAGTCTTGGCTTCAGTATAATCAATTGTTGGTTAGGTGGAAGTTAGATCAAAAGGTTGGTATTACCTTAATGGATAAGAATTTGGTAAAACAGATTAAAGATCAAAATCGAGCGCATATAAAGAGAATTTATAATGCTTTAATAGAATTGGATTCGGAAATGGATTTAGTTAAAGATTGTATGGTAAAATGGGCCCAAAATATTCAAGAACTGATTCCATTGGATATATGGGAGGTAATTTGGGTTAGAAATGTAAAATTTACCCAGGCCCAAAATTTAAGAGAAATTTTTACAAAATGTTTTATAGATGGCATCTGGATCCTAAAAAGTTGTCTTGTATGTATCCCAATTTACAGCCCAAATGTTGGAGATGTGGTAGCTTGGATGCTACTTATTTTCATATCTGGCGGACTTGTAGAAATATAAAAGCTTTTTGGATTAAGATTTGGTGGAACATTCAAAAGATTTTTAGGAGAAAGATAAAGTTTACCCCACAATTATTTTTATTGGGTGTTATTGTAGATTGTGATGCTAAAGAAATTAATTTGATGTTGAATTTGATAACAGCTGCAAGGTTATTGGTAGGGCAATATTGGAAGAAGGATTGCTTGCCTACTATAGAAGAATGGACGCTTAAAGTGTCAAATTTAGCAGAAATTGTGAAAATTTCTGCTTACTTGAAGGATCATTCACAAGAAAGATACATTTCGGTCTGGAGAAGATAGATAGATTATATTCAGAATAAATATGGGACTAAAAAGTTCCATTTAGTTTATGAGTAAATTTTAGAGTATTATTATTATTAATAGTTTATTATAGTTGAATTTTTATTAGTTTTATTTTTAATATTAGTATTGTTTAACAATTTGGATATTGTATTGTTTAATAATATATTATTATGTTTATTTTTATATTTATGTTAAAGGGGAGTTAAAGTGCATTATGGACTTGGTTATTTATATAGTTGGTTAATATTAGTTAGAGTTTGATTATTATATTTGTAACCCTGTACTCAGCTCTGGGAAGTGGGGGAGGGAGAGGGGGGTTTAGGGTGGGGGGGTTTTGGGGTGTATACTGTAATTTTTATAAAACTTTTCAATTAAAAAAAAAAGAAGTACCAGGCTGGGAATCAATGTTTATAGTTCCCCAGATGTTTTTTTTCTACTGCTTTTTATCTTCTACCCATATGTCTGCTCCCAGAAGATTTTATTCTGCCTCTGCAAGCCTCAAGCCACCAAAAGAATCTAGGAACCAGCAAGTGGGGATAACTCTCTTCTATGGTTGGAGTGTGAATAGTGTATTATTGTGGGATCAAAAACTGGAAGACCTACCCTTTCAGCCAATTTTTATTTTTCTTTGTCAAGGAGTGTCAAGTTCAATTCGCTACTTTAATTTCCACCTAAGGTAATATTGTAGAAGATATGCAGGTTTCTAAGACTGGCAAAGGTGATCTTGACTTAATAGAAATGCAGATATTACAACTGTGCACATAATCACAAAACTTTGAATCTAAAGAGCTACTAAAGCAGCACTAAAATATAATTTTAAAGCAGCAGAATATTAAAAACATCATCTTATAATATCTACCAATAAAAATAGAAAATCACAACCAATACCATAAAATGGTAGGTGAGGGTTAAGAGAGTGGAAAAAGTGCTTCAATCTTGTAATCCCCAATTTGCAAAGGAAAACAAAAGATTTACATTGAAGTTAAAATTTACTTTTCCTCCATCTCCATAATTTAAAATGGCAATATATTTAGTTTTACTTATTTTTTTGTCATCCTCTGACTTTTAAGAAGTTTTGTTCCCAAATTCGAAGTCCATTCAGACACTTTCTTTAGAATAGAGCTTCTCTGAACTATTATTTTTGGGGGGAAGATTTAATTGTATTTTTTTTAATAAAATCACATATAGAAAGTCTTTTGTTATACAATTCCAGGCATTGTTCTTTAGAAAAATGTTCTTTTCAATTTAGTGGGATTAATTCCCAGAAGAGTAGGCAGAAGCCTGCAGCCTTAAATCTGGTACAATTACATATAATAATAATATGATAACAGAGAAAAGTTTTATTAAATTAGTTATTGTTAATAGCAAATTCAGGATAAGGAATGGACAAACAGCTTGCTGTAATTTTTTTCTCTTTCTCTTCTCTCTTTCCATTCTCTACAGGACTAAAACTCATTTAGAACACAAATATTTGGGGAAGCTGATACAATAATTAATTAATAATGCATGCCATGTTGATTTAGCACATACAGCACCTCAGTCATAAACTAATTAGATTTTTAAAGTCCCATCTCCTGGGACTTTATCATGGGAATAGATTAGGCTAAGGAGTCATATATGTTCAAAAGGTTTTTTGCCACAATTATAGATCTGCTCCCTCTTTAATTAATCTCTTCATGTAATTCATAAAATCATAATATGAGTTACAATAGAAGTTTAACGCACTTCAGTATGTGTACATGTGCATACACAAATGCGCAAACACATATTTACTAGGTACCTTAGAAAGAATAATAATTACAAAAGATAGACGTTATTAGGAAATAATTCAAAATAATTTTGATATACCCCCCAATACTCTACTTAAATCTTTTTATTTTTCTCCTTTGTAACAACTAAAATAGGTACCACTTCTAATTACACTCAAATCCATTCACATAAAACCTTTGCATTTATATCCACAGAATGGCATACAGTACATACTAAATTTGTGCAGAAGAGACACATATCCGTTCACGCTCTCCCTATCTTGAGGATTTTGTTCCTAAATTCTTATTTCAAGATTGTTTTAAAGAGGCAGCAGTGCTTATAGCTGAATGAGACTGCAAATAGAGCTCAGAATATACAAGCTTTTTTAAAAAGTGAAGTCTTGAATCCTCTTAGATGCAAATGTAAATGGATAAAGATAGTAGCTGCAAACAAGAAAGGAATGAACAAATACCTTTTGAATTCTTCCATTAATATCCAGATAAATACACTTGGGCTGGTATGCTGATGAGCTGCATCCCATCTTCCTAAGATTTGCTACAGTGAGACTTGGGCTGTAAATCGTTGGATTAACTTTACAGCAGAAATAAGGTCCAGCCAACTGAAACTGAACCACTATTTCTAGATGCATAAGTCTCTTCACTCTTTCCCATTCTGCAGCCTCAAACTACAATCCTCCTTCTCAGATAGGCAGGCATTTCCCATCACTTTTCTACTCCTCCTTTCATTTTTTTTTTCATTGTTGTGAAAGAACGGGAGAGAGCCAAGCTCCAGACCCCGTCGCCAAGTGCCCTCTTAATTCCCATAGCAACTCTCGATGGCTTCAGAGCAAGGAGTTGTTCTGCAATCAATGTGCAATGGCTGTACAGAAAAAGTAGGGTTTGATTAGCCGAAAGTAGCACTTAACCTTCCGCAAATGATCGACATTTATTCCACCGTTGGTGTTAAGGATTTTTATTGTAAGGTTTCAGAATCCATTCTTTTAGCTGTCTGTCTAGACATAAGAGAAAAAGAGGATGGCATTCAATCACTGGATTTATTTTAAAGGCACCGTACAGCAGCACCTGAAATTATTAAAGTTAAAATCGAGTCTTTTATGCACACTTCTGCTTTAATGGCCGAGAAGGAAGGAAGGAATAAAGAATATACAAGAATATATATATATATATATATATATATATATATATATATATTTTCTGAGGTTTTCGCGGGTGTTTGTATGTAGGTCTTTGGTTGTTCGGGTTTTCTCCCGCGTAAAATTGGAAGTGTCTTGGCGACGTTTCGACGAAGTCCCATTCGTCATCTTCAGGCTGGTGTTTTCAGCTTCGTGCTTTGAGCAGCAAATGCCTAGACACTTCCAATTTTACGCGGGAGAAAACCCGAACAACCAAAGACCTACATATATATATATATATATATATATATATATATATTAAGTGCCATCTACTAAATTATAGTGGAATATAAACTGTTCAGCTGTAGGGTGATCTATGGCAGGGCTTTTCAACCTTTTTACCGATTGTACCACTTTTAGGATATGGCAATATTCGAGTACCACCTAGCAAGGTGTCAAAAACTTGATGACCAAAAAAAAAAAGCTGTTCAAAGTTGCAATTGCATTGAAATGACTTATGACCATTTTTCACACTTATGACCATTGCAGCATGCCCAGGGTCATGTGATTTATATTTGGATGCTTGGCAACTGATTCATATTTATAATGGTCACAGTGTTTCAGGGTCATGTGATCCCCTTCTGCAACCTTTTGATAAGCAAAGTCAATGGCAGAGCTGCTGGTGGCCAAGTGCTAAGGCGGGACTTCCTTTCCTCCCTCCCTTCCCTGCCTCCCTTTTTCTCATTCCCATTTCCTTCTGAAAGAAGAATTTGAACCCCCCTCCATATTTTCCCTCTTCCATATATTGATCAAACAAGGAAAGGCCTCCAGAGATAGAAAAGACAAGCTGCTGAGTGAACTAGCTTAAAAAGGCACATTCCCCTTTACGAATTAGCTTCTGGCTAGAAAGGAAAGTAAGGAGCGCAGCCACCACTTAAGGAAGAAAAAAAATGTAAGTATTGGCTGCGGCTAAGGCAACCTCCCCAAATGGCTCCATTCCTAAGTAAAGGAATGCTACAGGCAAAATCCATTCAGGAGAAAAATACTTCAAAATACCTTGCAGTAAAACTTACAGCTAACAACAGCAGAGCAATAGAAGCTAACAGGAGACATCAGCCAAATAGAAATTGCCAAACACTCCTTAAGAACACAAAGTCCTCATTGCACAAATCCCAGAACTTCAAAGTCACAAAAGCACATAAGAATCCTTCCACTCTCCATCTCCTTCCCTCCTCCGTGCCTCACCTCCAGCCATTGCTGCCTTTTTTCATTCCTCTTGGAGGGCAACCCCCCCCTGCTGCATTTGTTGCCTGTTTGCTGCTGCCAGCACAGGTGGCTGCCACAACAGCTGTTGATCGGCTCATGGCCAGCCTGCTTGATCTCCTCTCCCCCCACCCTCCCCCTCCTCCTTCTTCCCCCCCTTCAGTGCAGCTGACTCTGCCTCCTCCCAAGGCTTCTGCTTTTTCTCTCTTTCCCTCTCCTGCCCAAACTGCCTTCTTTTATAGGCTCTCCACCCCCCTCCTCCTTTCTCATGGGGGAGAGTGAGCCAGAAGTGAGCCTGGGGCCTTTGCAGAGGACTCTCTCACTGTAAGTCCTTGCCTGTGCTGGCTCTTTCCCTCCCCCACTACACTTGGCTAGGCAGGGCTGCGTACCACCTGCCACTCATTAATGTACCATGAGTGGTACACGTACCACCGATTGAAAAGCCCTGATCTATGGGATAATGTTTCTAATTTTTGATGGAGCAGAATAATCCCACAAGGCTGACATTAAAGAATTAAAAGAAATAGAATAATTTATTTTCAGAACTCAGCTTGGTTGAATAGACCAATATATCATGACCAAATGATTTCAAGATTCATTGAGACTACAAATCTCAGCCAGCATGTTATAGTTCTAACACATCTGGAAAGATCCAAGTTTGATATAAAGAATGTTCACCTAGCTTTCACTGAAAGTGGCCTGCTATTCATTAAGTAATGTATTGCAGTATAATTTGTTTGCACAGTAATTTTTTTAGGGATGAATAAATTGATTACAAGTGAACAAATAATACTCCTGGGATGGAAACAATTCCAGTGTTGATATTCTTTTCATTTTTTATACTGCCTTGAATCACTCTTATGGATTGTAACAAAAATGGTGGAATCCATAATTCACAATAATGGCACAATGTCCCTAGTAATTTTTTTTTTGCTTTAAATTTTTATGAATCAATCACTCATGAAATTCAGGTAGCACATTTAAGCAAAAATAATGATCACCACAACAACAGTTGTCATAAAGAAGCTCAGACATTTCTATTAATCTATGCAAATCCAGAGTGGATAATTGTAATTCACATCACATAAATTTAGCAACATCTGGAGTGCCTTCCCTGCTTATCATGCAAGGCTTTAATCTGCAAACCTATATAGGAGAAATAAGCATCACTGAAATTATGGTATCTACTGACGAGATTAGAATTGCGCAATAAATTAGGATTTACTTATTTTTTTCAATTCAGAGCAGAACAATTCATTTTTCCACCAAATAAGACTAAAAATAGTATTCCACTGGGTCACTAAATCTTTTTTCAGTAGCAAGTTGAAATTTCCAGGCTTTATTTCATATAGAAGAAACAGAGAACATGGTGATAATGACGATGATTCGTTCTCTGAGGTAAGACCAAGTCCAATGTCATTGTCCAAACCTATAATTAACAAGTATATAACTACAGAAAGTATATACTGTAAACGCAGGCATCATTACATTGATTTTCTTGAAAAGGATCTGGATTTTTCCTATGCAGGCTGGATTGAATCCTTGATACCTGTTGCTCCTGACATCTGGAAGACAATGGGGTTGGGAAGATCTGACTTGGGAGACAACAAATGTTATGTCCGTGCTTCTTCAATATCTCTCTGGTGTAAAGGCAGGAATACAGAAAGTTCATAAACAGTTAATATAAGTGAAGTTACATTATAATCCTAATGTTCATTGTAGATTTGATGATAATCTCTAATTTTACAAAAAAATCTAATCTCTACGCTAACTTCATAAGCTATTCTCATATCACTCACCCCAAACACAGAAGAGATTTGGAGCGGGGCCTTACTTTTTAGCACATAGCTCAATTGATTTGAGTTAATCCTATTCTGATTAGAAACAACTCACTCATTTTAAAAATAAAAACTTGTAAAGAACCTTGACATATTACATTATTTTTCTTACCTAATACACAACTTTCTTTTCACTGCAGATTGATCCCTATCTTTTTATTTTTCCCTTGAGCCTTTTGTTTCTCTTTGCAATCTTCAATTTATTTTCTTTTACTGAGCAGTCATATGTCAACCAGAAAATATATTAAGATGCTATTGCATACTTCTGGATGATGATTTATTGCATTCTTGCTCTTTAAAGTGCTATGCCTTTGAAGTGTTTGAAAGCAGCTGGACCCTTTGGCAGAACATAATAAATGCTTAAACTCACTGTGTTATTCAAATTTGTACAAAGGCCACAAGCTTCAGGAACAAGTAAACAGTAAACAGAAAAATAAAGAGCAAAAGGAATGGAGATGCAAACATACTTTCCACTTTAGAGAGATGAAAGAAGGAACATGGATTATTTGAACAATGATTCCAGGAAACTCAAATGTGTCAAAGCATAGAATCACCTGTTGTGTCAAGTATACAACAATCTCTCACAGTCATTCTTTTCCCAATTTCTTTTTCTCTATATGCTTCTTTCTTCAGTATTTCTTTAACTAGTCTACTCTGCTTCAATGTTCAGCTCTTCTTCAATTTTGCCTTATTCACTACTTTGGTTCTTTTTCCTGGATCCTGCTGTTTCTGTTCAACTGAAACACAATAGTCAATTTCCAGAGGGAGAGCTGGGGAACTCTTACACACTTAATCTTTCCATTAAATAAAAGCACTTGAATCCTCTTGATTTAAGAACATCTGAGGAGATGAAGATCACAGTCTTTTGGGTAGACATATTCCAACTTGGAAAGACTTGGCTTATTAACTCTAAGTTCTTTTCTTAAGCAATTTTTAAATGTAATCTCTGTTTGATCTGTACCACCCTCTGGTGGCAATCATGACCACTGCAGGAGCAATTGTCTTCCATGTTTCCTAGTAGCTTTCCCATTTTTGCAAAGAGAACAAATTCTTTTAATTATTTTGCCTCTTGGCTTTTATCGAGGAACCTCCTGTGAGTATTCTTCCTTTTGTTCAGCCTTGTCTTTTTGTTCATTGTTCCTATTTTCATGCAGAAATCCAAACAAATGTTTTATACTAATGTTTCTTATAAGAAGTTGGGAGTAGAGCAGTTTAGTTTCTCATAGGAACCCTTCTTGGAAGTGAGGAGGACAGACCACAGATGCATTAAAGGTGGAGTCTTAAAGTATAGAGGAACTCTGAGAGAAGACTTCTGAAAAGAAACTTGGCACAACTTAATGGATATCTGTAATGGCAATTAAGATTGCTCTGTCTTTTGATTTGTGGTTTAAGTTAGGAAGAATATATAGACTGACAAACCTGAGTTAAATTGGACAGTGTTTGAATTCTTGTTAATTGAAGAATTGCTCAAAGATTGCTGAAGATAAAAAGATGGATGTGCTATGAGATTCATCTACCCAATACAAATACTTCTAGTGGAGTAAAGAATGCAGAAGATCAAAGGTTACCAGCCTGAGGAATGCCAGCTGTCAGCCTGACTCAGAGGAAAATTACAACCAGTATCTATAGGCACTTCCTTAACCTCAAATAAGGAAATATGTAGGGCAGTGATGGCGAACCTTTTAGAGACCGAGTGCCCAAACTGCAACCCCAAACCCACTTATGTATCATCGAGTGCCAGGTGGGTGTGGCCTATTGGGTGGGCGTGGCCCATTGGGTGGGCATGGCTGCAGTGGTAACGGCAGACTGGGTGGGACTAAAAGATTTAATCAATCAATTCCAACTTTGCGAGATCTCCCCCCTCACAAGAAGTTGAAATCGATTGAACTTTTTTTTTTCCACATGGTGGCAGAGGCCTAAAGTGAAAAGGTTTTATAAAACCCAGCTGAAGGCCTACGATTTGGGCAATGGTGCGCATGCCCACAGAGATGGCTGTGTGTGCCACCTGTGGCACACGTGCCATAGGCTCGCCACCATGGATGTAGGGCATAGAAATAAAGGAATGCCTACATATAAACTCCATTTTGTAGTGTATACATGTCCAGCTAGAAAACATTTATGCTACATGATACTCAGGAGTAAAACAAAAATCATTTGTATAGTCTCATAACTTTAAGCTCCTGAACAGCTGGGGAAAAGGTAGAGAGTGAAAATCATCTTAGCTGATATGACTGTAAATTATCTTGCAAGGCTTGGATGTGAAATCAAAACAGATGAATAGCTGCCATCTGCTTAATAAAGTTGAAAAAAGTCTGAAATTATTTTATACTGAGTTTTGATCAAATCCTGAAAACCCACAAGAACCCCCTGTGACAAAGCTGATGGGAAATATTTCCTTCTCAATATAAATGAATATATGGAGGGAAAAGAATCCCAACTTCCCAATTCCATCCCTATCCCCCATTGTAATAAAATGATTGGATAAGACACATATAAATAAATGTGTGTTTTCTTCCCGGGGAATCAGCTGTACCATCTATTTCATATTTGGGGTTAGTAGTGGCAGCTGCATTTACTAAGAAGGAAAGGCCACAGTAATCAGGAGAGGAAAATTGTATAATCTCAGGTCCATTTTTACTCTAACTATTCCAGTCTTCAGGTTTTCTATCAACTTGATCTTTTCATTATATGACATCAAGTAGGTATTGTCTCTTAGCAACCATATAGTTTGGCTTTCTGTAAGATGATCTGTTCCCAATCTGGCCTTTCATATTCTCCAATGATGCATTCATTACTGTTGTAATTGAGTTCATCCACCTTGTTGCTCTTTGTTCTCTTCTCCTGCATTGTAAAGAGCTCCATTGTGAAGAAACCCAGTGGATTAAATATGTTGGACAGTGAGACAGATCAACTGGCATTAAACAGTTAAAGGACACAAGTAAGTAAATAAGTAATTTAATAATTGCATACTGTTTTGTCCTTTTCAAAACGCACTAATAAACAAGAATCAAATCAGTCAAATGCATTCAGGGCAGTTCTAAGGTTTCACAGAGAAATATATAATGAAGGATTCTTGCAAATGTATTGTCATGAAAATATGAGTTTTTACACCATTCAAATTGGATGCTGGGGCAGTTCTGCATAAACAAAATGAGGGGGAAAGTCCCAGCAAGCCCATTGCAGAGGCCATCTAAATAAATCTCCCACATATATCAAATTTATGTCAACAATATCAACTAGTAAATTTGTTCAGCATTTATGAATTTACTTTATAATGTTTTCCTCAAATTAAAAATACCTATGGGAGAGAATAAATACAACAGCTGCAGTAACTATTGAATATTACTTTCAAATCCATTTCCACTTCAATCAGTTTCAAAAATCAAGCAGCCTAACAGATATTATCATTCTGAAATGCCTTGAAAGTTCTGTTAATGCAAGTTACTTGCCTCTAATTAGTAATCAGCTATAAAAATATTCAAGTTCAATATTTAATTGTACAACGAGAGATATTAATAACAATAGAAAAAGTTGAATATTTTGAACAGGAATTATTGTATATTCAACAGTCGTTTTTTTTTTTAAACAAAAAGTAAACATGACATAACAGGACAGACATCTGAGTCCACATTTTGCTCATTTTTACCACATTACAAAAAAGTATCCAGAGTTAATTTATTCCCCTCACTTTTTGTCTTCAATCTCTATATTCTCTCAAAACATAAAAGCAATCATGTAGTATAATATTTTGACAAAGTGAAGATAAAGGCACTTTTCTTTGGCTCAGTTCTGCTATGTAGAATAGCTAGGAGATCCTTTGTTTCATATTGTTACATTCCCGATGCTAATGTGCAAAGTTAAGAGGGGAGGTGCAAAAGAGTCAAAATTCTGATGTCTAAAAATAACCGTATAAGCTTTTCAGGAAATGCGATTTGCATGCAAATATTATTTCCAGGGATATCAGCAATCCAAAGAAAGATGTGCAATGACTTTTATATAGCAGCTTTCCTCTCAGAAGGATCAAGTAGGATTTCTGGATTAACCTCTTCAAAAACAATTGTTTTAAATAAATCTCTTGCCTAAAAGTTAGTGTTCCTTAAACCTACAAAAGAATGGAAGTATTAGAAAGTGAAAAACAAGAAATCTTATAAATTAAATTTATATATGTATATAAAGAAGGATGTATAGATGTTTAGGTTTCTCATATCAGGGTGACCACTACATAGGAACAGATATACAGGTAGTCCTTAATTTACAGCCATTCATTTAGTGACTGCTTGAAGTTATAACAGCACTGAAAAAAGTGACATAACCATTTTGTTTTACACTTACGACCATTGCAGCATCTCCATGGTCACGTGATCAAAATTCAGGTGCTTGGCAACTGGCATGCATTTATGACAGTTACACTGTCCTGGGGTCATATGATCACCATTTGTACCTTCCAACTTAGAATGGGACAACTTGTCGCAGACAACTTGCTATAGCCATCTCACTATGCCCAATCTGGCGTGGCCATCTTGCTGCAGAACAACTCACCTCAGGATAGTTCCACATGGGATAACTCAAATGTGATAAATGTTATCTGCCGCAATTTCTTTAATATTATTTCCATTGACCAAAATGAAAATAATGTAGAAGAAGCAATGGAGGACAACATTTCTTGTGATGAGTCATCCTGCATGGATTGGCGAGTTGTCCCCCGCCAGATGGGCCACGGTGAGATGGCCGTGATGAGTTGTCCTAGACCCTTCCCTTCCCAAACGATCAAAGTCAATGAAGGACGTCAGATTCACTTAATGACCACATGATCCACTTAATATCTGCAGTGATTTGCTTAACAACTGTGGGGAAAAAAGGTTATAAAATGGGACAAAACTCACTGAATAACTGCTTTGCTTAGCAATGGAAATTTTTTGGCTAAATTGTGATCGTAAGTTGAGGACTAGTGTCCAGAGCTTTGCACCTTGTACTATATACTAGAGGTCCCCAACCTTTGGGGCACCAAGGACCAGTTCCGTGGAGAGAGGTTTTTCCACGGACCGGAGGGGGTGTGATTTTGTGTGCTGCCTGCATCTTGTGGATGGGGCTTTGCTTGTTTATGTGGCCCGGTTGCTGGCATGCCACGGCCTGGTACTGGTCCATGGGGACCCCTGCTATATACAGTAGGGCTACAATTACCTTTTCTTAAACAAAAGAGCACACAAAATAGAGAGCTGTTATTCTACCCATATACTTAGCTATTACTGAGTTAAAAGCAGCAATAGAATTTAAAAGATATTTAAATCACAGCTCCAGAAATTTAAAACAAATATGGATACCTTAATAAAGTTAAAACAATTAAAAATAAAAAGGAAATAAAAGAAAAAATTGAACCTATTTACAGGAGAACTGTAGCAACTACTTTTTAAAAATGTACATCATTTTTACACTTCTTTTTGTAAAAGAGGTGAGAAATTTGTGGCTGAATACAATTCTCAGCAGTGCACCCAGTATAAGGCCTCTGCTGAAGATACGTCACAGGCTGTTCTGACTGAGAAGCAGAATTCCAAATAACAAAAAGGGAAAAAGTGGTAACAATACTCTATGAAAAGATACACAATCAAAAATTAATGTTAAGCATGCCAGATTTTTTTTTTTTTTACCATACAGAAACTTACAAGGTCTGGTCAAGACTACATCGAAGTTCCTTTCGTATAAGGCGGAGTAAAAACTGTAAAAATATTTTAAAAATAATTAACTGTAAAATGTCAAGAACAACAAGAAACAACCCCCCCCCAATTAATGACATCAATTCTTCATCTAAATAGTGATTTTCTGAATGTTAACAAAACAGAGAAGACTCTTGTCGCTAATTCTTCATTCCAATCTTTAAAGAAAGGCATTTGACCACCTGGGTGTGTGAGAAACTGAAAGGAAGTGGCAGCACATTCAGAAAACAAATCTTGGGAACTTAGCAAGATTTAATGCAAAATAATAGCAATGAAGAAATAGAAGTAGCACATTACACTTTAATGTCAGATTTCCATTTTTAGCATAAGATTTCACATGACCTAACTTGCAAGATTTTATAAATCTTAAATTTAAATAAATTTAAATTTCAGTACTGAACTTATAAATGATTCCTAGTAACTCGCTGATGGACATTTCAGGTTTATCTCCTTCTGATCAAAATGGAGAAATTTAGAACAACCTTCAGACTTATTTCAGTAAATCCAATAAGAATAAAACTACGGTCTAACAATGCAGCAGCATAAGATCACTATATGTAATTGTGGATCTTTATCATATGTGGTCTTGCAGCTGTCATAGCTTATGCAAATAGCTCTCCCTTGTGGAAATTTATTTCAGGCCATAAGGAAGAATTTTACACTATTGTTTTAGTTGTTGTTGTGTGTGCCTTCAAGCCAGCTTTGACTCCTGGAAATTGACTGGATTAGTCTCTGTGGTTTTCTTGGCAAGTTTTTCAAAATTTGTTTGCCCTTGTCTGCTTCCAAGGGCTGAGAAAGAGTGATTAACCCGAGGTCACTCAGCTGGTTTTGGGCCTAAGGTGGACCTAAAATTCATGGCCTCCTGGTTTCTAGCCACTACACCAATCTGTTTCTTATATTTTAGTTGCAGGAATTGCAGGGTTGCAGGAATAATCTCTGTGATGCTATTTGAGGGACAGATTTTTAAATATCCTTTTTAAAATGATATGTTCATTAATGTTACTGTTAGCTAACATACGAACTATGACATCTACTGGTGAAACTTATTTAAATAAATGTACCCTATCCTTCCAGTTAAAATATTTTAACAAGCAGATATTGCATAGAAACTGAGATACAATTAGCCCAGTATGTATCCAAATGCTCCTTTGGGTGAAGTATCACACTGTGGAAGTTCAAGCTTTTATAGAAGCAATGTAACAATTGATTATACTACATTTCAGCAAATAAGGGAGCAGCAATACAGAACAGTACGACTTACCAGTAAGGCACAGGCATCTGCTATCATCAGCATGTAAAAGACATTGTTCCAACCAGATGAAGAAAGAAGACCAGCTAACAATGGTCCCAATGCTGCACCTAAAATACCATGCACACACATTCAAGCAGACACAGGGTGGGACCTGAGGCATCTAATACTTCAGAATGATCTTGAAAACTCACAACCGGATGGCTTTGCAAGCTGTTCTGAATGACAATACATCCCGCCCATTTTTCTTCCCATCATCCTCACCCATTTCCATGTACAAACCATCAGCGGAATCCCAGGCTGATGGCAAACTAGTCTTCTTGTGACATTCACTTCACTGGGTTGTAGCTGGTGTTATAGGAGTGCTGGCAGAGGATCATTTTCAAGATTCACAGTTCGGGATCTTGTCAAACCTACCAACTTTTTATTGAAATTTCAATGTAACTAATATATTTGCATAAGGATCCTACCACTGCGCTGCGCTACTCTCTCTCTCTCTCTCTCTCTCTCTCTCTCTCTCTCTCTCTCTCTCTGTGTGTGTGTGTGTGTGTACTTTCAAGTCAGTTTTGATTCCTGGCAATTAAACAAATAAAATTATATTGACAACATTTTTGGAAATGGATTGCCACTACCTTCTTCCTAGGGTTGGGAGAGAATGACTGACCCAAAGTCACCTAGCTAGCTTTGTGTCTCAAGTGGAACTAGAACTCATAGTCACCATTGAAAAAGCATGATGATTTATATGCTTCTACTGTTTAAGTGATACACATAGGCACAGGGCGCATCCTGATTGAGACCTTTTTTAAAACTAATTCTCACACTGGTTGAACATTCTCAAAATCTGGAGAGGACCAGACTGGGAAAAACTGGTCAAGAGTTTTCTATCAAACTTTTCAGCCTTTTGTTCTTGAGGATGATACCATACCTACGGAGCCTGTTCCGTCAATGATGGCTGTAACAGTTGAGAGTGCTTTTGCGTTTCCATGAAGGCTTTTATGGGTACCCTTTAAGAACAAAATATTCAGATAGAAATACTTAGAGAATAGAGATAGTGATAATCTTCATCTTATTTATATTGTAAATCTTCCTCATATTATCTGATGTAACACTGAAAAAATGCAATTATAATATTGCCACTGAATATCACCAATGCACAATATATTTTCCTCCTCCTCTAGAATTTGTGTTCTGAATTTTTATATATACTTATTAGAAATGATACAATGAAAATACTGTGGCAAATAATATGCTCCATATAGAACAGAAAAGGACTCACCAGGTCAGCAGAGACAGCTGTTGTGATCAATGCATATGGACCATTTACAAGAGCTCCACAGATGAGCAGCATAACTTAAATTTAAAAATTGAAGTTAATATGTATTTAATATCATCAACAATCAGCAGATGCAAGACCTGTGATTTAATTTTTATCAAATATTGGAAGGCTCATATACTAGTTTGTTATTGAAAGGAATAGGCCCAAGGAAAAACATATGAGAAAACTCTGCTAAATTCAAGTTCTCATTCATTTGGAACTATGCACCTTTACAATAGGTGTGCCTCTTCAAGGACATAAAGGAGACACATAGTGTAATCTTTTAAAATACTGCTTTCTAAAGGAAGTATTACTAAGGTCAATGGTGCTTGTGCTATTTATAGTAATGAAAAGAAATACTTTATTGTGGTCATTAACCAGCTGTTTATAACACAGCACATAGGGACCTGCACTTGCACTTGATTTATTTATTAGGTTTTTATCCTCCCTTTATTACTTTGTAAGTAACTCAAGGTGACAAACATATTCCTTCCTCCTCTTGATTTCCCCACAACAACAATCTGTGAAACTAAGAGAGAGTGACTGACTCAAAATCCCCCAGCTGTCTTTCCTGCTTAAGGGAAGACTAAAATTCACTGTCTTGGTGTCTAACCCAGCACCTTAGCTGCTAGACCTAAATATCTCAATAATCGGTAATTAATAAGCAATAGTTAATTGCTATGGCCAATTAAACAACTGATAAATATAAACATTATATGGTTTACTTATACATTACTATCCACTGTAGCAATGGCTGTAGCTAAAAAGAATCGGCATTGTTTTTTCTTATTACTAAGCTAGGGAAATGGGAAACATTTTATTGAAGAAGAAGCCTATTTCTTTTCTTTTTACCATCTATGCCAGTCCGCGGGCTGGTTTCATCATACTGAAGCCGCACCCACCCCATTGCCGGCAATGCAAAAGGAGTCGAGGTACATCGCGACATGTCACGTGACATGGCGAGTTTGACACTTGTATTCTATGCAATCCAAGCTTCTGTTCCAATGTTCTTAGACAGTAAATTGAGCATTGGGGAAGGAAGAGGGGGGGAAAGAAGAGAGCAAGAAATGACAGTGATTTGGTGATGGTTTCAGCTGGGCTGGGCTACAATACTTGATAAATGCTTGTGGCCAGTGTTCTGTTGATTAGCAGAATTCCTTTATGAAAATAGGAGCTGTGTAAACTATTTTATTTTATCAGTTTGTCCGATCTGATTGTCTTCCCTTAGTTGTTGCAAAGTATGATCTGACAAGAAAGAAAACAAGTTGTGGCCCAGATCATTGCTGTTGCTATGATTATTACTGATCTGGGAAACAGAGATTCATGAATTACACTAACTCTTATGAGTGGATAAGGAAAACAGAAATGAAGTGAAAAAATAATATAATTATGAATTACAGTTTTAAAGCTGTATTCACTAGACATAAAATTAATATCTCAATCTTCCCCACAAAACTGCTAACATTTTCAGATACACAGCTTGAAGACTTTGTCCCTTAGGAAAGTCAGTGAAAAAGAAAGAAGATGTAGAGAGGGATGGGTGACATAACTTGAAGTAGTTTCACTTAGAAGATCAAGATCTTGTCTCTCTAGTTTTAGAGAGCATTACATGAAATTATAGAATTTGCAAGAAAGTACATTATGGTGGAACGTTAAGAAAATCCTTTTTATCAGAAACAGCAATTCCACCAATTAATGGGTTTTGGTAGAGTCCTCATGACTGAATGTGTTAACCATTTCTCTTAGATGCTTTACCTGGTTTCTTGCACCGAGTTGGCAGTTGGACCCAATGGCTAAATGGCCTTTCCCATCTACTCTTAAGCATGCCACATCTCTTAGTATTAATAATTATTATTCTTAGTATTGATTATTAATATTTTGTTATTAATAATAATTCTCGTTCTTATTAATAATTGACAATAATTATTAATGTTCCTTATTATTCTTATTATTAAGCATGTCACATCTCTTCTTTTTTCTCTAGGGAGAATTGCCTGTCACCTGGAGTATGACAACCTTCCTTCCCCAATCTTATGCTTTCCAATTGTAATCCAGAAAACATCTAGAGGGCACCATATTGAGGACATTTTCATTGAAACACATCACTTGAAAGTTATTTGTTTTCTGAATCTTTCATTCACAATAAATTATCTGGCCTGAACAGAAATTATCTCAGTGTAACCCAGACTGTTAGTTTTCACCATAAAAATTCCAGAGTTAAGTAAGAGTTGGAGTGGATTTATATTTAAACAGTCCAAACGAAGCGGGGAGGAAGAATAAGGCATAAAACTTACTTATTGTGGCCTCTAATCCCATTTTACTGATCGCAGAAAATATATACAGCTAGGATAAATACAAATAGCAGAGTTAGTTCGAATCATTCTGTAGTAAGTCAAGCTCTCTTGGCTAGATGTCAACTACAAATTTAGCATTATTTCTCATTTTGGAATTCTATTTTCATTTGTCATTATTCAAAATTGAAGAAGTGGGTATAGTTTGTTCTAGAGAAAGAAAAATGCTTAGATATCCACAACAGTAGGGTACAAAAATGCAATTCTATTTCATTAAGCCTGCTTTTATTTATATATTATAACTCAAAAAGCCTTCAACACTTTCATAATCATCATCCTCACCCATCACCTCAGAACTTACAGTGGGTCCAGCTATCAACAGCATCATGCCACAAGTTGTAGCCCTTTTTTTGAGTCGGTCTGATATTACACCTGCTAAAATTCCACCTGTATAAAAAAGAGAGAGAGGTGCAAAATGTAACAATGTTCTTTGCACATTCAAAACTGTGCAAAATAACACTATAAAAGTAATATTTTCCTTGATCACTTTAGGAAGTGCCCTTCATATGTACAGTAGCTCATCCACAAAGCTAAGCATGATTACCTTTAATTCTGCAGTGATAAATCTTCTCCTCTATTTACTCTTCAACTGACAACATTGTTGAACATTTGTCTGTTTTTGTCATCCACTCCAATTCCACCCCAATCACCCACTTCATTTTTTCTACTGCCACGTAGCAATACTGAGCAAAAATACCACTTCACACCAAGCTGCTGCAGATGTGGAAAAAAAATTCTTCACTGCCAACCCTTACAAAATGGCAATAGCTCACTCGCACTTCTAAGAATGCATTCCAGTAACTCCTACTTTTCTGCCCCATACAAACTGTTATTAAATATCAAAACCACCACTCTCATCCAAAGCTTCTGTCAGAACTGCCACCTCATGCCTGCGCTCTGCTATCACTCGCTCATTACCACTCTGTTGTGGATCCTGGAGAGAGAGTGGAAGGGGGAGAGGATGCTTGGGGGAAAGTTCCCCTCTCTGAGATGGCGTTTCAAAATCACACCGCTGTGAGAAGAATGCAGCTGCAAGCCAGCCTTCACCCAGAGTGACCCTTTCAAAAACATCTTCTTTGAAATTGATTGGACAATGGGGGGGGGGACAACAATGGGAAGTGCCTAAGGGGGGAAAGTTACACTTGGCGTGAATTTCAGTTCTGGCTTTGCTCTATTGTATTTCACTTGACCTTTTGCAAACTATACCTTTCTTATCAAATGAGAAAGGATCATTCTTACTTAAAGGTTCAAGTTGAGGCAGGTCTGATAACTCCATTAAAGACACCCTCCGATATTTTCTCAAGTCACCAACCAAACATTAATTATCAGCATCTACTCCCTGTTTCAAAGTATTTCTTGTCTCTAATGTTTCAGAATTTGATTTAAAAAAACAAAGACTCATATACTGTATGTGTAGGTTTCAAAGGTAATAAAGAGGTTTCTTGTTAACCCTGTTTTCAGCTCTGGGAAGAGGGGGGGAGGGTTTTTGGGAGGGCTGGGAGGTTGTGGGTGAGGGATATTATTGTAAAATTGTAAAAAATTTAATAATAATAATAATAAAAAGGTAATAAAGAGGTCATAATTGCACACTCACCAAAGATTCCTCCAACATCAAATAGGGTAGAAAGATCACCTGCCCTTTTGGCATCAAGATGCTCTACCAATGAAAAATAAAAATATGTCAGTAACAGTTTAAATATTTTCAGGTGCCATAATATTTTCCGAGACAACTGTTTGAGCAGGTCTAACTTGTCTAAATTACTAATTTTTCAGCTGTAATATGGAGAAACTAATCACTGGATCATTTGGAATCATAGCAAATTTTTCTGCTCCCCTTGTCTTGTGTCACGTATCTAGTATTAAAGTAGAGGAATCACATGTCATCTCATATCTCATATTAAGCTATATGAAAGGAAAAACGCCTCTGAGATAGAATTTATTTTGTGATTTTTTTTTTAAATGTATTTCTTCTTCCCTTAATAAAGGATTGGTCTACTATATTTCAATATGAAGTACAAATAATGGATTGCATGTTTTACTATCTGTTACAAAAATGTTAAAAAATGAAGTTTCTTCCTCCTAGGATTAGTTTCTCGTAATTTTTACAAAATGCAAATGAATTACAATAAGGTACTAGACAACTCATGCTCCATTTGGTCATCATTTCGGAGATATTTCCTCACCTAAACAGAGAAACTGAATGACCATTGTTGGGCAAAAAAAGCAGTGGGAATGACTTTCGACTTCTTGCCAGGTTCCACATTGAATTCCTTGTGGGAACGGGCAGGGAGCATTCTTCCTTCCTTCCTTCCTTCCTTCCTTCCTTCCTTCCTTCCTTCCTTCCTTCCTTCCTTCCTTCCTTCCTTCCTTCCTTCCTTCCTTCTGAAAGCCAGCAGGAAGTCATAAATCCAAGGCCAGCAAGCTGCTAAATGGCTGCTGCTGGGTGTGGGAGAGCGTGTGATGGGATGCAAGTCAGGAATATGTGTAAGGGGTGGCTTCAGAGGGATGTAGGTGAAGTGTGGATAAAGAAGAATGTATGAGAGTTGCAGGGGTATGTGAGAGGTGCTCTGCTGGTTGGTAATGGTGCACAGGAGTGTGGCGAGGGTTGGGAAGAGTGCTTGAGAGGAACATGCAGATCAGAGACAGTGCATGGGAGGGTGCGCCATGGTTTGTGAAGATATGTAAAGAGACCCAAGAGATGCTGCATGAGTGGAGAAAGGCAAGTAGTGGGGAGGGTCACAGAGTGTGCATGGGGTTGCGAAGAGGTGCTGCATAGGTTTGGGAAGACACGTGGGGGTGGCACATGTTTGGGAAGACACATGGATGGGGTAGCGTGCAAGGAGATGGCATGGGCAAGAGGGTTTCTTCCTCTCCCTCCTTCCTTCCCCCTTTCCATCCTTTTCTATCTGGCTGTTGCTGGGTGGGGGACAGAGCAAGGGATTGCGAGACTGGCTGGGAAATATATGTCCTAATTTTTGTCACACACAGTTTCTTGTATCTCTTCGTCTTTCCTTACTCCAATCAGCAATTGTTATGAGCAGATATTTAGCTGGTGAAATTGTTATAGAACATGCACATCTTTAGCAAACAGTACTTTATGTAGTTGGATATAATCAGGTTTTTTGTTTAACTTACAAAAATAACTTAATTTATCATATCTATTAAATCAAAATCTGAGAAATGTTTGCCTGTATTATGCTTTATTTACTTTTTTTTTTAAAAAAACCACCACTCCCAAAGGACTCAGTTGAGTAAACATGTGACTGAATTTTTAATAGCATATCTGGAAAAAGTTTAACCATATTGAACTCTCTCTCAAATATGATTTGTGGTAATGTTTTATATGACCAGCCTTTCATAATTCTTTAAACTAGGACACTTACCGACATTAGTGATATATAGTGGAAGCCAGAAAAGAAAAGTGTAGCTGACTAATTTGGCAAATAATAGGCAGAGAGAAAATTCTACCACTCCCTACAAAGAATAGAAAATAAGATTAATTTTAAAAGAAAAAGACAATAAACACTTTACTTTGGGCTAATTTTTGTGCAAGGATTTTGGTACAACATATAATTGTCCAATATTATACAGAGATAGTTGAATAATAATATAGGATCATGCATAAACAGCCTATATTCAACGGGTAATCACTGATACAAAGCAAACAGCATGGTCTGCAGTCACATACCCCCTGTATGATTGACCAATAAAATTTATTTCAATATATGGGATCAGGGATCCATTAGAAAGTTCCATAGCAAATGAGCCTTGCCTGGGAACAGCCCCCACTGCACATTAATGTCAGACCCTCCTCTGCAAATCAGCAGATAAGGTATCATCCAATAAAACTCTTTCTTTTGCTATCATTTAATAGTGACTGTGATCTTGGAATCTTTCAAACCTGGGGGTAGGGAGGAATCTTCTTGCATAGTCCATTCTGATCTCTCCTCTCTGTTAAGTGCACAGCGCTTTTTGCTAATTGAACCTTACGCTGTCTAGAGGGTTTCCTTCTCTGGAGTAATGCCCACTAATGGTAATTGCAAAGCCATGCATTAACAACAAACCTGACGGTTTTCTAGGGATCTATAGGATTGATTCGGGTTTCAGTTTGATTGATCCTCTCCTTTCAAATGAATTAAGTGTTAAACTGTCAACTTCACTTAATGTGTTGAATAAAATCAGATGCTTTCAGTTCAATTCAAAGATCCAGAAGCCTTTTGCACATATGTACACATACTTCAATATAATAGAACTGAATCTTGAAATCAAAGAGATTCAAATCTGATTGTAAATTCAAATTAGAAATTGGCTGATCTGCATACTTCTAATTTTATTCCCATAGTCCCCACATTCAAATTAGTCCCCACATTCAAATTAGAATTTGGGTGATGTACATATTTCCAATGATCCCCCCCCCCAGTACCATTACTAGAAAAGCTGGCATACTCACAGGTATTTGCAAAGCTCCAGTGAAACTTATTGCAGCATTTCCATTTTCAAAGTGTTCATGTCCTCCATTAAGATTCAATGGCTTTGTGCAATTCTCATTGCTTGGTAGCAGACAATGCATTTCTGGATCCTATAAAAGACCCCATCAAACTCAGTGTAGGCAGTATGTCTCTTCTCTTTATAAACTAAGCAACTGAGATATTATAATGTACCGTTAAAAAAAGAAATGATATATTGATATGCTATTTATATACTGAATACTAAGGAAGCATTTCATGTTCTGTGTTCTGTATGTAATAGCAGAAGCGGGAACCACATCCAGATCAGAGACCTCCCATTTTCACCCCTGTGGACCAAAGGCCAAGGTGGAAGACTTCAGATAGGAGAAACTTCTTTAGATTTCCTCTAATCCCTGTTCCTGCTTTTGAGATTATTATTTTTTTCTGTTCAGTGAGGTGGGCGCAAGAGATATTACTGTTTGCCTTTTCCTTCTCAGGAAAAGAAGCAAGCAAACAAAAAGCAGTTCCTCTCTTTACACAAAGATCACTTCTTGTCTTTTTCTGTAGGGCAAATGTGCTTGCAAATTCTGTAAAACAGTCAGAGGGACGTTTTGTTTTTTCAGCGTTGTCACACCATGCTTATTTATCCCTTTGCTCAGAACACAGCTATGGAGTAGAAGGCAGTGCTTCAGAGTAACTATTATGATTTCATTAAGAGGGAGGAATACGAGTTTCTCTATTTTCCATTCCACACATTATGGACTTCCCATGTGGAATTTGAATACCCGGTTTTCTATAAGCATAAAACTAAATGGACATTGTTGCTAATAAAGTTACAGCATTGCTTAAGCCACAATTCCCCCTTGCAAAAAGATAGATTGTATCCTTAGCTAACTTGAAAAGTCTTTCCCAATGAAAGCAAGAATATTTGGGTATATATAGAACACCTCCATTCTCAGGATAAGCTTTGTTGCCATGATATTACCTTCACTTTATTTTCTTGTTGCTCAGATTTCTTATCTGGCATGGGCTCTTTTTGGGGCCTACTGTATTTATTTTATATTTCATTTGATTTGTTTGCCACCTGTCTTGCTTTGAGGCAACCCTGGGCGACTTACAAACAGTTAACCAGTGTATTAGTAAAGTAATCAGTATTTAACAAGCACATTGGTAAAGTAATACAATGCTGACCTTTCTTAAAACTTTGGAATGTTTCATAGGAAGTTTAATAGCATTGGAGTCTTGCTCCAAGAATGGTTAGAGTCATATATTGGAGTTGGGTGTAGAATGGAATCAGGACTTGGGTCGATTGGAAAGACCACTTTTCCTATTCTGTCATCTGAACTGGCTGGTATTTGACTTCTACCTCCTGAAATAAGGTGAAGTTACACAGCTAGGAACGTCAGGGGATCCATGGAGTTAACTGTACATTTCCCAGAGCTGAAGGTGGTCCTAGATAGTGAGCAGAATAGAGACTTCCTTCCTAATATGTTTTTCACTCCCATTGCTGAGGAATTATCTTGGTTATCTTCATCACTTGCTGAAGGAAATCTATCCACCACAGAGAAGTCAACCCATGGACATATGAAGGGAACTCATATCTCATTTCTCAGCACTAGAGAAGATTTCCACAGCCTTCTTCACGGAGTTCCTTTCTTTCCCTCAAACTAGAACCCATTTTGTCTCTGGTAGGGCCATCTCTACGTGAGCACCGAGTTTGAAGTCACGCGTCTACCCTTGCAAGACTGCAGCCAATATAATGGAAATTGTTGGAAGTGCATCTTTCATCTTTCCTAAGGGCAAAGCCAGCCCTATCAGATGCTAACAAGGTATTTTTAAAGCTATAAAAGTAATGACCCACCCAAATTAAACACACACAGATACACTGAGCTACCCAAGGACAGATAAATGAAAATCAGGCCTGATTATGAAGAATTGAAACAACTGCGATTAAGCAAAGACTATTTCATTAAGCTGTTTGACTTTTTCTCTAGCATGCAGACAATTTACAAGGATTGTAATTAGTAATTTAAAACTATTTATGAAAATATTTTAGCTTTACCTGAGATGTCTCTGTTACCTTACTGCTTACAGCTGGCTTCAAAATCCTGAATTTACTCGAGCATTTCAGGTAAGGTTTCTGAAATATATTTTAATAGGTGCAGTGAAGAAAGATGTGGCAATAGAAGATGGAGAGGGCAGGGCAAAGAAGCTGGGACTGGAGCAACAAGAGAAACAGCAGGTGCTGGGTTCATCTATGACAGTGGAATGATTTGTGCCATCTCTATAAAGATGGTATTAGTAGAAATAAGTGGTCTTATTTGGTGTTAATCAAATGGGCATATTTTATTTTAATTCATTTTATTTTATTTAATCAATGTTCTATGACTACCCAATTCACCAAAGCAATTCTGTGTGGCTAACATAAAATTAAAAACAGCACCAACAAACTTAGACACAAATATATATACATCTCTGGGATGACCACAACCAACTTCTCAACCAAAATGTCTAGAGGAAAAGCTAGTTTTTAAATATTTTTTGAAAGGTTAGTGGGCAGGGGATAAGACAATGAAATCGGGGGGGGGGAGGAGTTCATTCTAAAAGATAAGCATTGTCATAAAGAAGGTAAATTTCCTGTGTCCAACAACATGAGATTGATATCCATGAAGTATCATGACCAGCTTGGAACTGTATCTGGAACAAGACAATATAACCAGAGATGGTCCCACAAACTGGTCTTGTGTCATATAGCAGTTTATGGATGATAACCAGCATCTTGGAATGTACCTGGAAGCCTACTGAAAGTCAGTGCAGTGCAGCTTTTGAATAGAAGAATTACATGGGCAAACTGTGCTTCACACATAGCTACCTGTGTGCTGTGTTCTGGACCAATTGCAACTTCCCAATGGTCTTTGAGGGCAGGCTATGGAGAACACATTAGCGGGAGAACATTTTGGGCATCTTGAAACTATTGAATAAAATCGTCTCATCGATTTGGGATCAAATACTTAATAAGATAAACCAGTATGTGCCTACTTTACAAGAGTGGTTTTTTAAAGTTTCTTATTTGGCGGAAATGGCAAAGATCTCGGCTTTCTTGAAAGACCAATCGCAAGAGAAGTATTTTTTGGTATGGAAAAAATGGATAGACTTTATACAATATAAGTTGGAAATAAAAAAATATTATTTAGCTTTTCAATAACTTATATTTAAAACTTAAGATATTTCATAGACTTTATAGATTTTTTAGACTTATTTTTTCTTTTTTTTTCTTTTTTCTTCTTTTCTTTTTCTTTCTTTCTATTTTTTTGTATTTCTTTGTATTTTTGTCTTTTTATACATATATTATTGTTAACTATTTTACAACTTGTTTAATTAATGCATTTAGATTTGTTTATGGTTTATATTTGTTTTAAGACTTTTTGAAATTTTTTTAACTAAGCCTGTATTCAGCTCTGGGAAGATTGGGGGAGGGTAGGGGAGGGTGGGGGGGGGGTTTGGGGAAGGCATTTGTATTGTTTTGTAAAATCTAAAAATTTTCAATAAAAAAAAAAAGATAAACCAGTATGTGCAAGTATAGTGTTCCAACCTCTGAAAATCACAGCAGTTTTGCTGGAACATTAAAGGAAAAGGAAGCTGAATAAGGTATTTCCTAAGACTGATTTTTTTCCCCTAACCTCCCCTTCCCAAAAAATATCAGTTGTCAGATATTGTTAAAAAAAAAACCACTTTACTTACAGTTGATGATTTGACTGTATCGTTTACATCCTTAGGATCTGAAATAATGCAATAGAAAATAGAATAAATTAACACGCATATAGCATATTTTTCAAAATGTTGCCAACTGCAGTAATAAAAAAACTATTATTATGAAAGGGCACAATAATGGAAAATTGTCATTAAATATGAAAGTTTTGTTAAACCTATATCTACATTGCAGATGGGTTAAGGTTACAGCTTCTGTTCTATCCTGGATTCAGTTCTACATTTTAAAGTCTATTTTGTTATTTGACAAAGAAAAGCTTTATTTTAGGCTTTATTTTATGGCTGTGAATAGCATTGATTGATTGATTGACTGATTCCAGATGAAAACAAAATCTGTATTTATGTGTATACACACACACATATGTACATATACACATTTTTATACATGTACATATACTTAGATACATTTTTACACCCACACATATATAAATCCATTTCACCATAGGTACTTACGTTCAATAAGAAACAGGTAGCATATAATCCCCATTAAGGATATTATAATGCCAGGTACCACAAAAGACAGACCCCAGCAAGTAGATACCCAGTAGCCAGCTATTAAGGATCCTAATATATTTCCGACTGAAGTGTGTGAATTCCATAATCCCATTATCAATCCTCTTCTACAATGAATGAAAAAGAAAAAAAGGTTAATATTCTCATTGATATTAACATTGGATGGTGAAAATATATGCATATTTAAATTTTAAGACTCTAGAAGAGATTCCGCATGTACAGGCAGGATATATCTGGATGGTTTTTGGTACCTTTAGTATATTTCACATAAATTGGGAATTAATTTGTTTTGTGACCCATTTCAACAGAATTCACAAATCAGAGCATTATTAACACACTAATCCTGAATTATTAGCTTTATATTCTGGCTTTTATTCTTGAACTCAGAGGTATATGTAGTACTCTCTCCTCTTATTTTTTTCCCACAACCACCCTGTAATATAGATTGAGTTGAGAACATGTAGGTTTTTGGCTTAGCAACAGGGAAATTAAAATGAATCAGACCTGTGAATATGGTATAGTCCAGGGATAGGCAACCTTGGCTCTTTTATGACTCGTGGATGTCAACTCCCAGAATTCCTGAGCCAGCCATGCTGGCTTAGGAATTCTGGGAGTTGAAGTCCACGAGTCATAAAAGAGCCAAGGTTGCCTACCCCTGGTATAGTACATGGCTTGGGTTGCCTCTTTTTTACAAGCTCTTTTGCTTGGGGACTATTCCCAAAGATACTGACTGTGATTTAGATCAGGGGTCCCCAACCCAATACCGGGCCATGGCCTATTCGGAATTGGGCCACGTGAGTAGCTGGCTGGCTGGCTGTATTGCATGCACGTATGCAGCTCAACTTGCATGAGCAATGGGCAATCGTACACATGTGTGGCGGGCCAGCTACGTGCATGCATGCTGGCCCACTGCTCATGCAGCCGAGTTCCCCTCTCCCCCCACAACTGGGCCACCAAGCTGCAAAGGTTGAGGACTACTGATCTAGATAGCCAATCAGCTGTTGTTATAGGAGGAGGGCATAATTACATAGGATGAGAGCAGTGTCTAATGCATGGTTCATTCATATACTTTGTTCTATTCACATGGGTCAGGCATATGTATAGGCACATATTGCTGGCTAAATTTTAGGATTTTTCCCCCAGGATACATGTGACACTAAGGCAATATGCTTGGAATATGCCTTTTATGTATTAAAACAAACAAGCCAAAAAAATATCTTTTTTTAAATTACGGACAGCAAAACACTTAATAAACTTCAACCTGCCTTCTCTAATTGCAAACTTTGAGGCAACCTGGGAGTTCAGGGCCACCTTGGATCTGATTCTGTTTAATCAGAGCCTGATTCATACAGGAACCACATGTTAGACTTGCTTTTCTGTTTATTCAGAGCCTGATTCACACGGGAACCACATGTTAAACCTGCTTTTTGTCTCAAGGCAGTGGCATGGTGATCTGGAGTCCTAATATATAGTCATCAGTCCTTTGTCATGGCAGACCACTCCATTAACCTTGAATTTTAATTCATTTTTCCCCACTGTAGGGAGGCCAGTTCTATTTGATTGGTACTTAAGATTTGAGGTTGTCACTGAAATGCTGATAGGGATTCAACCAGGACCTTTGTTGCCAGTAGAATGAAAGCAACAACAGAGTTGTGAACTCTGTGCACAGACCTTGGTGGAACCTCTAGTTTATAGATGACCTCTACAGGAACGTGCCAAAAGAGATGTTTACAGGACCAACATAGGTAAGAACCTTTCTTAAAACACTCCCCTCCTTTGATTCAATTGTGACTGATTCTCAGAGACTGCGTGGGCAAGTCCATATAATTTTCCTGGCAAGGTTTTTCAGAAATGATTTGCCATTGCCTCCTTCCTAGGGCTGAGAGAAAGTGACTAGCCCAAGGTCACCCAGCTGGTGAGAAGAATGGAACTCAGTTTATTGTTTTCTAGCCTTTCCTGGAGCAAAAATCAAAGATGCGGCTGAGAACCTAACCAAAATAATTAGGCCTACAGATTACTACCCCTCCCTCTTCCTCCTCCATATTGGATGAATGACACAGTAAAGAACCTGAATACAATAGTGAGAGACTACAACAACTAGGCAATAAAGTTAAGAAGCTAGGACCACAAGTAGTTTCTCATCAGTGCTCCCAATGAAAGGCCAACACCCAGTGAGGGAAAAAAGAATTCTAGAAATAAACCATTGGCTAAAGGGTTGGTGTCACCAAGAAAATGTTGGTTTCATGGATCATAGACTGCATTTCCTTCATGAAGGACTCTTGGCAAGGGATGGGCTGCACCTCACAAAAATGGAAAAATGTACTCGGAAAAAGACTGCCCCAATTCATCAGGAGGGCTTTAAACTAAAATTGAGGGGGGAGGGTGACCAATCTTCAGAATCTCTAGAACCCAAAACCAATCATAAATCCCAACAAAACAAATCAAACAATGAGGTGGGCAGAGATGAGAAAAAAAGAAAAACTCAAACAACATTCAGGAGATGCGGGAAACAAAACCACGGACAGGCATAAAAGTTTTAAATGCTTATATACAAATGATCAAAGCTTGGAAACAAACAGGGTGAACTAGAAGCAATAGTACACAAGGGAGGGTATGACATAGTTTATTCATCGAAGCCTGATGGGATGAGTTAATACAATCCTGGATTGTGGAAACAGAGGCATAGAATCAAGAACACGCGAAGTATTAGTACTGCTTTATAAAACCCTAGTAAGACCACATGGAATATTGCAACCAATTTTGGTCACCATACCACAAAAAAGACGTTGGAAAAAATTCAGAGAAGAGCAACTAAGATGATCAAAGGCCTAAAGACTAAAACATACGAAGAACGGCTGCAGGATTTGGGTCTGGCTAATCTAAAAAAAGAAGAAATAGGGGAGACATGATAGTATTCCAGTATTTGAGGGGCTGCCATCAAGAAGAAGGGGTCACTTTATTCATCAAAGCACCAGAGGGCAGGACAAGAAACAATGGTTGGAAACTCAACAAAGAGAGAAGCAACCTGGAATTAAGGAGAAGTTTCCTGACAGTGAGGACAATTAACCAGTGGAACAGCTTGCCTCCAGAAATCGTGGGTGCTTCATCACTGGAGATTTTTAAGAAGAGACCACTAGACAGTCACTTGTCTGAAATGGTATATGTTCTCCTGCTTGAGTGGGGTGCTAGACTAGAAGACCTCCAAGGTCCCTTCCAGCTCTATGGTATTCTACTACATCAAACTGACTCTCTCTTAAAAGTTTACCTTGTGGAAATAGCAAAACATGCTTATGCCTCTGCTTTTATTTTATCCTTTGAGTATCATTCACTAGCTCTGTTCAGCCTAACTTGTTCCCTTCTGACAAAGAGGAGAGACAGTACTGACAGGCTGCTGTGATGACCATTCTTGGCACCCAATGGATAAAGTTCTGCAAATTTGTGGTGAGTTGTTAGTGAGATATGGCCTTGTGTAGTTACTCCTCTCAGATAAATACACAAGGTGGTAGTTGTGGTCAGGAGAGCCTTTGTGCAACTATATACAGGAGTGGGATATCTGTGAGAAGCTTCTTCCTGATGGTATCTCTCCATCCCACATGCTTTAGTGGGATGGGTATGCTCTGAGACTAATCTTGGAAACAATGTCATCTGATGGGACAGGAAAATCCTTCCCCTTTCACTGTAGCATCTGCCCTCTGAAACAATCTCTCTCACACAGACCCCCAATTCCTAATCTAGTTGGACCCAATCTCGTTAGTTTTCAGGATAATACTAAAAAATTGGGGCCAAGTTGATTGATGTAAAGTAAGTTTGAGTTTCTGACTGCCTACTGATTTCTGTTTATGCTTTTAAGCATAATGGTTTACTATCTGCTTATTCTGTTGTTTGCTTATTATCCATTGTCCAGGGTTGCAGTTGTTCATTAGGACAGCCAACTTGTTGGACATTTCATTCATATATATAATGAATAATTCATTTCACAAATCTATGGTTAAACCACAACATTTATAATATATGAGTTTACCTGCGTGATGAAGCATTTTTTTTATTAGAATTAATTATTTGACCTTTACCAAAAGATTTCTCCCCTCTACCCAGAGAGAGAAAATAGAGAATTTACCTTCCTTTTCCAAACCAGTTGCCAATGCAGGTGACCACACTGGGCCAGCCAGTAGTTTGTACCATTCCATTAGCTACCTGAAAAGTTTTTAATGGCAAAGGTTATCCTGCAGCAAAATACTTCATAGCTATAATATACAGTATAATAAGCTAATATTAAATATAATATTTAAATTTATGGTATACATATCAGAAAAATTATATTATGCTTATTCATTAAGACAATAATTCAGCCAGGCTTCAGGTCTCATAGTTTTACTACGCTTTTCTGTCAGTACTATATCAAATTAGCCATTATAATTTGACTTCTCTGAGTTGTTTTAAAACATATGGAGTAATTGCTGTGCAACAGAAAGGCATGTACTAACTATGTGATATCTTTATTCTCCAACTATTTAATTGAAGGAGTTGCAGTGCCAAAGGTGCAAAAGCAATAAAAGTGAAAGGAGTATTGATTTATGCACGACCTGTGAAGAGAATAAATCATCAAGCATTACTTAGTTCTGAAGCATATAGCAATCCTCTCAGTTATTAAATAGCAGAACTGACAGAAAATGCAACAACTTTTAGACTATACTAGGCATCTTCTGCTTTACCAAAGATTTATATTTCTCATTAGGAAATGTGTACTTTGGAAGAGTAAGAGTCGAAGGCAACATTTACTTTTTAAATTATTTCTATATTGTTTTGGAAATAAACTGCTACAAAATACATAGTACAACATATGTGTCTTTTGTTTCAATGCAAAATCCAGCTACTTTCAATGAAAGATCCAGCTTTCAAAGCCAGATTTAGAAATTCGTTTGAATAATTCTACTTCCTAACAATCAACTGCTTTTAATCAATAGTAGTCTAGACTGTTGCTAGAACTGTTTGGGCTGTAAAACATATAAAAATGGATTATAAAATTTATCCTCAGAGGAAAAAAAAGATAGTTTTAAGTGTTTCAGGACATACCACTGCATAAATTCTCAGACTAATTACAAAACAGTTACGGTTTGAAGAAATGGGTTCTATTATTATCAAATAATAATAGAAATACTTCTATCAAAGAAAAGAATAATATATATAAATGTTTCTATCAAAGAACAGAAGAGATTTTCCTTGGTAGCTTTTACACACCATACTTTTGCTATGCAGAATATTCAATAAAAGCAAGAATCACTAAGAAATGAACTGGAGAGATCTAATATAACACCTTTATACAATCTTTAAAAATGATCACATCTTGTCATGATATACACTGGTTTGGTCAATGTACTTCAAGGAAGCGTGGACCTGCTTTGCAAGAAGGGGGAGGCTATTATTGTTGCAATAGATTTGTCAATGTTCAAGTAGGAGGGACAATATATGTTTTGGTTCTTTTTTTAAAATTCACATTATTTTTCAATGTTTTTGTTTAGCTTTGTTTTGTCTTTGTTCAATTTTTTTTCTTTTGGAGTTTGGATTTTAATTTTTTGAATAAAATAAAATTGTTAAAAAAAAGAATTAGATGCACCATACAGTATAAGACCATGTAATCAATAGTTACTAGCCACAATAGTTATGTAGTAGTAACACTAAAATGCCTCCAAACTATGGCTGGGGAACATCAACAAGAAAATGCTGCAGCATAGATGCATTTATATTCTTAGGCTGCATTTGAGAGGTATGGAAAAATAAAGTAGGCATGCTTACCTGAGCAATGATGTAGAACCACAAATTATGTATGTTACAGAAATAGCCAATTCCAAATAATGCAGTGAAGAATCCACTGGCAAGCATGCCACCACTGAGATAGTATCGGATAGGCAAACGCTCCCCTATTATGCCACTTTAAATAAAGGTTAAAAAGAAGATGAATTGTGAATGCATATTGAACTAAAACTAATCATAGTCATAGCTCTCTGAAAACCAAACCTTGCAAATTATTAAAATCTTCAAAATATAGACTTCAAATTTGAATTCAAGAATATTTTTTGTAAGATTATTAAAAATGTCTCCAGGATAATCGGGTCCAACATATCTATGATACCAAAAGATAGCTTGTTGAATCACTACCATTACCCAACATGAAAAGGTAGGAAAGGGGCACAGATGCCTTGAGGAATCTCAGTGAAAAGCAAATAACAGAATGGTAATTATTTTAAGTCATTAAAGCATAGGATTCCAAGTGGCACAAACAAATACTTTTTGGTGGACTCTATTTTATGCGCATAGATGTAAAAGTGGCTTAAAATGTATTTCTTTATTCAGCCCAAATAGTCTTCTAGAACTCTATAGCTTAGCAGTAAGAGTAAGAATCATGGGCATCTAAAACATTTTGGGGTTTTACAGAGAATTGAATCTCATCCAAAATACATTTGAATTCATTAGATTATATGAAGCCATGTTCCTTTCAACTTTAATTACAATAGGAAATATTTCATGTTTTGATTTGGTTCTTTCAACATTTCTCATTCAGTAATATTCTCTTTGCTTCCCAGAAACCCCTAAGCAAAATGGTAACCAAGATCAAAGGTAGCATAATATTCCATACTGACGCACTGAACCCATGAAGCAAGATAAAGAGTAAGAAAATGTACCTCAGATACATTCCGACAGCATAAGCACATAGAAATGAATAATCCAGGGCTCCTAATAACTGCTTGTAGTTGCTTTTATCTAGGAAGATACATACATTTATATGTAGCAGTTCAAGGGACTGAATAGCTTAAATACAATTTATAAATAGTAATTATCTATTCATATTTGGTGTTTGTATAAAAATGGCTTCTAATAATTTAAAGAGAAGTTAGTTTTCTCCTTGATCAAATTATAATAAAAGTACATAACTTAATAATGATATCGTTATACAAAGGACTGAAAATGGAAATTGTGCACAGTTCAAAACAGCCTTTCATATCTAATTTTTAAAATGTGTTTAAATAATACTAATCCTGCATAACAATTCATATTCAGTAAATGCATTGGGGGAAAGAAATGCATAATACCATCCACAAAATCCTAGAGATGTGATGAAGGGTTGCAGTCACTATGTCTTCTTTTCACACTTGCCCTTGAATATGTCATGTGAATAACATTGCTAGTATTTGTGCTGCCTATCAATACATTTAATACTGAACTGGGAAATGGCTGTCCAGTCTCTTCTTAAAAACTTCCAGTGTTGGAGCATTCACCGCTTCTGGAGGCAGGTTGTTCCACTGGTTAATTGTTCTAATTGTCAGGAAGTTTCTCCTTAGTTCTAGGTTGCTTCTCTCCTTGATTAGATTCCATCCGTTGCTTCTTGTTCTGCCTTCAGGTGCTTTGGAGAATAGCTTGACTTCCGCTTCTTTGTGGCAGCCCCTGAGATATTGGAACACTGCTATCATGTCCCCCCTCATCCTTCTCTTCATTAAACTAGACATACCCACTTCCAGCAGCTGTTCCTTATGTTTTAGCCTCCAGTCTCCTAATCATCTTTGTTGCTCTTCTCTGTACTCTTTCTAGAGTCTCAACATCTTTTTTACACCATGCTGACCAAAACTGGATGCAGTATAAACTTCTTAATATTCCTGACTTACTTCAAAAAGTATTTTCTTCTTATAAGATTAAAAACTTTAGGTAAGAAACATCTAGAAATAAAATTGATGGACAAAAATCTATACACTTTTCCAATTGTCCTATTTGAAACAGTGTTTTATATAAATTATTTGTTTGTTAATCTTTTCTAATTATTATGGTTGATTGTACAGACAGATGCTTAGACTGGATTTGGCCTTTTTATGCATCTACGGAGTCTTCTCCATGTACCTGGGATTAGGTAGATGTTTTTGTTTGATGGTATTAAAGGTATTATTTAAATAAAGTTGTCTGTAGCAACTGACTGACGGTGATTTTTGACAATTCCAATGGTGTTCTAATATTATGGTTTGTTACAGTGAGCCAGATGTCCAGACAGGATTTGGCATGTTTGACTGCCTTTTGGGTCCTTTCTCAAGGATCTTGGATAGGTATATATGGATGTTTGAAGGTGTTACAGATATCATCGCAGGATGTAAGCTGTTCCAAGTAGAGCTACCTTTTGCAATTCACTGATGGTGAATTTATCAATTCTGATGGTGTTCAAGCGGTGCTCCAATTGTTTTGGGATTGTACCCAAGGCACATAAGAGCTGTGGTGGTGCAGTGGTTAGAATGCAGTATTGCAGGCTAATTCTGCCGACTGCCAGCAGTTTGATTCTCAGCTACTCAAAGTTAATTCAGCCTTCCATCCTTCCTACTACTCACCAAAAGGTTTCCATCCACAGCGAGAATCATTATGTAATGTTTTAACAGATGGAATGTGGATGGCATGTTCTTTATAGGCATCCCTCTCACTAATTTGAAGAGTTGTACAGTGTTTATGCAGTTCTCCCTAAATTAGAGTGGAAGAAAAGGGAAATTCTACTGAATATTTTGTTTTGTTGAATCTTTACCTTACTGGAACAAATTATCAGACACACCGGTAAATATATTTGAATTGAAGTTAAATAAGTTATTTTATACTGTATTACTTCAAAACTTGATAAGGCCAATTCAATCTTTCAAGTTTTAAATAACATGCATTATTCAGTTTCAAATTTATCTGGCATATTACTTATTATAAAATTAAATTTAAAGTTAAGGATCCCATTTCCTGATTATGTTAACTTCTATGGATTACCGTAAATGCCGGCGTATAAGACGACTTCCGCGAGCGTTGAAATCGGCGCCAAAGACGGGGGTCGTCTTATACGCCGAGTCGTCTTATACGCCGGAAATACTGGTAGTTTCCGGCATATAAGACGACGTTCTAGGAATGCGGCCCGGCTATAAAGACGGGGGTCGTCTTATACGCCGGGTCGCCTAATACGCCGCCATATACGGTATATTTTTTCTTGGCTGCATATATTTACTTATTTTTTATTTTTATGATTGTTCACTGCCCAGAGTCACTTGTTTGAGATGAGTGGCCATATAAAATGAATGAATGAATGAGTTATCTTCCTCTATTATTTTAAATCTTGATAAGACTAATTCAGCTAGATGATAACTTTTATTTTTATCACAAAACTTGATATGCCTAATTAGCCACATGAAAAGTGAAATGAAAAGCAGAAAAAGAACTGGACAGCTTTTAAAAGACTATCCAACATAATTTGCCAGATAAATTCATCACAATATATCTGCATCTTTACAAACATCCCAGTGTACATTTATAATATTTCAAACATGTGATATCAAGTAAAATAAAGCCCTTTTAAGACATATTCACAAGCATTACATATCTTTTGATATAGCATCTTTGTAGAATGTTAACCACATAATAGTTTTTATGAATATTTTTATTTAGCGTATTACTGTACATCTGTCTAGTTGTAATTGTCATCCAAAATTTTTAAAGATCTACTGCTCTGTCATTTGCAGTTTAGTTTTAGGGAAGATATACTTCCTTGTTTGACATCATCAGGATATAGAAAAAAAACATACTTCCTTGTTGCTTACCTTAACTATACTGATTGGCTTCCTTGATAAATGAAAACTAACGTACAGCATGAAAGTCAAGACAAATATGAAAGCCTTATACCTGTAACAAAACAAACATTTCATGCTTTGCAGATATTTTATTTGGCACAAATATATTAGGAATTATTTTAGGTTGTTCTATTATATCTACATTTTTTTCTGTACACAATTAATTAGTTAAACAATATGAGAAATGAAGGTAAAATCAGTTAAGTAATTTTCCAAAAGTAAGAAGGAAGTTACATAAAAACATATTTCATGAGTAGAATTTCCCCAAGATTAATAATTCAATAATTTAAGCTTTGGCAGGCCTCAGAAATTATGTATCAGGCATAAACACTGTTGGACTAGACAGAAAAATATGAGAACAGCTTGCAGGTATTCTGAAAACTGATTCATGGCCAAGGAGTGTGATATCTATATTACAGGTAAAATGGGCGATTTTTCAACAAACGGCTGTGATTTTTCAGGATATTGATTGCCTAGTTACAAACCTTATCTAATCTCTAGGATATGAAAAACTTCATACGTGTTTTGCATATCAAGTCAATAAAGATTATACCACTTTCTACGTAGTTAACTGACAATCTCATACGTACTTGAACTCTGTAGTTCTGTTCTCAACAAAACACATTTGTGGATCATGCCCAACCATTATACTACAACACTTGTTAGAAATAGATCTGTTCTATATTATTACAACCATAAGAATTAACACAGAGAAAACAAATACACATTTTAACAATAGATATCCTGAACAATACTTTCTATCTGCCTATAGATTTGTTAAATAGGAAATCATACCCAGATTCCTTTTCAAGTAATAATAGACCACAACTTACCATTGATCTTTTGTAAACGAAGTGATCAAACGAATCCCAGGTGGAAGTTCAGCCATTTACATGAGTACCAGGTTCAGATGTTTGTTCCACGTTTTCAGTAAACCAAAATGTAATGCTGATTACATTGGTTCCTTGATGTTACCAATCACTGAGTGGTTAATTCTTTTCCCATATACCTGACTTTATACAAATAGAACATTTTCATGCCATCAGTTTATGCACTCCTTTTTTAAATATAAGCCCACTGAGTTCTCTTGAACCAATTTTTAAGTCAGAGTTGATAGGATTGTAGTTAAAATCTTAAAAATCTTAAATTAAGGATATCAGCTCTATCATAAGGATAAACATAAATTCAAACAGAAGGCATTATCTTTGTATTCCATTCTATAGAAGAAACATGTATTGAACAAAAATGATCAGAATCCTGAAAATATTTAAGTTATATGTTTAGCTCTTTTTTCACATTAAAAGTCATAACTGAAATGCTGTATTTTAAAAGAATTATGAAGTGATGGAGTTCTGGGGTCCCAAATTATTTGGTGTTATAGATGCCAAGAAATTCAGATTCATTTTCTGGAATGTGAGTACTCCAACTTGCCATTCATCCAAATATGCGAACATGAGTCACATATCTTGCAACTGTGAAAGAAATAGGTGATATTAAGGCCATACATTTTTACTGAAAATCTTTTTATCATTTGGTGTTGCTTTACCTATTTTAGGCCAGTTTTCAATCTAAGTCTAAAAATATGCATAATTTCAAGCATGATTCGTTCAGTTCTGCATATTTGATATGAAACTTTTGAAGAAAATATTTTTATTCTTTAGGGATATTGGAGGTGGGGTGGAGGAAGATCTCCTTTCTTGAGTGATTTGTCTATTCTCTAGTCAATTTCACAAATCTATAAGCTACCAAATGTTAGGGTTTTGTTTATTTTCTATATTCATGTAAGTAAAATATTCTTTCTGCTAGGAGGTAATGTAAAACCAAAGATGCACACAAAAATGTTTTAAAGAAAGAAGACAGATGAGAGTATATGTCCTATAAGTACAAATGTCAAAGCAAAACTTAAACAACAATTGTTCCTTAATTGTAGTGCTTGGCTCAGTAACTTTTCTGGCACAGCTCGGGATAGCTATAGATTATAACACTGATTCCTAATTGTATGACAAAAGCAGCCATAAATATATTCTTTTCCCAAGGTGATGCTACTAAAATAAGAGTGGTGCGACCTAAGAAAATCTTGGTTTTATGATATGAATAATATTTAGATGGTTTTTCTTTGGGAAAACATTAGGATTAAGCAAAGATTTGTTGTAGAAAAGAACCACATATTTTAAAAGTTAAGTAACAGAACCAGATAACTGTTTGTCATCCCTAATGATGGTGAAAAAGAAAGAAAGAGGGAGAAAAGAGGAGGAGGAGGAGGAGGAGGAGGAGGAGGAGGAGGAGAAGGAGGAGGAGGAGGAAAAGGTTATGGTGAACAGCATCACTCATCACACAATAGTGTTAGGTCAGGAATGGATTTTTTCACTGTCTGCCTCATCACCTGTCACTTTTCAAATGAACCTTAAGGGCTGTCAAACTCCAGCTGTTCCATATGCTTTATCCTAGGCTCTGTTTTGTAAATCTTAGAATTCTAGTAAAAATAAAATAGGCATTACATATTTGAAGTCTATGTCAAGTTGACAGTGAGCTAATAGACTGTCAGACATGTGTTGCCTGAAAGTTTCTGGGTTTTTTTTTTTATACAATCACAATTTATAAGATAATTGTACTAAACTAAAAATAGTTTCCTGAAGATGAAATTAACTAGAGATTGGGATTAAATCAGAAACTGTAAAGACATTAATATTCTCCATGCTTCTGTACTGTGTGAAAAAAATGCTATTGTTGACTGGATCTTTCTAGGCTATGTAAAAAAGTTTATTTTAGAAAACATTTGAATATTGCAGATTTTATTGGGGAGAGGGGTGCCAATAAAAAGCAACTTGTTAATAATTCTGCTATTTTCAGCTGGCTTCCATGCTCTGTTTAAGATTGTTAGAGAACATTTCCAATGTAAAAGATAAACTTCCATGCATGCACAATTTTTACCTTAAATAGAGAGCCTGCTGTAATGAAATAATTTGTCCCAGCCTAGAACTGACTTCTATATAAAGTGAAAGATATTGGTCAAGTCTACTGACCTTATTAAAATGTCTCAATCGTTTGTAATTATTGCACCTGTTAACCATGATGAAAGCCAGTAAGTACAAACATAAAACCAAACTTTTAAAACCTAAGTGATTCTTTTCTCTCCCTGAAACAGCAACCATGCCCTACATCTGGAAAGAAAACTCATTTAAGGCTGAAGTTAGGTTCTTTCAAGAATCTCAGTACACAGGATGAGATTTAACACCTTAGCTTTTGAAAAGCTGATTGATAAAATCAGTTAAGAAACTGCTGCACAGTTGAAAAACCCTCACCCCGCCTAACCCATTTAGTTAAACGGAAGCGACTAGCCACCATACAGGTCTGGGGATGATTGGGACTATCTCAATACTCATAACCGTCTTTTCGTGAATATATCTCGGAAAAGCATACAACCAATCAACAGCAATACATAACAACACAGCTTAAATAAACATTACTTAAGGGTGAACCATTAATTTCGTCTGGGGAGATGTGTTCAAAACGATGCACCGATGTCTGGGAAAAAGACTGGGGCCAACATAAGCGCCCCCACCTGCTCTCCCCTCCTCTCCCCCCCGCACACACCATCCATTCATCCGCCGAACCCCCCTTCAGTTTGCCGCTCGGTTGGTTTGCCCGGCCGCTGCCGCCGCAGGTGCGCTACGCAGCTCTCCCTCTTAAGAGGAGAGTCTCCGCTCGGGCAGGGTAGAGCATGCTAAGAAGTTGCTGCCTCCCCGAGAGCCCCTTTTTTCTCCCCCCCCCCCAGCTCCCGCCCATTTCCTCCACACTGGCTGATCTCGTAGTGCGGCAATTTACCCGAAAGCGAGGAGATGGTGGCGGCTGCCGGCTGGTCTTGGAAAGAAAGACGCTCCCGGCGCTTCAGGAGACCGTTTCCGACAGCTGCGACTTCCTGGTTTAGGCGCGGCTCGGGGCGAGGAGACTCGAGCGAGGAACCTGTCCGGCTCGTTCAAGCCCAGTCTCCTCTTTCTTCTGGGGCAAGAAAAGGGGACGCGAAGGCGTAGCTCGAGGTGGCAAATGTCAGACCTGGAGGGAGGGCCGAACCCGCCTTCCTTTCTTAATGAACTAATTATTCTAGGTTAGCCTGAAGCCCCGTGTTTCCTAAGCAGAGCTACAGGTACTCCTCAACTTACGACCACAATTGAGCCCAACATTTCTCTTGCTAAGTGAGACATTTGTTACGTGGATGTTGCCCTGTTTTGTGACCTTTCTTGCATTGTTGTTAAGTGAATCATGGCTGTTAGTAACATGGTTGTTAAGTGAATCTGATTTCCCCCTTGTCTTTGCTTGTCAGGTCACAAAAGGGGATCACATGACCCTGGGACACAGCAACCGTCATGAGTCAGTTGCCAAGCATCTGATTTTTGATCATGGGGATGTTGCAATGGTCGTAAGAGTGAAAAATGGTCATAAGTCACTTTTTTCAGTGCTGTTGTAACTACAATTCATTCAGTGACTGTTCAGAGTAGAAGATAACGTATACTGGGGAAGTCAAGCTAAAATAGAATTGCTTTTTTAAAAAATGGATTAAAAGTATTTATAGTAGATCAAAATCCAACAAGGACAATTTGCTTTTAAAGGAAAAACTGTGATGGGGGAGGCTTAAATGGCTCACAGCAGAGCTCCTACTGCTGAAATAGCAACTTTATCTAGAATGTCTTCCCTGATAATTTTAGTTTGCAAACATAGTAATAACTGAAAAATAGTGCTTCCAGAACACAAACTCTTATAGTATCAATTTTGCTGACTACCTACGTGCAATTTTATTGAGACTTATAATTGATTGGGCTTCATTTTCCATACAAAATATCTGGGATACAAAGCCTATAACGAAGCCCAGATGGATCTGGTAAGCAGAATGTATAAGCAGAAAACACAAGCATTATAAACTAGAAGAGTATATATAATACAAATAAAAGTTAATTTAAATTCCTGCAAGCATATCTGTCCAATTGATTAGAGTGAGGTTTCATAGCAATTTGAGTTAACTGGGAGATGGCGAGTTCCACTCCCACCAGGTCAGCTGGGTGATCTTGGGCCAGTCACACACTCAACTCTGGGAAGGCCGTAATGGCAAACAATTTCTGAATAATCTTGCCAAGGAAAACTGGTGGCTCTGATCCAGGCAGTAGTCAGGAGTCAATACTGACTTGAACGCACATATACAAAAGAATTAAGCAATTCACTGGCAGAAGTTCTGGCTTTAGTTTTTAAAAAGTTACCATCCCACGCATATTTGCTTGGAAGTTAAATATCTCTGGATATATAGAAGGATTTAAAACTAAACGTATGTAGGTTTGCACAATTTTATGCATGTCTTGGAGTGGGCCTGAAAACATCATTATAGCCATTAAAAGAAAGAATTGGCTCTGAGAATCAGAAGTGGTAAAACTGTACTTCCGTCCAGGACTGCAGTCAATCATGTCTTTTTCCACGGTATTATATTTTATTAATATAATTAATATCCTTCCCCTCTTTCTTCCATACCTCCAGTCAGTTAATTTTCTATGCCTAATCTCTGCTGATTTGATTTGGGGATAGGTCTTCCCAAATAGCTTTTTAAGTGCATTGGTATTTATATTTCTACTAAATTTGGGAAACTCCAAACCTACTACTAATTTGCTATTGTGCATGCATGTGACATTTCATTTATATTTGTGTTTACACAGAAATCACTATACAGATGAACTCTGATGATTTAGTTTATCTAACTAAAATATTTCCTTTGTTACAGGGAGCAATTTTTTTTTTCTGAAATCAAGCTGGTTGCCTAGACCTAGAGATAAGTAAGAAAGGGAAATAAAATAGTACCTCCTCCTTCGCAGTTTGTGCATTCTTGTTTTGTTTTGCGAAACAGGAAAACCATAACCACAAGAAATACATGTTCATTTTGATAAATAACAACAAACGTTTCAAAAGATATGCTTATTGTGCTTCCTCTACAAGAATAACTCTAAGCTGTTTTACTGGATTTTTTTAACTGTGCATCTTAATAAGTTCAGTAACTTCAAAACATGAAGGGGGCAAAACAGATCAAACATATTCTTTCAACACACATACCAGATGCCTGGTTTTCAAAAATGTCTTTTAATTAGACTACTACCCTACACTAGCTCCTATGTATGGATTACTATTTCAGTACTTTGAGATTACTCTCTTAATCTTATAGTTTATCCTGAAAATAAAAATAAATATAACTAAACATATATTTGGAAGAATGCATCTTGCAGATTTCTGTGAGGTGGCTATCATTTGCCCCATTCCCCTGTCTCTCTGCCCCCAAGAAACTCTATTCCAGAAGTTGAGTGATTCTTAGAAAAGATACCTCTGGTTTCAATTCCTTTCAGTAGCAGAACTCTGAGTAGATTTCTGTTCAGTGAATATGGAGAGAAAAATGTTGGAACTAATCTACAGAAATTAGGTTAATAAGTGAAGGAAGGCCAAAATAAATTAGTCTAGACAATAAATATTTATGAGGAGGACACATATCAGTATTGATATCCGCCCAAAGAAAAGGGTGTGTCCACTTGTTTCCCCAGATAGAAATAATTATGCACTGGTACTTTGCTGTATATGTCATTGGCTTAAATAGCCTACAACAAAACTGTAAAATTGCATTGACATTTCTTGGGAGAAAATATGATTAACTGTATTTGTGATAAATTATGTGGTCTTGCTGATGCTACAGTCTTTGGTGGAAATATGGCAGTCAATGTACATCATGGGATGATGCAAAATTTCTTAGCATGAGGCAGTATTTTTCAGCACAAACCAAAAATTACTACATGCAAATTTGTCTTCTGAAAAATCATAATCTACCAGCTCTCTGTTCTTGGAAACAAGGGATGGCTAACATATGAGCACATCCCCCACACAAAGGAGATAATGTAATAATTTAGGAAGTTGAGGGGCAGAGAGTAGACCAGTGGTGGCGAACCTATGGCACGGGTGCCAGAGGCGGCACTCAGAGCCCTCTCTGTGGGCATGCGCGCTGTTGCCCCAGTCCTAGGCCTTCTGGGTTTGGGTTTTATAAAACCTTTTCACTTTAGGCCTCTGCCGCTGTGTGCAAAAAAAAAAAAGTTCAGTCAATTTCAATTTCTCGCGGGAAAAAAAAAGATTTTGCAGAGTTGGAATTGATTGATTGAACTTTTTAGTCCCACCCAGTCTGCCATTACCATTGCAGCCATGCCCATCCAATGGGCCACACCCACCAATGGGCCACACCTACCCGGCACTCGACGATGCATAAGTGGGTTTTGGGTTGCAGTTTGGGCACTCAGTCTCTAAAAGGTTCGCCATCACTGGAGTAGACATTGTAAAGTATTAATAATGAGATAGAAAGCTTGTGATAAATAATGGGTTAGGGAAAAACAATTTATATTATGTGCTGAAGTATTTATTTAATTGTTTATCTGTGACATGATTGGACTGAAGCAATCAGTTCACACAGTTACTTTATCTGTACAGTCAACTTTTCCTTGCTCTTTGAATACCCATCGTGGCAAAAAAGGAAGGGGAAAAGGGAAAGAAAAAAAAAGGCAGCTTTGGTTTATTGAAAGAAATACTAATCCATATGTTCACATTTAAAGGCCCCTTTGTTAAAAGTGGAAGAAAAACTATAAGCAATGTTTTCCATTTGCTCCTCAATATTCTTTTATAAATATTTTATTAATTTTCTAATCTTACAATCATGAGTACTTAATAAACAACATGTTGTCTGGGTCTATTGGTGATTCAGTGGTACATATTAACTTTCTCAGTTTAGTTCCAATACTACACCATCCAGTGCTTCCTTGGTCCTCTCTTCTTCCGGTGGTATGCATTTTTCCACACTGAGCAAATACAATTCTTGTTACTGTTAATACATATATAATTAAATATAGACATTTTCATCACATTTTTCTGGTATACATAATATCAGTAGTGTCAGTTTATAATATCTTTTCTAATCAAAGCATATCTCAATTGTATTTGCACTTAAAATCCATTTGTTCAATCAATATCCTGTTTTTTCCACTTTTTAAAAATTTTAATTTCCCATCAGTGTTCAAAATATCTCTATTGCTTATAATTGTCTCATAATGAATTATATTTGGATAATCAAAAGCTTCCCTTATTCAAACCCTTTTAAAATTTTCCTATTTTCCATCTCATAACAGAGTATAATATTCTAGTTACAAATCCTATCCTAATTATAATAATACTTTTATTTCTAACAGTTATCTACTTTCTTAACCATATTCAAACATCTGTTTAATAGTAAAATATCCCATCTAATAGGTCAAAACCTCTATTTTCTTCAGTCTTACTCTAGCTTTCTTCCTTTCCCAAATAACTTTCCAAGTCAGTGCATTTGAATCATCAAGTCATTCCTCTGTTTTTGTATATATTGTATGGAATGAGGAAGAAAATTTGATTAAAGTATTTTTGGAAGAGGCTCACCCATTTATATTCATTAAATAGTCTCTGTCCTCCTTCAGTTTTTCTTTTCATTTCTTGTTTGTCAATATTCAGCATTTCTCCTAACAGCTTTATCATCTGTTTGATCAGGTCTTCTTCCCTATCCTCAAATGTGTTCTGAGATCCTGACAAGTAAGGTATCTTTTCCATTTCTGGTGTTATCAATGCATCTTCTAATTTTTCATTTGTCTGTATCTGTCTGTTAATTCCTTCCTTTAGGTCCTCCATCTTTGGATCCGTTTCTTCTAATTTTCCTTCTGTTTTCTGGGTTACTAGTTCCTTCTTTGTAGTCATTGTCTAAATTTATAGGTTTAGGTTAGAAATTTGTTCTTTTATTTCATTTGTGTTATTTTTAGTCTCATCATGAAATAAAACAATTGTCTCTTGGATAGATTTCAACATAGAAAGAATTTATGAGATTTATTAACATTTTTTTGCTGGTATATCAAGCTGGGGGCTTTGGAGACAAGTGTTAAAATGTTTTTTTTAACCATTTGTGGCTAAGTATGGAACACCCATTTTGTTTTTGTATGTAGTCTTTATAGTCCAATAAGGTCCCCAATACAGATAAGCAGCCAAAGAGGTTTTTTTTTCCCTTTTCCCAGCTGCAGTCTGTAAAAGTGAAAATTTCCAGGAACAACAAAGTCTTATCTTCAAGCCACGTTTCCTTTAAGCATAATAAATTGTAGTGCTTGGTTTTGTAGATTAAACATTTGTGTTTATGATTTTATCCTGGTGATCACTTTATTTTACTTCACATTATATATATATATATATATATATATATATATATATATATATGTATGTATGTATGTATGTATGTATGTTTGTGTGTGTGTGTGTGTATGTATATGTATGTATACACACACACACACACACACACACACATATATATCAGAAAACAAGTGATCAAACAATAAAAGACAATGATTACACGTGATACTTGAACAATAGAAAACATTGATTCTAAATAACATTTCACAAGTTATCTATTTGTGGGTTACATTACTCTTTTCCAGCTGGGTTTGTATCTTTCTTAAAACTTGCAAATGTATTCAGGAATTTTCAGAATATGCTGAAAAGACAAGTTCTTTCATACCAAAAGAATAGCCTTGGTTAAAAAAAGTGTTTTCCTAAAGTTAAAAACAACCCATGTTAAAATTGTAATAACAAAGTCTAAAATTCCAGATAACAATACAGAACAAGAGGGGAAAAATAGAGTTCAGTGTAAAATAGTCCCAATATTAAGGTAATTGCAGCATCATGAAAGTATGCATATTCACTTTGAATATATCATTTTAACTCAGCGGGAATAAACCATAAGACTATATGAAACTGAACTGGAAATCAGATTTTAGCCTCTACTTTTTGGTGCCTTAAGTAAAACCACTCTTAGCACCTCCAGATTCATGTATTGTACTAAACTATAATTTGTTTAAGCATATTCAGCTGATTCAGTTACTATTCCATAAATTACAAGTCATAATTGGGGGTTTACATAATACATTAAGACGAGCACGTCATTATGGCTTAATATAATGAATGACAGAGGGACCTGCCACTATGATAATTCTTACCTTAATTGCTGTTAGAAGGACTACAATTAGAAAATATGCATGAAATGCTTTTATTGGAATTCTTAAAGTCTTAATTCAGGTGAAGAATCAATTATGGGACAATAAGCATGTAAGCGTGTGGGTCTGCACTTAGTTGTTTAAACGATTCCGAAGCAGAAACAAACAAAGCAAGACGTTTAAGACCTGTTTACCCAGGGACCAATAGGACTGAGTAAAAACTTTAGGGATTGCATTGAAATCTCAGCTGTACATAGCTATTGCCCTTAGCGGCGTGGTATCGAAGACTCCTCGTTTCCTGATTGAATTACAGAGGAACTGCAATGGGATGCTCCCACCCGTGAGCAGGAACAAACCGCGCTAAAGGAATTGACAACGCTTAGCTGTAATTTGGACTGACAAACTTCTTCCTGCGGTCTATCAGACAACAGCATAACTAACACACAAAAGGGAGTGAGGGAGGGAGGGAGGGGAAAACCGTCACCGCCCAGGATCCGGTTGCCCCGGCGACTTTAATCCAGAAGTTCCGCCTCCTAGACTCTGGGAAGGGGGCGGTATCTACTGGGAACGCCATCTCCATGGTGATACAGCTGGGTGCAGCATGTCGGATCTTGGCTCTGAAGAGATCGAAGAGGAGGCAGAGAATGATTTGGGGGTCAGTGCGGGCTATGGGGATGGGGGAGAGGCAAAGAGAAGGGGCTGGCTATAAATGACAACGGAGCAAAAGAGTAGGAATCTTTTGCTACTAGATTTGTGCATATTTTTATAACGATAGGAACATTTGGAAAAGACAAATACTAATTATCACAAATCATGAATTAAGCTTATTATAAACCAGTGCAGAAACAATTAAAATTCAAAAATTGGGGTGGCAACAAGTTACCAAAATATTATAGTAAAACACAGAAGATTCTACGAAATGTATTCTTTAAAAGGTGCAATTAAAATAAAAGCAGAAAGTTGACTATTTTTCCTTATTTTTTAAAGATTCAAATAAGGAAACCAGTATGTATACTTCACATTGCTTTTAAATGGGAAGGAGCTGTATTCTACTTGCAGAACACATTAACTGCATGCTTGAAGGTCTTGGGTTCAGTTTCTAGCAATAGGAACAATCTCTGTTTGAAACCCTGGACATTTCCAGAAGAATAATAGTGTTTTGGGCAGCAAAAGCAAATGTGATCTTGCAAGATTTTAAAAATACCAATATTGTTTCAGGGCGATAATAGTGTAGTACTGAACATCATAGTCTAATAACAATGTAGTACTGAACCAGTGGTCTGACTCACGATAAAGCAACTTGTGTATTCTGATGTTTATATAAATACAGCTTTGAAACATTTTAATTCTCTAAGCATATTAATGTTTAGTATATGTATCAAGTGTAGCTAAGCAATGACTCTGGTCATCCCATAGTAGCTAGAATATTGGACTGTGATCAAGGAGATGCAAATTCAAATCCCCATTTGGTAATGAAGCTCATTTGCTGACTGCTCAAATCAGTATCACTCTGCTCCTTCTATCTACAAGGTAGTTCTTATACTGATAACATGAAGCAAGGTTTTCATGACTGAGCATCTGAACAGCAGCATAGAAATGTCGTACAATATGGTCGTTATCATTACTTCACTAGGAATATGAAGGTGGACGCAATGAGGCTGGTGAACGGCATGGACATGGGAAAGCCAGATTACCCAATGGAGATACCTATGAGGGAGAATATGCAAATGGTAAAAGAAATGGAAAGGTAAGATTTAGTTAGAAATAACTTGTCCATTATATATACTAATGAAAAAAATCAACTGTATCTTCTTAGCCAAACTAAAACAAGAGATAAGGACCAATGACTTCAGGGAAAGTCAGTTTGCTTGTTTGTTTATTTATTTACTTTATTTATTTACTTACTAAATTCAATTTGTATAACCCCCGATGCCCAATGATTATGTTTGCAAAATAATTTTAGGAAGGGAGTCCCTTAATTGCAGAGCTAGGAGTAGCCCTAAAGCCTTGATAGTGGGTAGTCTTATGACTGAAGCTCCTCCCTTTTGTGCATGAGATATTGATCCGTATATAAAGCATTGATCACACTGTCATGCCTGTTACCTTGGGTTTTTTTTTTTTGCTTTCCCTGTAGATAACAGAATAACAAAGTTGGAAAGGATCTTGGGGGTCTTGTAGTCCAACCCCCTATTCAAGCAGGAAATTCCAGGGCTTTTTTTTCTCATAGAACACCCAGAATGGAGTTCCGGCACCTTTTTTGGATGGAACTTTGTAGGGTAGGCAAGGCGGGCTGTATGACGTGTGTGAGTTCTGGCACCTTTTTTTTTTTTTTTTTAGAAAAAAAGCACTGGGAAATTCTATAGCATTTCAGACAATGGTTGTCCAAGATCCTATAGACAGAAAAATCCCAAAATCAAATAAGATCTGAGCATGCTCAATAAGCATAGAATGCAACCGAAAACCCCCAAAAGAGATGGAATACAATGGTATCACTGGAACAGTCAATTGTATAATATTCTACTGTATGTCTCACTTGTTTTGTATTAGGCCATTTTCCCAGTATAAGCATTGCAATAAAGCATCTCTATAATATATATGTTTCAGGGTCTATATAGATTTAAAAATGGTGCAAGGTACATTGGTGAATACCTTGAAAATAAAAAACACGGCAATGGGATCTTTATTTATCCAGATGGATCAAAATATGAAGGTATTTATATTTTCTTCATTCAAATAGTACCACATCATAGATAGAGAATTATTGAAGATGTTAGTATCTAATCATGTTGTTAAATCAAAGGAAATATACCTAAGTATAATTAATATGCATGTGAAAATAGGTTTCTTTATGATTCTGTTTGCACATTCCTTAAAGTCAGAATATATTTTGGTTACAGTTTGCCAACAATGTGATAAAGGGGTGGAAAAATATTGTAAATATTGTCACTGAGTTACATCTGATAGATGAAATTTGTCTCTTAGTGCACTGTATGTTAAAACGTCATCATTATCTAGATCAGGGGTGTCAAACTGCTGGATGTGTCATGGCGAAACTGCGCCCACCCCATTGCCGGCAATGGAAAAAAAGTCATGATATATCGCAACACGTCATGTGACATTGTGACTTTGACACCCCTGATCTAGATCAATTGGCCCAAAGTCAGTATCCCCACTTTCATCCAATTTTCCCATATTACCATCTTTTCCCCAATTTTTAATGTTAGGTTTCCCCATGAAGTCAATTTAGCATAGAAAAAGTATTGCAGCTTTTTTTTTAGATATTACACTACATAGCTTTCGAACTGATATAACTGTATCTAGAAGAACTAGAGTTCTATTGTATTTAGAGCCTAGAATGTAACTTTACACTAAGGTAGAATTTGCTCATCTGGTTGTGTGACATCAACCTTGGAAGTCTGAAAGTACATTTCTCCCCTGTCCCTTTTACAACCCAAGAAACTAGGGAGGGTCCCTTCTGAACTGCTGACCCCACCCAGATTCCTGCTGTAGGCTAAGTTGTCTTTTATCTGACTGTTCCCTTAGCTGCACTTCTTTTTCCTATCTCCCAAGGTCATTCCCACATACCATTGCAACTTCTGAGACTTGATAAGAGCCGCTTTATGGGGGAGATGGGCAGTTAAGAAGTTTAATAAACAAACTTAATAATTTGTGGTATTGTCATTACTTTCTTCTATCATTTCTATAGGATTCTTTTAGTTCAGTGTGACCTTGCTCTCTCAATCATGATAATAAAATTTGGATTGTTTTTATTACTGCATAAATACTGTATATTTTTTTTTAAAGTAATGTAAATATAAAGACCAAACACTATGGTTTATAAAGCCTATTCATTGCAGGAGACTGGGTGGAGGACCAAAGACATGGAAATGGAGTTTATTCTTACATAAATGGAGACACATACACTGGAGAGTGGTTCAATAATTATAGGTTTGCTTTGCCTAATTTCAGATGTATGTTTTACTTCTTATAAATAATAAGTGTCCTCCAGAGATGTTAAACTACAGTTTCTATCATCTTTTGAGATTATGGCTGTATGATAATTGTATTTATTGTGAGACTAATAGACTACAGTAGATGAAAACGTTGTCAATAATCTTCCAACTAATATGGGTTGTGCAATTTCTACAGCCTTAATTGTGTAATTTAATAGAGGGACCATTGATATATTCATTGTTTTTTCCTGAGCAACATAGACATCTCATTTAACAACAATTCTTAATTCTAACAGAAACATTTATTATTAGTTATCTTCTTTTCTTTTACTATATCTTGGATATCCTGGTGTTGGAAATGATTAGATTTGTTTATGATTATAGTTTATACTATTTTACTCCATTAGCTATCCAGAGAACAGTGTTATTAGATAGCAATATAAATATAGTAAACAAAGGAAGACTCTTTTTAGCTGAAAATCAATATACATTACCTGTTGCAGCAACCCAGCGCATTCTTATTGAAGCTATATCTCTATATAACACGTAGACATTTCAATGCAAGTAATTTAATCAATGATTTAAATCAGATTTTTCTTAACACTTAATTATTTAATTTGCTTTGATTTAAATTAATCCATTCCTTGACAATGTGAGGAAGATTTTATGCAAGATTAAGGATAAGAATTTCTTCTGTCTTAATACAAAGCAACCTTTTCTCTCTCCCATAGACATGGGCAAGGTACTTATTTCTATGCATTAACTGGTTCTAAATATGTTGGCACTTGGGCAAATGGGCAACAAGAAGGAGCTGCTGAACTTGTTCACCTAAACCACAGGTTCCAGGGAAAGTTTGTGAATAAAAATGTATGTATGTAAGAAATTATATTGCTTTCTGAAAAATGTGCGTTAGGCATAGAAAATAAAAGACTTTCAGCTTCTTTTGTATCTAACCCCATTTTAGTAATGATCATTCTGGTATACAGAAACTCATTTTGTACAGTATTTGCACAGTCATTTAGATGAACAAATATTTTTCAACTGCTATTTTGAAGGAGCCCTAGAGATATTTTGATTAGCAAGAATATGTTTGTCTTATTTTCATATGAATTATTTATTTATTTATTTAATTTATTTATATGCCGCCCAATCCCAAAGGACTCAGGGCGGCGTACAAAATTAAAACAATCATCGAGAATAAAACAATAAAATAATTCAATCATACCGCAAGTCCGATCATGTCCCGCCCCCCCCCGGGGACATCAGCCCCAGGCCTGCCGGAACAGGAGAGTTTTAACGGCTTTCTTAAAGGCCGGCAGGGTGGGAGTTGTTCGAACCTCGGGGGGAAGTTGATTCCACCAGGTCGGAGCCACCACAGAAAAGGCCCTTCCCCGAGGGCCCGCCAGCTGACATTGTCTGGCCGATGGGACCTGAAGGAGGCCCAATCTATGGGACCTCACCGGTCTCTGGGAACTGTGCGGCAGTATGCGGTCCTATAAGTAACCTGGCCCTATGCCATGAAGGGCTTTAAAGGTGATAACCAACACCTTGAATTGGGTCCGGAGACCCACAGGAAGCCAGTGCAGCTTGCGGAGGATAGGTGACACTTGGGCGTACCTTGGCGCGCCCACAATCGCTCTCGCGGCTGCATTCTGAACCAACTGCAGCCTCCGAATGCTCTTCAAGGGTAGCCCCATGTAGAGCGCATTACAGTAATCCGGTCTTGAGGTGACGAGGGCATGAGTGACTGTGAGTAAAGCCTCTCGGTCCAGATAAGGCCGCAACTGGTGCACCAGGCGAACCTGGGCAAAGGTCCCCCTGGCCACAGCCGATAGATGTTGTTCCAAATTTAGCTGTGAGTCCAGGAGGACACCCAGGTTGCATGCCTGCACTGAGGGAGGTAAATTTGCCCCCCCCCAGGACTAATGATGGACCATCCAGTTGACCTTTGGGAGGCAAGACCCAGAGCCACTCGGTCTTGTCAGGGTTGAGTCTAAGCCTGTTCACCCCCATCCAGACCCTCACATCTTCCAGGCACCGGCACATCACGTCGACTGCTTCACTGAAAGGACACGGGGTGGAGATATATAATTGGGTATCATCTGCGTACTGATGATACCTCACCCCGTGTCGCCGAATGATCTCACCCAGCGGTTTCATGTAGATGTTAAAAAGGAGGGGGGACAGGACCAAGCCCTGAGGCACCCCATGATCGAGGTGCCTAGGGGTCGATCTCTGTCCACCCGCCAACACCGACTGCGACCTGTCAGAGAGGTAGGAGGAGAACCACCGCAATACGGTGCCGCCCACCCCCACCTCTCCGAGACGACGCAGAAGGATACCATGGTCGATGGTATCGAAAGCCGCTGAGAGGTCAAGAAGCACCAGGATAGAGGAATGACCCCTATCCCGGGCTCGCCAGAGGTCATCGGTCAGTGCGACCAAAGCAGTCTCAGTGCTGTAGCCGGGCCTGAAACCAGATTGAAAAGGGTCCAGATAATTAGTTTCATCCAAGGATCGCAAGAGTTGGGACGCCACCATCTTCTCTACAACCTTCCCCACAAAGGGGAGGTTGGAGACAGGACGAAAGTTCTTCAAAACAGCTGGGTCCAGGGAAGGCTTCTTGAGGAGGGGCCTCACCACCGCTTCCTTTAAAGGTTGCGGGAAAGACCCCTCCATCAAGGAGGCATTGATTATCGCCTGGAGCCAGCCTCGTGTCACCTCCCTACTGGCAGAAACCAGCCAGGAGGGGCACGGGTCCAATAAACAGGTGGCGGCATTCATTGCCCTCACGGCCTTGTCCACTTCATCAGGGGTCACAGGCTCAAACTTGCTCCAGATAACATGACTAAGACCAGCCCCCGGCAACTCGGCTGGCACTGCCCAGTCGGAGTCCAGGTCTCTCTGAATCTGAGCGATTTTGTCCGAGAGAAACTGAACAAACTCCTCAGCTCTCCCCTGCAAGGGTTCCTCCGCCTCCTCCACTTTAAGAAGGGAGCGGGTCACCCTAAACAGGGCGGCCGGGCGAGATTCTGCGGACGCAATAAGTGCGGAAAATTTCATAATGGCGGCAACAAAAGCCATTAAGAATCTTGATCATATTTAAAAAAGCACATTTATTATTGCATAAGGTTTGGGGGGCTTCAGTTTAGCAAAGGCATGGAATGTGGACAAACATGTAGAAAAATGTAGAAATGAAGTTAAAAGAAAATGAAAGAAGGTTTTCATCAAGAACAGTAACAATCTTCAAGTCAGGAACAATAGATCTTGTAAGATTGAAACTGAGGTTTCCCCCCCCCCCCAAAGAAACTAAACTGTTTATTCTTACACAGTCCTGAAGGAAATTGCTGATAGATGCCATGGATGGTACAGCATGATTGTGGAAATATTTTGTGTTTTTAGAATATAAAACTGTTGAAATACTACTAATATAAGTTCCTTTGTTTATACAGCCATTAGGTCCTGGGAAGTATATATTTGATATTGGATGTGAGCAGCATGGTGAATATTGTCAGGAGGTAAGTGCTATTGGGTTAAATCATACTAACAACCAGAAAGCCCAGAATTATACTTTTATTTTTACTGTATTTCATTCTGTCTTACAGTTAAACAATAAAATAATAACTGTTACAACAAACTGGATATTATAATTTACGTGTAGTTTTATAAAACAATAAAGTCAACATTTTTGATAGCTGGCAATGCTAAAATCATTTCAACTATCTGGCTTATTTTTTTTAGAAGGAAAGTGATTTTGATTTTCCTCCCCTTCCCCATTCATCTTTTGGAGCAATACTTGCCTTGAATCCACACTGACCTTGGCCAAATAGGGCGGAAGAGGATTCTGTACAATATTCACTTTTCCCTAAATTTGCAAGGTCAGTGGAATCATCTAGTCGTTGCATTAATTATAATTAAATCATAATTAATTAAAGCAAGACTTTAAGAGCTTCCTTGTTGTCGCTTGATGCATCAATAGTTTGCCCAAATCAAAAGTAACAATTTTATAGTTTTGTGCAGGTATTGAAAAGAGATTGCCATTTTATATTCTGTATGCAAAAAGGCAATCTATCCTTACTGAATATAGCAATAGCACTTACACTTATATACCACGCCACAGTGCTTTACAGTCCTCTCTAAGAGTCTAAGTGGTTTACAGAGTCAGCACATTGCCCCCAATAATCTGGGTCCTCATTTTACTGGCCTTGGAAGGCTGAGTCAACCTGAGCTGTTCAGAATCAAACTCCTGGAATGAGCAGTGAGTTTGCCTGCAGTACTGCATTTTAACCACTGCACTCCTACGGCTCTTTCTTTCCTCCTCTCTTTCCTTGGGTGCCTTGATTTCATACAGAATTCACTTAAACCTGTGACTTCTCAGTTCATGTACCTTCAGTGCAAAACTGAACAAGTTGTGGCATTCAATATTTGCTATAAAAATTCACACGAAAAATTATTTTGTGGAATAGATGGCAAAGAACTGGCTTATATTCAAAGCAGTGAGAAGCTATCAGCCACTGACATGACATAGAACAAAATATGTGAGATCAGATGTCTTGCTTGTTTGTATTTGAATTAGACGTTTTAATGTTTTTTATTGCTTTAATGGTTTTTACTCTTTTTAGTGTTTTTAATTTTTTTTGTTAAGATTTTAATTGTAACATATGTTTTTGAATTGTGACCTGCCCAGAGTTCTTTGCTGAGATGGGTGGCTATAGAAATCATTCGTTCATTCATTCATTCATTCATTCATTCATTCATTCAATCAATCCACCAATCAATCAATCAATCAGTTAAATAAATGTAAAGTAAGGATACCTAGTTTTCAGACATACATGATTATCATGCATCTTATCCTTTGTGAATGTTGTGTAGCAGTTAATTTTATCTCACAAATACCCTGTGTTGCTTTAATAAATCTGTCTTTCCCCACAGCTTTCAAACTTTCCTCCTTGAACTTTTAAACTTTTGTATAATAAAAATAACATTTCATTTGATTCTTTTTGTAATTTGCTTAGCTCATACAGTACTGTACAAACCAAGGAAAAAGAAGGAGTAACAAACAAATATCTTCTACTCAGAATTATGAGAAACAATTAGCCATTGAAATCTTTTCAAAAGAGGTGCCTGTTGGCTTCAAAATAGAATGATTTTGCATGATTTGCTTGCATGTCACTTAAGTTAGAAAGAAATGTAGGGTAAACATTCCTTTGGTGTATTAATTGGCATTATATTCCCCACACATCCTAAATAATTATTTTAGCAATTTTTTTTGCTTGTTTGCTTGCTTTTGTTTGAATACAATGGTTCATTTTTATTTATAGAGACTATTTTTGCAATTTATGTTGGTAGAGAAAATACTTTATTTCCTAAAGTTTCCAGATGATTGAGTGAAACACAGTGATGGATTAAAATGAATTATAGGGGCAGTGCAATAGAAGTGGGACTTTCTTGCATAGAAAGACAAACCAATGGCAGGTGGAATGGCCAATAGGTTTCTGAAAAGAAATTTTATGAAATGCTGCATGGCAAATTTATCTAGCAGCACTTATATATTTAAGGGATAGCGTTTGAGTCACAACACATGCTTGTGAGTTGTGCGCCTTCTTTAATTCTCCATGCATCTAACTGTTTTAGGGGGAAATATTCTTGAACCATCAAAAGTATAACAAAATGCCAGTATTCAGTTAGTAGGTTTTTGTTGTTGATAAAGCACCTAGTATTTTCTTGGTAAATATTTCCAAAATGGAGAGTGGATTCTTTCAGCATCATTTTAAGGATATTGAAATCACAGAAGCAATGCACAGATTAAAAAATGGCATCTGATTAATTAGATTTAACATAATGTTGCAGAGTAACACAAATATTTCAAACCAATTAGTCAAAGCAAGATTTGTCACTAAATAGAAGGTCATAAATGTAAGGTTAGACAATACTTTCCCAGAAAATAGCTCCATTGTTTAAATATAGAATATTTTTGAGTCAAACACAAACCAGGAATTGGTGATATAAAAAAAATAGTCTATTTGAAGACCCCTAACAATGAAGCAGCAAGGAGAATGGCCCTTCTGGTAGGTCCAAAACTTTTTATGGCCTTTTTTTGTTCTGTATTTTGTGTTATGATCAAAAATTGACCAGCAGCTAGTGTACCCTTTGTAATAATAGCTGTATGCTTCTTACCTTTGATCCTTGCCAATAATTAGGCTCTAACATTCTGGAAAACTACCTGAGGTTTTTAGACAATTTTAAAGAGCACCCACCAGGAACATGGTTTAGTAATTCAGGCTTGGAGAAATAGCTGGCTCTGTGCATTGCTGGGAATTGCTAAGATGCGTGAAGCATGTGGTGCATGGGTCTTCATAAACTCTTAAGAAAAGCTTTTATCACAAATAGACTGGCCATTTCCTTTTTCATTTTTATTATTGTTCTGAATATTAATCCTTCTTTAGGAGAAAACAGAAGAAGAGGAGGAAGAAGAACCTTTGGTAACAATGACTCCAAAATGGAAAGCAACAAAAATTACTAACCTAACACTGTGGGTACCTGAAGAACCGCCTCCGCCAGAAGCAGCTCCAGCAGCTGCAGAAGGTCCACCAGCTGAGGAACCTGTAGTTGCAGGTTTGTATTTTGACTTTCGAGCAATCTTTTGTGCATCCATGAATTCATTTCTGGGGTACCAACTTAATAGATCAAAGTCTTGAGCACTTTCAGAAAGCTATATCGTTAGGGAGAATCCAGAGTCGACACAGTTTAAGAAGTAGTTATTACCAGTTTTGATAGTATCTTTTTCTAGACAGCTACTGTTTAGCTACAGTTGTTCAGAGCCTGCTTACCTTATTTATGCTGTAGATTATTGTAATGTGATCTATGTGGAGTCAACTTTACACTTGATCTGGAAGCTGCCATTGGTGTAGAATGTGAAAGCAGAGTTGTTGATAGGAGACACTTGGCTATGCTTATTATATCTCTGTTGAAGCAGGTATACTGGTAGTCAACCACCAAAGCAAGTAGTCAATCACCAAACTATATTCAGGTTTTATAACTATGACATATAAGACACTAGCTGGGGATCAAGATATCAAACTGACTCTTTATAGAACTATTTGAGTGTTAAGAGAATTAAAAGAGGCCCTGCTGTACATTGCTGTATTGATATATGTCAATTTATAATCACATATGGATCTTGTGGTAGTGCCTGAATTTTAGAATGTTTTGTCTTTGAAATTACCTCTTTGGAAAATCTCCCCCTTCAGCGTGGACTTCTCTTTCTGAATTGGGATGGCATTGGGAGAAGAACAAAGCAAGACTGTCTTTTTTTTCCTTAACACTTTTACATTGTTTTAATCAATGCTTTTCTTCCTCTGTGTTAGGAATTTCTATTGCCGTATTTGTCTTACAAAGGAAAAAAAGACTTTTGTCATCTGTTTGGAAGGAGAATTTCAGGTCGTACATCATTAATGAAAAGGAATAGCACAGAAATTAAGTAAGGCAGAGATTACTTGCTTTTCTAATTTTTCCTTCCCTTCTCCACACCTGTATTTCAGCTGGTGAGGAGAGTGCTGCTGAAGGACCCTCAGAAAGTGCAGGGGAGGCCACTGAAGCAGCCTCTTCACCGAAAGATATGGAAGAAGAAGAGGAGGCAGCTAAAGATGACCAAGGAGATCAGGGTGAGGGGAAAGGGAGAGGGAACATGCAGTAAATAAGTAAGCTGGTTACTCAGAAAGGACTTCTGCTGAGTATTAAGTATTTACACAATTTATCTCCTGCTTTTTGATTAAAGGACATGGTATACAAAAACAGTACACAAGACAATGCTAATGTCTTAGAATGTCTGGCAACTATTTAGAGAAAGTGCTGTGATTTTGCAAAATAGCTCTACTCCAATGTACTTGAATTAAGAAGCACCATGTTGGGAAGCTTTTTGCTGTTTACAAAAAGGGAGGAAGGTGAAGAATTTGCAGTTTGGGCAAGGGCAAGATCACATGCCTGCCATCTTGGCTTTTTGCTTCTCCTTCCCACCCACCCCTTTGAGGAACCTGTCCAGGTAGACATTCAAAACTGTATTGTTTTTGAATGTGGATGTAAGAGTTAGGCTCTCTGTTCCTGAATCATCATGTTGGAACATAGCATTGTACAAAATTGCAAAACTGAATCTTTACTAATAATGGATATACAAAGCTTTTTTAAAAAAAACTTTACCAATATCCAATTGAACACCATTCTCTTTCTTCATAGTATGTATTTAATCATCATACTTCTGATTTCTCTTAAGATTTTCTTAGCATTTTAAAATCTATTTTGCTCCGTTCTTTCTTTCCCGTCTTGTAACATTGTCTATATTTGGTTTTAGTTTAAGCCACTCAAGGAACTGTTTTCAGATTCTTTGGTTTGAACTACTACTTACAAAACTGTGAGTTCACAAATAACAGTGTTGCTATTTTTAATGCTAGTCTGTTTTTTTTCCCCCTCCACAACCATAGCTGAAGAAAAGGAAGAAGATACAAGAGAATCTGAACCTCAAGAATAATGGACACAAATTACAAAAACGTGGAAAGGAATTAGTTTTAATTCAGTCACATAAAGTTCATTAACTGAGAATTTGAATACATATTGAATTCTCTCACTGAAATCATTGGCTAATTTTGCTGAGTATATGACTTCAATTTGGTTAGTTTATTGGCTGGTTTGCTTGCTTAATGTTGGAAGCAGCAGACTTGTTTCTTTTCTGTCTGAGGTAAGATTTCCACTTCCATCTTTACTCATTCCTGCCTCTTTTCTTCCTCCCCAACCCCCTCACCCAAAAAATTAAATGCTATCTTTTCTGAATTATTTTCAACACTTTAAAGAAGTTTGTTATGCGTAGTTTAAAGAAACAATAAAATTTATATTGACTAAATTATATTGACTTATTTCTTCTCCTACATAATATTACATTTTTTTTTCACTTTCTGTCCTTTTCCTTCTGGTCCAATAAAATTGCAAATAAATTCTGTTCAATTTTTCTGCATATCCCTCCAAGAGATTTTATACAATCCAAGCCATACTCTTCGGTCAATTATGATTCTAAAGGAATTAAAATTAACCACAGCCAGCTTCAACCAATGGTTTAAAAAGGTTGGAAGACAGTACATAGACTGGAAGGAAATAAGCATGGAAACAAAAACCAAAGTACCTTCTCGGCTATATCAACATGCTGTCTTACTCCAGTCACATAAATGTTCCCACCATATTCCACAGAACTTACATACAACCCTCAATCCAAAACAAGTAACATACCCATTGCAACAAGTGACTCTGGACAGCGTACATCATAAAAACACAAAACAATTGTAACAAATCAAACTATATAAAATAAATATACAGTATATGGCTGCTGAGTAAACACAATTCCCATAGTGTTTAAATTCATGATTCTGATTTTCATAATCAGAATATTTGAAGTAGCACTTTTGTAGCTGGGGGTTGAAATGTTTTACTTATCCCTATCAGCTATAAATTAAGTATGAAAATATAACTTCTAAAATTATATCTGTACAGTATATAAACATTTTTCAGTTAGATATTTATAATGTGATTTATAATAGCTAATTTTGTAGCTGATTAAAGAGAAAAGATCCAAAAAATTAAATATAGTTATAGCCAGCTTATCTATTAACTTCAGTGGTATTTAAGAGTAACAAATAATGCGATTTATTAGACTTTTGAATGTTTTCCCTATCAATTATGCTATCCAGTATGACTATTGTTTAAATTCTGAACAGATGATTGAATTGCATATTTAGAGCAATATTGATATCTTGGGAGAAGAAAGCTAAATATTGATTTTCAGAAACAAATATCAGAAGCATGGATCCACTGAATATATCTCAACAAATAGGGGAAAAAAATTGTGCATTAGAAGGAAATATAAGTTTCCTGGTTGATTATACATCAGGTAGGCTAGCATGAGAAGCCTCTAGACTCACCTTTTTATCTGTACTGTGAAAAACACCTTGAATTTTGTATGATTCCAAATAAATTTTCTTCTTTAAACCAGCAGATGTTGTGTTTAACCAATTCCACTAGATGTCACCCAAGACTGTTGTAGAGTTATTCTAACTTTAAAACATTGGGAAAATAAACATGGAAATAAATTTCAAACTTACCTGCATTTCTAGGCAAGTCTTTTAATCAACAATTACATTTATTAAAAAATTAAGTCTTGGGAGTGGATACATGTGATATTCCCTTATTTCATTTGTAAACTCTCCATCTCTCCCTACTTTTCTTTTTCAAAAAACATCTGTTAAGGAGCAAAGATGCTTAAACCCTTTTATAACTAGTACATAGAACATCGGAGTTGGAAGGAACCTTGGAGGTCTTCTAGTCAAGCAGGAAACCCTATACCATTCTCTTGCTGAGTCTCTTCTTAAAAGCCTCCACTGTTGCCGCACCTACAATTTCTGTAGGGAAGTTGTTCCACTGGTTAATTGTTCTCACTGTTAGGAAAGTTCTTAGTTCTAGGTTGCCTCTCTCCTTGATGAGTTTCCATCCATTGCTTCTTGTTCTGCCTTAAGGTGCTTTGGAGAATAGGCTGACCCCCTCTTCTTTGTGGCAGCCAATCAAATATTGGAACACTGCTATTATGTCACCCCATCTTTTCACTAGACTAGACATATCCAATTCCTGCAACTGCTTGTAGGAGGACAGCACCCTCCCAGGAAGCTAGAAGCTGATGAGAAAGACAAAGACCCCTAAAATCTACATATCCCACCCAACTCTAAAGAATGACCTTTAGGACATAATAGGATTAATCCACCACCATCAAAATACCAAAAGAAGAACATGGTATTGATGGAAATGTTGGGTCTTATTTCACCAAGGCCTTCTCACCCAAAGTGGTTTGTCTTGAAATTTTTGGTCCAAAACAATAAGTGGATTGTACTTTCTATAGGTGTCTTGGATGTTAGTACATTAAAGAAATTTACAAAAGCTTCAGCCTAGAAGGGATTGTTTCCTAAAGCTTTTCTTCACAGTCCTTCTTTTATACAGATTCCTCCAATTGTCCAAGGAGCAGAAATTTATGAATTGTTACCATCACCTCATTCTATTTACCTTATTATCAAGGCTGGCAACTGCTACTGCTCTTATAAATTTAACATGGGACAAGTTAAGGAAAATAATGTGTGTGTTCCCCTGGTTTTGCTTCTTCTACAATGAGTTTTCTTAATGGTTCAAGAGTATTGGCAAATCAATGTCACTCTTCTCCCTCCGCCCCCAAGAACTGGGTTTTGTGTACAGTACATTGTCAGTTGAAGCTGCTGATTTTGACCTGTAAAACCCTTCATGGCTTGGTACCCAACCATCTGCTGATTGCTAATTGCTCTAAGCAATTAGATCTAGGAGGGAGAAACTGCTGTAAATCCAACACTTTCAGGAGTTTTGAGGGGGGAAGGGCTTGAGGCAAAGAGACTGCTTTTTCACCTCAGTACTGTCATTGCTAGTTTTCTGCAAACTTTTAAAGATGAAGCTTTTTCAGAAAGCCTTCCCTAATGTTACTATCTCATTTTTATTTCTAGTGTAATGTTGTGCTTTACTTTTTGAATGCATTATTTTGTGTATTTTTTTTCTAGGTGAGCCACTGAGAGTTCTTTTTGATTGCTGCAGCATAGAGTATGTATTTTTATTAAATTTTTATATCACCCATCTCCTCTATAAGGTAATTCAGGGTGGCAAACAAACAAATAGCAAAAGAAAAAAGAAAAAGAAAACAGAGTCAATGACCCAGAGAGAACAGAATCATGTCACATTGAGATGATTCACCTAGGATTAGTGGTCTCTCCAGGGATTTCCCACATCAGCTTGAAGTTAATAGTTGTTGGGCAGTTCTCAGTTTCTGAAGTATTAGATTTTTTTTAATGGTCAGATAATTATATATTATTTTCAAAGTAATATATTATGAGCTGCTCAGAATCAGGTGATGACTAAATTGAATTAAATAAATGAACCACATCATCAAGGAATCATTATAGAATATGTCAATAATACAAATTACGTTGCCAGAAGAGGGAAAAAAACTATATAAAACTGGTACAGTTAGACAACTTTAAACTGCTTCAGCTGTGGGTAAGACCAAGGTTCATGAAGACACATCCTTTTTAAAAAAGCTGGGCAACTTTGTGCTATAGTAAGAAGCATGTGAAGATGACCCTTGAATCAATGGTGTAACTACATGCTTTTATTGCAAATCTGACTATTGGCCAGTCTGAGTCCTTACTTTTTCTTCCACAATGCAACCGTTGGGGCCAAAATCCATCCAGCTACAATTTGCTTTTTACAAATTATTTCAGAAAATTAATTGATAAACCCATACAACAGTAGTAGACATACAAAAGAAGAACAATTATCTGGTACAAAAGAAGAACAATTGTTTACTACGTACATTGCTGGTACTGTATCTTAAGAAAACAAAAACAAATGAGAAACATTTTAGATTGATATTTGAGAATACTACTGTTGCCAAGGTTATGCACATTTATTCCCTGACCATCTAGAAAACGGTTTCAAATGTGTCAAGATACAAAAAAATGTCTGAATAGCATAAATAATAGATAAGAGAATTGCGCATATTCATCAAAAGTACGTACTACTTGAAGTGCATTTCCACTTATTTCTCCAGCAGTTGTTACCTACAGCGATCATTCCATCAGACGGCGCTATCCTGCTTCTTTTAAGCTTTGCAGAAAGTCCAACTACATTTGGCTCTTCCCTCAGGTTTTCAATCCAGATGGACTGTATAATAAATATGACTTAACTTTCACAATTACTGTACTGCCTGAATTTTCAGTTATTACTTTTCTGCCCTAAGCTTTTGTCTATAAGACTGTATGCAGGGATTTTCTTGTTTTTAGTTATGGCATGTAAATTAAATTATTTTAGGTGTCATATGAATTCCTATCTCAGGAAATCTCCAGCAAATATTATACAGATATGTCAGCTTACTTTTTATCAGCATAACGGATTTTAGAACAGCAAAACAGTAAACAATCATTTTCTTCAATTGTACTGCAAAATACAGAACAATTCTAGCATCTTACAATTACTGAAATTATCTAGTGGAAACTAATGCGTAGCCAATTAAAAATAATATAAGCATCATTCTTCATTTATTTTAAGTTAACTATACTTAAAATTTTAAATTTAAACTTCAAATATAGTTAAGAAGTACATTTTGCACTTGTCATGGAATTATTTAAAAAAGAAGGGAAAAAAACCCTGTCCACATGGCTTACCTGAAGTTTCAAATAAAAATCTCAGTGAGGCCCTTTCTTTCTATTAAAGCCAGCGCCTGAGTTCAGAACAGATTTGGCTGTTAGCCCAAGAAAACAGACTGCAGTGAGGCCTTTTGGGCTATGAGACTGCAGATATAAATTCAATTATTGTTTAATTGTCCACAGTAATGTGTTTCCAGTTAAATGCAATATTGGCTCCATGAGTTAACATTTCAACTGGTGGATTAACCATCTGCCATCTTTTCTCCTCTTTCATCTCTCTGCAGAAACACATGGCTAGAGATGGTACCTAACAAAATGGAAAATTCATGAGGTTCATGAGAAGAGATACAATAATTTGGAGAGAAACACAAAGATGTCCTATATATGCCAATATGATCATACAACAAGTAGTTTTCATTATCTGTCTATGTGACTCTAGGTCCAGGACTAGATACCTGAGACTTGTTAAGGATCCCTGAAGGGAAAAGACAAACTATAACCTTGTTTCCTGCCCAACAGTTAAGAAGAAGATGGAGAAAAAAAAATTTCTGAGGTCTACATATGGATCATTAATGTGAAAAAGCAACATCTGGGTAACTTTAGGCCAGTCACTCTCTCTCTCAGCCCAATTCACCTTACAGGTTTGTTGTTGTGGAGAAAATAGGAGGAGGAGGAAGGAATATTAAGCATGTTTTCCACCTTGAGTTATTTATAAAAAAATAACAAAGTCAGGATGAAAACAAACATACAAATGAGTAAATCTGAAAAACAGATGATCTATGCCATCAATATAAGGCAGTCTGATCTTATATACTGGTCTGCTTGGTTTGAACAGAACAGAACAGAACAGAACAGAATAATAGAGTTGGAAAGGACCTTGGAGGTCATTTAGTCCAACCCCCTGCTCAGGCAGGAAACCTTATACCCTTTCATACAAATGGCTGTCCAATCTCTTCTTAAAAGCTTCCAGTGTTGGAGCATTTACAACTTCTGGAGACAAGTTGTTCCACTGATTAACTGTTTAACTATCAGGAAGTTTCTCCTTAGTTCTAAGTTGCTTCTCTCCTTGATTAGTTTCCATCCATTGCTTCTTGTCCTGCCTTTGTTTATTTTCATGTGTAGTATTAAAGGTGCTACTAGCCAGTTTATTTTATTTCTATCATTTTAATAAATGACTTTGCTTTACTTCGAAAATTGCCGAGTGTGATGCCTGATATTTCCTAAAAGAAATCATGAGAAAAACTCTACCTGAAATCCTTGAAATTTATTGCAGATTAGGTAGGTACCTCAATTTAGTACAAAGCAGCTGTTCATATTTTTAAAAATACATTGAAGTTTTCTTAGCCCTGATTAAGGCAAGAGATCATGAATTCAAATTCTGCCTTAGCCATGAAAGCCAGCTGGGTGACTTTGGGCTAGTCATTCTCTCTCAATCCAATCCACCTGACAGGGCTGTTGTGGTGGAAAAAAATAGGAGAAGGGCAGTGTGTTGGATATGTCCCCCACCTTGAGTTATTTTAAAAATAATTTTGGGATAGAAATAAAGTAAAAATTAAATTAAATTAATAATAAAATAAAATATAATAAATAGATCTCTAGACTCCACAGGTATTAGACTAGGAATGATGCAAACTGTAATAGTTCAAAACCTCTGAAGGGTGCCTAGTTGGTGAAGTCTAAATAATAGATATAAAAATAATTGATTGACAATGTTAAATTCCTAAATTCCGAAGAACCAGGAAAAGGCAAAACTAAATAAGGCAGTTATAATGGCAGTGTATAATGTCTTACCTTCTGAACAAACTTAACAAATTCACTGCTTTCTCTGGCAGGCAGACCCAGTAATGGCCGAATGATGGAATCCAGAGATGAGCAATGACCAATGATCAGAAGGGTGCCTGTAGACAGAAATGGGATTTCTTGAAGTGTCATACTAAGGTACTGGATATGAGTTTTTCTAGACCAGTTTCCCCCAGTCTGTGGTGTAGAAGAATATTGGGAATATTTTCTAGACCTGTTTCCCCTGTTTTTTGAAGTCCTATTTCTAATACATTTTCAGCTTTTTGACAACTGTGGGTCAAATTTATTTTTTCAAAGGCTGGGGGATTAAATAGTGCAGTATCAGCCCAACTCAGCAGACCAGACTAAGGAATCAACTCTCCCGGGAAGTCCCAAAGGTGCTTTTTTCAAGAGGCAATTGGGCTTTCTTTGTTTTTCCTTGAAGTTGTTTTGTTTCAGAGCTGAAGAAGCTTCTTGGATGAGACGTGAAACAGGAAGGCTAAATTACTTTTATTGAGATTGGCTGTAACAGCAGAATCTTGCAGGTCTGACAGTGCTGTACCTTCTTATACTCCAGTGAATCAGGGTGGTGTCTGCCTGAGCTACTTTTGAATGTTATCTTATTCTGGACTTTAAAAATGCTCCAGCCATCCTAACTGTTTACAGGCAGTGGCTTAATGGGGTTGTGAAAGGCTGGAGGATTTTAACTCCTTTCTTTCCTCTTTGTTTTCTTTCCTCATAGTCTTAGATATGTTAAGCATATCATACCAGTATTTCTTTCATTTTATTCTGTTTCCTGACACAAACTGGAAGGAAAACACATTGCTACCTTTGATTTACCACCAAATTTCAGTGGTGCCCAAAACTGAGCCACATACAGTCAGAGAGGGGAATTTTTTACAGCAAAATTTTGTTTGCATTTTCATCACTGACCAAAGAATAAAGAAGGTTTACCTTCTGTTGCACAAGTATCAGTAATCTTTTTTACAGTTGCAGAACATCTGCTAATATAGTTTTCATAACTTTCAGATGGCATCAAAGAAGAAGAAGGGAAGTGACATCTGTTAACAAAACAATCCACTCGGTTAAAATTTGACTTACAGCAGGAATGGATAATTGGAGTCCTTGGCCACCAGTTCTTTTACAACTGTTGATAGAGAGACTGTCTGATTGTGCTACTGAGATCCAACACGATTTGCTTCTGAAAATTAGCAGAATGTCTGCCATTTCAGTGAAGTACAAATGTTTGTCTCTTTACACACACAGAACATTTTTTTTATATAAATTCTAATCTCCCTCTGAATCCCTGCGCTATTCTCTTATACAATGTGGCTTTGAATATTTTTGGATCATCACTCACCCATTTTAGATTAGGGAGCAAAGCTTAGATCTTTGCAGCCCACCTGTAAAATAATGCATGTTTTTGCCTGTAGCAACTGTTACATTTGGATCATTTGAATACTGTTGCTGTTTCATTATTAAGCTCTAATTATGGCTTGTAAAATCATCCTAGAATAAGTGCCAGTGGCCAAACTTAACTTTTACCTTAGGACCTTGCTTCAACCAGAAGAACAAAGAAGTGTCAGAGGTCAGGGGAAAAAAAATCTAGATTTGGTATAATTTATATTGTATCCTTTTCATTATGGTATAATAAAAAATGCTAATTTGATGGCAATTTTTGGAAGGACTCTGGTGCTATATCTGAATCTTTTAAGGGCAATATGTGGCTGAGTCTAAGCTTCAGGTTTAGATTTTGTGTCCTTGATGTACATGTGGAGATCTCATATAAATGGGCTTCAATGGAGGAAGCAGTACATGGATTTCCTTATGTCTGTAAATGAAGGATTCTTATCGATGATTGGACTGCTACACTGATACAAGCTGCAATGGCTGAAATTGGATTGGCTATCCTGAAATCTAAGATGCATGGAAAATTATGATCCAATTTCTTTTTTTTTCTGTAATATATTCAACTTCATAATGATGTGATCATTTCCTCCCTAAGTTCCCACTGCTATAATCTCTTCAAGTAACTCTTCCCTGTTGGTTAATAGATCAGTGAGAGCCATTACTATTGACTTTCCTTTAGCCTTTTGGAAAATAAAATAAGAAGAGCACTAAAGAATTGTTGGGATCTTGCAGGTTTGGCCTACCTGATTTTCTTGGAAATGCTTATGTAGTTGAAGTTGTTCATTATTACTGTTTTTTTCTTTCTTGAAAGATCTATAATCTGGTCCAGAAGAATATTCTCCAGGTCTTCTGCCTGGTTTGGCAATGTATTGTTTATATCCCACAAAAATAACAGAGGCATAGAGTCAAGATCACGTGAGGTATTAGTATTTCTTTATAAAACCCTAGTAAGACCACACCTGGAATACTGCAGCCAGTTTTGGTCACCATACCACAAAAAAGATGTTGAGAGTTTGGGAAAAATTCAGAGAAGAGCAACTAAGATGAACAAAGGCCCGGAGTCTAAAACATACAAAGAACAACTGCAGGACTTGGGTTTGGCTAGTCTAAAGAATAGAAAAAATAAGGGAGACATGATAGCAGTATTCCAGTATTTGAGGGACTGCCACAAAGATGAGGGAGTCACATTATTCACCAAAGCACCAGAGGGCAGGACAAGAACCAATGGTTGGAAAATGACCAGAGAGAGAAGCAACCTGGAATTAAGGGGAATCTTCCTGACAGTGAGGACAATTAAGCAGTGGAATAGCTTGCCCCCAGAAATAGTGGGCACTTCATCACTGGAGATTTTTAAAAAGAGCCTAGACAGTCACTTGTCTAAGATACTATAGGTTCTCCTGCTTGAGCAGGGGGCTGGACTAGAAGACCTCCAAGGTCCCTTCCAGCTCTATTCTATTCTATTCTATTCTATTCTATTCTATTCTATTCTATTCTATTCTATTCTATTCTATTCTATTCTATTCTTCTGATATTTTCTCTCCTATTCAATCAGGAGTAAAAAAAAAAAAAAGCAACTGTATCTCCTGTCACTCTTTTGTCCAGAGCTTCATAGTTCCTTGCAATATCATTAAGTGTCTTGTTTTGTTTCCACATGGATCACTAGAAAGGAATATTTGATGAGCTTTGGGAATCTTCTGGTACACGCCAAATATCTATTCCAGGAAGGCAGCAGTTTCTTTTTGAAGGATTATCCAGCCAACAGATTGTGACTTCAATCCTTCTGAGTAGGGAGTCTCTGATTACTCCATTACTCCCTATTTCAGGTTGAGGGCAAAAATCCTTTCCTTTTCAAGCTTATATTTCTCAGTCCCTGAGTTCTGTGGCAGCTGCTCTTCATCCATGCATCCACAAACTTCATCAGCAGTGAAATCCTCAAAATTATTCTGAACCTCCAAAGTGTAAGAGCTCTTCCTGATAGCCTTGTACCTTTCTGGCATATTCCTCCATTTTTCCATCCCCTCTACTTGGCTTTCCTCTATCTTTCTGGAGGTGAATTGGTGTTGTTGTCTGTTATAGAACTGCTTCCTATCTAATCCAAAAATTCTCCATCTTCCTTAATAAACTAGAAGGTAAACACTGTTGCCTTTAGCCTCTTCAACCTATTTCCATTTCAACAATCAGCCAGCCTTTACAACATGTATAGTTCTTGCCTTCAGGAAAATTACAGAAGCATTTTTCTCTATCTATATGTTCCTCTGATGAACAACAAGAAAACAGATTCCTCTCCCTTGATCTTCCTTGCCAAATAGCTATTGAGCAAAAGCACAACCAGCATGTGAACAGCCAACATAAAGTTTCGCTCTACCAAACATTATTGTAATTCTTAAAAATTGTATATGTATGTTTACAGATATATTTGGGGGTTGAATATGTGATTGTTATGTGATTTAATATGTAGATGTTTTAAAGAAACAATTAGTTGCAATTGGTTGCAATCATGAGAAATACTTATTCACTAAAATCTGCAAATGCTTTGGAAAGAAATATCCAATTGATACATTAAAAAACTACAAAGGAAATAAAAATATAATTTTAATGTCATATATAAATTTGGCACTGAATTTTCAATGCTAATGACGAATTTCAAGAGAAGATAACAGCATTTTCAATTACATCCTGTCTATTTCACACCCCTTATATAGTTTCAGAAGATAGAAAGATTATTGTAGAAAACATTTCAGGTAGTATCATTGTTAAAATAAGATTTTGGCCAAAATAAAAACAAAATGATGCTGCTAAAACCTAATTCATTGCAGAACATAATTCATTGCAGAAGTTGTCTTTCCCTTTGTAGTACATGCTTAAACCAACAAAACCCCAAGCCACTTCTCTCAGTTCTGTAAGCAATTTTCACAATTTCAGCATCAATACGGTAGATATTTCAAAATCTGAAATGTACTTTGCTGCAATAAGTCAATGGCTAACGTTACTTCCTGTTCTGTTTGTGGGTTTGCAAATGCTAAAAAATTGTACTGAACCACAGAACTAAGTTGCTGTGGAAAATAAGGAAACAGTATATGTTTAATTGTAGAAAGCAAATAATTTTGGCTGTACTAACTCCATATCAACATATATGATAATGAGTTATTAATGAACTGAAAGTGCCATAAAAATAGAATTTAGTGGTTTGGTTTTTAACTTAAAAAATCTTGTTGTATTGTTCAATGTGGTTCTTGGTTTTACTCCCAAAGTTGCTTCTTAATTGTTTCTTTTTAAAATCCTCACAGAGACTACCTAAAATAGCATAATAGCCTTGTATTCCCCTGTGAGAATTATTGGCACCTGCCACTTTCAAACTGAACTTTTATTTATGAGTGATGCCATTTATTCCCTTGCACAAAGCAATTGCTTGCTTATACAAACCATTGGCACCGCTGCTTCACAAGGAAGGAATTGCATTGGTAATAGAAGCTGCACACATAGGAGCAGCGTATATAAGCTTCAGAATCTATGATTTCAAGAGTTCAGATCAAATGTATTTTTCATATGGCATCTGTTTCTAGCTATAACCAGTGCAACGCTTTCAAGAAACCTATAAGCAAGATATAAGGCCAACTGTCTTCTTAACAGTTCACCCCTAATCCTCAGTTGCATAGAAACTAGGGATAATTCTGTCATTAGCTTCTGTACTTAATAACCAGCAAAACTAGACTGCATTCAGCTTCTAATCAGTGTTGTAACTATGACTGGTCAGGGCATAAATCCAGGAAAACCCATTAAGGCGTCTCCCAGTTGCTGACCATGAGTGGCAGCTGATCAGAAGTTTAGCAGGACATCACAGTGCTCCCGTTAGAAGGCGGTGAGATTAAGCCAAGAGATTGCATTTAAAGTTAAATGTAATATTTAGCTATTTGAATTGGGTAGCACACCACAAGTTAAGTGACTCCACCCTGATTAGTTTTATTTGACAAGACTTCCAGAATTTTGGGTGAGTAATTTCCCAATGTAATACTCCCCATTACATTGACATAATCAGCATTTAAGAAGCATATTCTGAATGGCAACACCTACTTGTATGTGGGATCTATGCTGTAACCAAGCTCACTCAGTTCTTTTTCTGTCATAAAAGAGGGAGCAGTTGTGCTTGTCTGCCACTTAGTCCAGTCAAACAGTCCAGGTTCTATCCGAATTTTAGCTTTCTGTTCTATCTGGAGCCCTGTAATTGGAAAACATAAAAATAAAATAAAATGAAGACACATCTTCAGATCTGATTCCTTCATTCAATAAATATCCAGTTTATTTAGCTTATAAATTCAAATAAAAAACAAAGTAAACAAATAAAATCTAAGGAGGAAAGAAAATCATAGATGAATATGACTACTTAAAAGGTGTACACTTGATCTAAAACAGATTTTCTCTGAAACAACTAAAGATAAAGGAAGATGGTTTTGAAAATTCTCTTTTATTCAGAAGGGCAAAGAAAATTAGAAATGACTAGTTAAATATACTTCTACCTCCTTCCCCTCCCCAATAAAAGGAAAAGGGGGAAAGGGAAAAAAGAAGACAGAGTTTAAAGGCAGAGCTTCAATTACAATGATTAGGAAAAGGAATGTCTAAGCAAAGTATCAGCAATGCTCTTTTATAAGCTGCTTTCATTAGCAGCCATATTACAGAAAGAGTAATGTGAATTTCTTGTCCAAACCAGAGGGATAATTTCCTTGAATTCCAATTTTTTGAATCCCAACATTAATGTACCTTCGGAGATAGTTAGGATGGTGGTACTTAAATTTTTCTAGGTAGTAGAAAAGGAAGTTATGTTATAGTAACAGGAACAGAAAATTGATAGAGCAGCATACCTGGGCTACTCAATAAAACAACTGCTTGCATTGGAAAGCCTTACCTTCTAATATATGATGAGCAGTTTGAATACAGTGTAATGCTGGAGAAGAGTATACACAGCCAACAATCACTTCTTTTTCTAGCAAGGCTTCTCCTATTAGTAGGAGAGAGAAAATATTAATTTTTCTTTTCTTCATACAAAAAAGGGGTGGGTGCAAATTAATACATTTTCAGGGATGTCAGTTGAAATTGTTTCAAATAACCAAACTGAGAACATTTAATTGAGTTCTGTACAGTTTTAATGTTGTCTCTTAGTTGATTCTATCCTCTCCCTATATATAAACACTCCCCTCCCACAACCCCTTTCAAAATGAAAAGAAGCTATTAGAATCTTCATTGGTTTTAATAAGTAGATCATTAAAAATGTTGTAAAATATAAAAAATGAATATTGATTCATACATATCTATGCAATATGAGTATGATATAAAATCATGATTCCTTTACATTGTTTCTAAGGATGCTCTGAAGGCTATGCAGGCATTATTCTTCCACAGCTAACTAAATATAGAATTAAAATATGTTTTCCCCAAAATAGAATGACTTTTATGACCAAGACTTTTTTCTAAGATTTAATTTCAGGTGCATCCAGTTTAAAGAGGCTTAAAATTATGATGTATGTGTTTAAAAAATAAATGTGTATGTAAATTCGTATGGATGTTATATCAAGAAAAGTCAAATAATAATTTCTGAGATTTTGAAACTCATTTTTTTCCTCAGTTGCTGATTAATATACTAAAACCTTACCAGTCAGTCTAGATTGAAATGTGCCACAGCATGATAAAGGAGGATCATATTTATAACGTTTAATATAATCATCTTGATTTGGTAAACTGGAGGGGAAATTGAGGTCTCGTCGATAATATTTTCCTGAAACAAGATGACATTAACCTTATTTTATTTAATTTAGATAATTAACCAGTTGATTTTAACATGCTACTCTGGCGTGTAAAACAACTGATTAGTTTTTCCTCAGAATTATAATCCCAATCCTTTCTCCAAACATAAACTATCATGAAAAATCTCCTAGTGAGTGGATGTTTTATTAATTTACATGTAAATGATTTTAAATCCCCAGTAAATTTGGGAGCTGATGGGAAGTTCATGTATCTTCTTTCAACATAATACAAAATAGATGAGTCATTGTTCTGTTGCTCATTTTTGTTAACACAATCCACAGCTCTAGACCACACCTGCCATATCAGATCTCTAAACATTTACTTACCATCTGGTCCAAAACACTGTTGTACCCAAGATTTCCCAAACACCTGATCTACTCTTTCTCCATGGCAAATCACCAACATCTCTTTCTGGGTTGTGGTTTGTGGTGACAACTGAAAGAAATTATGTTACAATTCTGTTTACTGAAATTATTGAAAGATCAGTTTGTTCAAATGAACAAAAGCGAATTCATATAGCAACTAGATTGATGAAATTTGATCAGCCTTTTTCAACCTTCGCAACTATCAATTTTATATTTATTGTACTATCGGTTTTATATTTATAATTGTGAGACTCAGAACATTGTGATAATGTAGCATGTTTCATGAAGCAAAAACATTTGCTTCAATAAAGTCTATAAATAATAGCTTTCTGTCTCAAGAAAAAATGTTGGGTCTGAAAAGCTCATATTGTGATATTTGGTTGTAGCCTCTACACAGAGGTATCTACATCAGGCTACAAAAGAGAGCAAGTGATGAAGTAAGCCTCATGGCATTGCAATATTTGGTTGGTCATTCTGACAAAATTATCCTTTGCTGCAGATCTTCTGTGGATATGTTGAAGATTTAGTTGTTGTGTTACATAGTTACTGAATATTTAAATATATGTTCACTGTAATTAAACTGTTAAATAATAGAAGAAGGGGATGACAGAGAATGAAGTGGTTGGATGGAGTCACTGAAGCAGTAGGCGTGAGCTTAAATGGACTCCAGAAGAGGACAGGAAGGCCTGGAGGAATGTTGTCCATGGGGTCGCAATGGGTCAGACACGACTTCGCAACTAACAACAAAGGCTATCTTTTCCAAAATGCTGTCTCCCAAATATATTAGATTACAGTATTCATCATTTTCAAACAACATGCTACGCTATATGGAAATGATGAGAATTAAAGGCAAATGCCTCTGAGAAAGCACCAGGTTGGAAAAGATTAAACTTAGTCAATTAAGATACTTTCTCAAAAAAATTGCAGGAAGAATTTACTTATGTACATGCTATAGATTTATTCATATGAAATGAAATCTTTTCATAAAGTTGATTGACTTCAAAAAATAGATATCCTTGCCCTTTGGCAATTTTGATAACAAGATTTGAAAACTGGATAAACGTTTCCTGTATTGAAATGTTTTGTATCTAAACTTGTCTTCCTCTTGGTTCTCACGCATATTCCACAGATCAAGATCTCTGAATTTCAGTTACCTGATGAGCAAGCATTTTGGCTACATTCCTTGGCACTGGATTTGGAATCTTTGTTTTAAAGCAAGTTTTGATTTGGTTCTTAGGAAGTTGGCCTGCATCTGAAGAGAAAATATACTCTCTGAAATATAAATAGCAAAGAACAAAACAGAAAACAGTGAGAAAATTTGGAATGACACATATCTTTGGACCGAAGGTAACACAACACATCTCGGAAGAGTAATTTCCCTCATAAATGGAACACAGTGTTCTTACCAAGACATCTGAGCCTACACAGACAGCAAGACTCTCTCCTGTGATTAAAGTGGGAAGTAGGAAATCTAAAACTCTCCAGATAATTAAAATTTTCATAAACTCACCCAATCTGGTCAATGGTCTGTGACAATGGCAATTGTATCTCAACATATCTTGGTGTTGGCAATAGGGAATAATAAGAAGAGAATTGTGGCCTCAATCTGTTAATGGCAGTGAAGCTGAATTGTTTAGTGACAAATGACAGAAAGTTTAAAGGCAGAACTCCATTTCCTTAGTATTACTTTTTGGTATAATTAAATCTGCATTTTATGCAGAATAAATGGTATATTTCCCCTTCACAGAGCATGTCTATCAAATTTTTGATGCTTTCTATCATCTACAATCAAAAATGTTCCCAAGGTTATTTTAAGCAAAAACCATTAAAAGAATATCCTTAGCTGTCAAAGACACAGAAACAATTGTAAGATTGTCCCTCAGTTTAATGGCCAATATGTTTACTTTCATTTTGATTTCATAAGTCTGCCTTGCAATGCTAAAATAACAGATATAATTTTGAGACCCAATTCTGTTCATTGGCCTGGTTATTCATATTTCTTGAAGCGGAATGAGGTATATCTTTTGGCTGTTGCATATTTTTCTGCTGATCTGCATTTAGGTAGGGATAGCACTGGTAAAGGTCTCTCTCTCTCTCTCTCTCTCTCTCTCTCTCTCTCTCACACACACACACACACACACACACACACACACACACACACACACACACACATACACAAGCATGCACACATATACACTCTTAAATCAGAATGGGGAAGTTTTCAGCCTGTGAGTTAATCACCAGGCTGACCTATCTGTTTTGTGGTGCTGCGAGTGAGGTTCTGTCTCTAAAAGATGAGTTAAGAAATTTTCAACCAACTAATACTAACCTGTGTTTGACCCAGGTATCTGACTCATTGGCTTTTTCTGTGTAATTTTCAGGAAAAAATCCCCGACATCCAGTTCGGTGAGATATACCAATTGCCCAGCCCTCACATACTTCATGTTGCTGTGACCGATCAACATATATAAGATCCCCTGAATTCAGCATCAATTCATCAATATTTTGAGGCTTATACTGGAATAAGGCCCTCAAAACCTTAATAGAAGACAATAAAAATATTTTGTCAAATCCAAGAAAAGTTACATTTGTATATGTTTTATTTGCTCCATTCATTCATACTGTTGACATACAACTGTAACCATACTCTTATATCACTAAGCAAGTCCTTCGCTTGGTTAAAAATATTTCTAAAATTCACTTCAGAACTAAATCCCACTGATTTCAGTAGAATTTATTTAACAAGAAGGAGATGGGATTTGATTGCTGGAAAATGAGCTACATTATATCAGTAGTAGGAGAAAACATAGAGTGGACAAAGTGACGCTCTGGACTTTCATGTAATACCTTGCTAAGAAAGTGATAATTTAATTGTGTGACTTGTTATCGTGGAACACAATTATCATCAACTATAGCCAAAAGAGTTTTTCAGTAATGCATAGTTATTATTGTTATATCAAAGCCTTTTCACATCTCTATGCATTTGCATCATATTTATTTTTATGTATAAGATTCAAATTTTAATTCAGAAAGGAATTGCTCAACAAATAAATTAATGTATAATTTTTTGACTTTATTTAATGGATTCTTTTTATCTATTTTTCAGATGTGTGGAGAACAGATCATGTTTTAGTTCATATTTATGCAGAAATATTGAAAATTTGAAAGGTTTTACGAACTTTTAAGCACTGCTCAAGCATCCACAGACAGATTTTAATTTTAAGAGAGTTAACAAACAGGGCATGCAAGTGTGATGGAAAAATTACTTTGGCTTACATTTTAGTGAAAACTTACCAAGTTTGCATTTCCTGAATTAAAACTCAGTACTAGAGTAAGTTCAAAATTTTCAAAATTGTACTGTATGATGCAGTATCCCCATCAAAACTATGCATGAATTATATTGATTTGGGGAAAAAGTGTACAAGATCCCTATATTAATGAAAAATAGAAAATGGCATTCAAGAAAATTGAATAGTTTTATAACAGGTTCAGAGCAGATATTCACACATATATGACTATACTGTACAGTATGTATGAAAATTCATATATATTTTTGAGTGCCATTCTAAAAATCTACAAAAAGGTACAAAAGTGGGTGAACTTAGAAACAGAGCAAGCCTGAAGTGGATGGATTCCAGGTAATATACCTACCTGATAATGGACAAAGCGCATATCCCTAGAATAGAGAGCTGCCACCCACTGGCAACTTTGCTTTGGGTTGATTGATTTGGCCAGTTGTTCCAAAGTCTTTTGATGGTGAGGATAAAATTTGTGGGCTAAAGTGAGGTGGAGTTGCTTTTTTGAAGGCTTCACACAACAATCTATAAAGAAAACATAACAATATATATATCTACAAGGCTATATCAGGTATTATTATATTATTCTTAGACTTGTATTCCACAAAGTGTTGCAGCATTGAACTGATGCACAGGGAAATCATATGACCAACCCCTCAGAAAAAAGCTCCCTTAGTTTGTATTCTTAGAAGCTAAATACATACAGGCAAGTATTATACCATGCTCCAATACTCACAAAGCTACACAGAAGGGTCTTTTCATGTAGAATGGAAATGTAAAGGTTTATGAGAGGAGAGGCTTCTCCTCTCGCAAACCCGCTTCTCTGCTTGTAGACATTGTGACTTCTGCCTTGTTGTTACCTGCTAAGACAGTAGCCTCTGCAGCAAAAGTAGCAGCAAATGATTTGATGACATTTGCAGGGCCATCGTTAAGAAAGAAGCCAATGTAGGTGCTGGAGGAATGTAGTGATAGGGAAATCATCACAGGAAAATTGCTGGAAAATTGGCTACCGGATTTTTCTAGAGCTTCATATAAGCCATCAACCTTTTGGTCTTCACACTAGGGGGAAAAAAAAAACCCTCTTGCGTTACAGTTACAGACTAAAGAGCTCTCTTAACCTTTGAATGTAGTATAAGGTAGAAAACTAAAACCTTTACAATAAAGATGACAAGGATATGATCAATAACAACTGAAATAAATATAGGTCATTTCTGTCCAGTCACTGGCTTCTCTTCTGAAATCCAAGAAACTGTTCATGTTGCCCACACGTCTCCTGACCATTTTCTTGCTGGCAATATTTGGTTCTTCTCATGAACGAATTGGACACCAAGGCTGTACAAAAACCAGTTTCCAGCCAGCTACTCCACTCTATTCCATCCCACTTTCTCTGTTTGTCTTGCAGCATTTCTTCTTCACTCAGTTGAAAAAACACAGGGAAATAATGGCAATGGTGCTTAGACTCACAGGGGCTGGGGGAAGTCACTCAGCAGAAAATGTTAAGGAGGCAAAAATGCTTGCCTATTAAATCACCTGCCCAACATCTCCAGAGCTAACACTGCAAAATAAACTTCATAGTATTTCGTCCTGTACCACAAATGAGAATGAAGTTAATGAACTCAGTTATGGAAAAGCGTCAATGGTGTAAGAATAGTAAGTGTGACACAAATCCCCGATTAGCATAGATGCAGAGTGAAATTACCTCTGAGCTTAATCTTTAGCTTAACCCAAATAGTACATTACACAGCAAGGGAGGTCACAACAATTAAGAGATACCAGAATGCTATTTAAGCCATTGTCACCTCACAGACAAAAATAACTTACAGTGAAGAAGTCAGAAAGTGTGATGTGTGGGAAATTTTCATGGGCTTTATTTTTTCCACATTGGCATCTGCTTTCTCTCCAAAACTCCATCAGAATGTCATTCAAGGGGCCTGCTGGACACAAATAGAGGGCATATTCCTGAGGGATGGGATCTTCTAAAGAAGGATCATTGCAATGCGAATGCAACCTACAATTAAAAAGGAGAATGGATCAGTTGTTGGAGCATTTTTCAGCTAAGCCACTATATGAATATAAAGAATGCAAAGAATGATCTAGGACTGGATAAGGTCTACTGACCTCCCTTCTGAGATCTTCAGAGCTCTCCAGAATGGATAAAGACAAAAATTAGGCAACTCTTTATTGCATTTTAGAATACTTTAAAGGAGAAAATAGCTGTTTTAAGCCTTGTAGAACCTTAAAGCATTCAGTCCAATTCTTAAAAACTGGCTAATTCTTTCAGAATACAGGTTGGTCCCACCTATTTAAAGTATGGCCCTTGACATGTTGCATAAAGCCTAGTTAATCTCTCAGTTTGTCAGAAATTGCCCATAGAAATGTAGAGTGGGAAAAGTACTAATCTAATACTATTTTTTATTCAGGGAAAGTTGTGCTAAAGCTTTTCAGACTGATGATTATCTGATAATCTCCACTGAAGGAAACAAACCACTTTGTAAGACAATTTCACTAGCTGATAATTTATTACCATATTTATGGAGATTTTCAATTACCTAGAGCATGGCTGTCCCAAAGGTATTTTTTCAAAGGTGTTTTTTATTGTAATGAAAATCCTACTAGTACCTGATTTAAATATGTCATTGGTTCTGTTCCTGCATTATGGAGCAATAGAGAAAAGCCAATTCACTCTTCTATATGGCAACCATTTAGATATTTGCTGTCATATCTTAGTCTTCTCCTCATAAAACAGACATGCCCATCTCCTTCATTTTCCTCATAGGACTTGGTTCCCAGGTCTCTTACTGAGTAAGAATTAGTAAGAGTAGTCTTTACTTGTGCCAATTAGTCAATGTTCCTTCAAACTATGATACCAGAATTAAACACATCTCCAGAATAGAAATGTTAAAGCTACAATTCTTGTTACAAAAAATCCACTGAAATTATTCTAGGTTCATCCTTCTTAAGATTAAATATCTTTCTTTGAATCTGTGAAGAATGTTTTCTGAATGAGAGGAATGAACAGGGACCAATAGCCTATTTCATGCACTCAAAAAAGTGAAATATGGTGGAGAGAAAGACCCATCAGCACTCCTCTCTCTTTAGTAAAAAAAAAAAGTTCAGAAACAGAAGAGATTCCTATTAACTGAATGCAGTTACAATCTACAATCCACATTTGCACCCCTGTTTGAAACTGCATTCAGTTAAACTTCGTTATACAATAATTTTAGAATGTTATGAAATATTATGAAATAAATAATAAATAAATATTTGTTCCCAGAACTGTAAATGTTACAACTTTTACACATTTAATAATCACATTTTTAAAGAATCTGATATGTCAGTTTCTGGTAGTTTTGATGACAAAGCAGACTTTCCCCACTGCCAAGTTAAATTGTTGTCCACCCATCCATGAGTCACTAGAAAATAGTGCTAGCATAATGTTTGCTTTTTCCTTTGCAGATTCCTATCCCATTTCTTTTGTCTCTGTTTCAAATGGCCGTGTCCTGATTTTGGGTGTTTGCTGCCTTTTGTTTAACATTCTGGTGGGGTTGCTCTCTATTATTTTTGAGAGACTCCAAGCTAATGGGACACAGTCACCAATCCCAATGATAATGCAGGAATAGGACAGGAGAAGATTTGGGGAGATGACGAATTTAGACCATTCTTCCCTGCCTTACCCTGCAGAACAAAGCCAGAGGAGGTAAAATTACATCTTAATTTAGAAAGCCCACCTAACAGTTACTGGAAGGCTTGCGAAAACACCAGATTTTGAAAGAACATCCATTCAAAACCATAGAAAGTGACTTGCAAAAGATTGCAGTTTTGAAATATCATATTAGATATGTCAGGTTGGCTGCTTTCGAAAGGGTTACACTTTTTCTATTTTCAAGTAAGTACTGTTCTTTAAAATCCATGTACTTCCCCACCTTTTTTTTAAGGAGCAGAAGAAAAATGACAGCAGAGAAGATTGCCAAGGAAGTGAAAAGAAAAATTATGTCCACACCACCTTGAAGTGGCCAATAGAGACTGAGTCAATCCACCTCTTTTGGATCACTTGACTGAGCCAACCCAACAGCATGGGCAGTGAAACATGTCATTATGAAACAGTGGTTGCTGTCAGTTTTGGAGAGGAAACAATAAAGGAACAATTAAGAATGACTAAAGACTGCCTCAAGCTTAGGCCAAGGATCAGAAGACAATTCTCAAGGACCAACGGAGCAAAAAGATTGTTAGGGGATTTCACACCTTGATTAGATATGTTTCAAGATAGGTAGGCCTGGTGTTGAAAAAATACTGTATCTCTTGCATATAATCATGACACTAAAACACACTGAGAACCTCTATTAGCTTTATTTCTCTGAGGCAACTTTAATAAATATCCATATCTAAAGCACTTTTTCCAAATCATTTTTGAAGTGTGTGCAGCTCTATTCCCTAGATCAGTGTTTCTCAACCTTGGTCACTTAAGACTTGTGGACTTCAAGTCCCAGAATTCCCCAGCTAGCTATGTAATACTGGCTATGGAATTCTGGGAGTTGAAGTCCACAGATCTTAAAGTGATCAAGACTGAGAAACACTAGTCTAGGTAATGTAAATGAAAATCAGGGCTCTTCACAGCAGAGTTATTGAATAAGAAAAAAAAAACATTCAACATTAATTTCTGAGCAGCAACATGCCATACTACTTTATTTAAAACATTTAAATACTTATCCATTTTATATCAAATTCTGGACAATTCCCATTCAGTAATTAAAACCGCATCAAAACTTACCATTGCATTGCTGCTTCTGCTGTCTTTTGTCCAGTAGCTGCCAATGCCTTTAATCTAAGGAAAGAACAATATATTCATTTTGAGCAAAGTAAGTGATAGATGATGTTTAAACAGTTTGGCTAAGGTTTTGGCTTTGCCATATGTATAGCTATTGGTCTAGTAGTTAAGGCACCAGGCTAGAAATCAGGAGATCAAGAGTTCTAATCCCTTCCTAGTTAGACATGAAAGTTGGCTGAGGGACATTGGGCCAATCGCATACTCTCAGCCCAACTCATAGGGTTATTGTTGTAGGGAAAATAAAAGGAGGAAGATTAGGAAGATTGTTTACTGCCTTGGATTATTTATAAAAATAAGGAAGGCAGGATAAAAAAAAATAAAAAATCACTAAGTTCAAGCCCTCGTGCTAAAAATATTCTTGTACATGCAAGTGTTTCAGTAAGTCATTAGCTTTTTCCGGTTTTCATCTGAACTGGTATAAGGATGGAAACTGTCTGGTTAGCTATAACAAAGTTAATGTGCAGACAATTGTCTATGAATCAGCAGTAATTCTCCAGTTCAGGTCCTCTAGGTTTAAAGATGGCTTTTACACATGATAGTACCCACCATCTGGACATTTCTTCTTATAATTACAGAGAAGCAAGAATTATAAAATGCTTCAATTTAGAAACCTATGTCCTGTTAATTGGAGAATTAGATTACCTCTTATTAAGAAATAAAGCAATCCTACCTGTGGTTTTACAAAAGTCTGACATTTAGCCTTAGATAAAACTTAATACAGGTAGTCCTTGACTTATTCATTTAGTGACCCTTCAAAGTTGCAACAGCACTGGAAAAACACACAACTGTTGCAGTGTCTCCATGGTCATGTGATCAAAATTCAGATGCTTGGCAACTGACTCATACTTATGACAGGGGCAGGGCCCTGGGGTCACATGATGACCTTTTGCAACCTTCTGACAAGCAAAGTCAATGCGGAAGAAACAATCTTAATCATTGTTAAGATTCACTTAACAGTGGTGTTATTAACTTAATAATTGTAGTGATTCGCTTAACAACTGTGTAAGAAAGGTTGTAAAATGGGGCATAATTCACTTAACATCTGTCTCACTTAGTAACAGAAATTTTGAACTCAGTTCTGATCATAAATCAAGGACTACCTGTACCTGCCAAAATTCTGCAGTAGCATAAAATTAGGCATTTTTTTAAAAAAAGATTGTTTTCCTCCTTCTTGGCAAGTTTTTTAAAATTAATTTATTAATTAGTTAATTAATTAATTAAAAGCTCTACCCTTTATGATAAATAGGGCAGAGTGGGGGCTCACTGGTTATAATGCTGGGCTTGTCTGCTTGAAACCTGGTAGCTGAGGTTTGAGACCCAAGTACCATGCAACAGGGTGAGCTCCCGTCCTTGCCCCAGCTCCTGCCAACCTAGCAGTTCGAAAGCATGCACAGAAATGTCTTCTGACAGTGCTGCTTAATGGCCTTGAATGGAGATGAGCACTGCCTCCTACAATTGGCAATGACTAGAGGATTAAAATCTGCAGGGATTTCTTTACATTTTACTTTTTAGGATAAATAAGCTATTATTACTTTAGACTCATCCCTTAGCTGATGTAGATTAGCAGCTCATTTATAGGTGTGACTGGGAGAGAGAAGGATGCAACAGATCCATCAGTATACTTAATATATCATTTCATATGCCCTTTTAACCCTTGCTTGATGTCAGACTGAACCTGCTTTAGAGGTTTTCATGCAGCTGAGTTTGCTCGTGTGAAGGTGGAGCTATCTCCCCTCCTTCAAGGGTTGGTGTCGCCAAGAAAACTTTGGTTTTCTGGATCATGGACAGCATTTCCTTCGCGAATGGGCCTTGCCTCATGAAAACAGGGAAAAATGTACTTGGAAAAAGACTGGCCCATCAGGAGGGCTTTAAACTAAAATTGAAGGGGGGAGAGTGACCAATCTTCAGAATCTCTAGAACCCAAAACCAATCATAAATCCCAAGAAAACAAATCAAACAATGAGGTGGGCAGAGATGAAAAAAAAAAAGAAAAACTCAAACAACAATCAGGAGGTACAGGAAACACATCCATGGACAGGCATAAAAGCCTTAAATGTACTTGGGGAATAGTTAGCCATAACAATGTTTCAGTACAGTATTTTTCAAGGTTAGTTGTAACCAGAGGAGATATGGGAGGGAAAGTTCACACTTCAAACTAATTGGAGAATGTGATTTATGATTGTTAAATGAAGGAGTGAGTTATGCTTTGTTATGGGTGATTGGAAGGAGGAGAATTCAGATTTTGGCTTCACTATGTACGTGCCAAAGCTATGTAGCAATTAAAAAGATTCTTTAAGGAAAACAATGCCTCAAAGTTTTTTGCAGAGCTTCTACTTTCAGAACCATGACATTAAGCCAAAATCCACACATTTTTTAATCCTGATGACCCTGGAGTAAAAAAGATAAAACGAGAGCTCCTCACCGATCAATGGTTCAAAGATAATCAAACTTCCCTAATGTGCAGGGATAGCTTGGCTTACAAAGGGAGGAAACTATATTTGCCCGAAGCCTTCCATTTTAATGCTCTCAAACACAGCCATGATGTAAAACAAGCTGGACACTTTGGATATTTGAAAACCCTACACCTCACCTGCTGGCAATTTTGGTGGCTGGGGCTGAAACGGGATGTGGAAAACTATGTAAAAAGTTGTACTGTATGTGCCACAATGAAAAGAATCCCAGAGAAAACCCCTGGGTTACTGCAACCAATAGCAGACCCTTCTCAACCATGGGAAGAAATAGCTATGGACTTTATAGTAGGCCTACCTGAAAATAGAGGAAATACTGTCATCTGGACTGTGATAGACCTGTTCTCGAAGCAGACTCATTTCATTGCCTGCAAAGGACTCCCATCTGCCCAACAACTGACCAAATTGTTCCTGAAACATATCTACCAGCTGCATGGTGTCCCTAAGTGGATAATTTTGGACAGAGGGGTACAGTTTACAGTGAAATTTTGGAGGAGCTTTCTTAAATTAATTGGATCATCCCAAGGCTTATCATCTGCTTTTCATCCAGCTACCAATGGGGCAGTAGAATCCACTAACAAAATGGTGGAGCAATATCTCAGATGCTACAAACTGGACTGACCTCCTCCCTTTTGCTGAAGTGGTGGCTTACAATAATTCTGTTCACAGCAGTACCGGCTACACGCCTTTCAGAGTAGCCACAGGAAAAGAGTTCAGTCCGATACCTGAATACCCCCAGGTGCCCTCCACCTCACAGACACTTGACCAATGGGTGAGGGGGTGGGAAGAAGTTTGGAGAAACACAAACATTGCTTTAAAAAAGACTTTTGAAACCTATAAAAAGAAGGCTGATAAAAAGAGGGCTCCTCAAAGAACGTTCCAAGTTGGGGAAAAGGTTTATTTGTAAACTAAATATTTACGCCTCAAATTGCCCAGCAAGAAATTGGGACCAAAATACTTGGGGCCTTTTCCCATTGTAAGGATCAGTAGAATTGAAACTCCCTAGGCTTTTAGGAAGAATTCACCCTGTCTTCCATTGCAGTTTGTTAAAACCTTGTTGGGGCTCCACCTTAAGGCCTCCCCCTAAGAAGGCACCCGGGCCCCTCATAGTTGCAGGACAGACCCACTATGAAGTGAAACATATTCTTGACTCTAGAATTTTTAAAAGGAAATTGCAATACCTAGTACAATGGAAGGGATACCCATTGTCTGAGGCTACCTGGGTGAAATCCAGTGAGGTGAAAGCTGACAGACTCATCAAAAGGTCTCATGTGAAACACCCCAACAAACTGAAAAATAATCCTTAACATATGGTTTTGTTTACATTGCAGGATCTGTCCTTTTTGTAAGGGGGGCCAGATGTCAAGATTACTAACATCGGATGTTCTTGCTTGACAATATATGAAGAAGCAGACATGTTCTATTTAACCTGTGTATTACTTCTAGAGTTAAAGTTAGATAGTGTTGGAAGAGGGGGAGAAAGAATGTACTTGGGGAATAGTTAGCCATAACAATATTTCAGTACAGTATTTTTCAAGGTTAGTTGTAACCAGAGGAGATACGGGAGGGAAAGTTCACACTTCAAACTAATTGGAGAATGTGATTGATGACTGTTAAATGAAGGAGTGAGTTATGCTTTGTTACGGGTGATTGGGGGGAGGAGAATTCAGATTTTGGCTTCACTATGTACGTGCAGAAGCTATGTAGCAATTAAAAAGATTCTTTAAGGAAAACAATGCCTCAAAGTTCTTTGAAGAGCTTCTACTTTCGGAACCATGACAGCATATATATCAATATAAAAGATAAAAAAAGTGACATTGCCATAGGTGTATATTACAGACTACCCAACCAATCAGAAGAAATAGATGAACTCTTTGCCAACCAGTTAACAAATGTATGTAGGAAATAGTAATGGGTGACTTCAACTATCCAGATATCAGCTGGGAGACAAACTCTGCAGTGAGTGGGCGATCGAACAGATTCCTAACCAACCTAGCAAACAACTTTGTCATCCAAAAGGTGGAGGAGGGAACTACATCTAAAGCCATACTAGACTTAATTCTTACGAACAGAGAAGAAGTGATAGAGGGAGTTGAAGTTACCGGAACCTTGGGCGAAAGTGACCACGTCATACTGGAATTTAATATAATGCAAACACTAGCAACAGAAAACAATCTAACTAGGATCTTAAACTTCAAAAGAGCTGATTTTAACAAACTCAGAGAGAACCTAGGAAAGATCCCATGGATGAAAATCCTAAAGGGGAAAACAACCCAAGAAGTATAGGAAAAATGCGATCATAAAAGCCCAGTCCAGCACAATACCACTGAAAAAGAAAAACAAGAAATTCAAGAAGAAACCAGCATGGCTGCACAAAGATGTCTCTGAAAAACTGAAAGACAAAAAGGACAAATACAAAAAATGGAAAGAGGGGCACATAATTAAGGCCAACTATCAGCAGACAGCCAGAAGATGCAAAGATGAAATCAGGAAAACAAAGACTCAGAATGAACAAAGACTTGCAACAGAAATCAAGGATAATAAAAAAAAAGTTTTTTCCAATATATTAATAGCAAGAAAAAAGTCAAGGAAAATGTAGGCCCACTAAAGAGAAAAGCTGGCAAGGAAATAACAGGCAACAGGGAGAAACCAGAACTGCTTAACTCATACTTTACATCAGTCTCCAGACAAAAAGAAACCATAGCCCAACATACGAAAAAAATCACTGCAAAAGACAAACTAGAAACAAAAATTAAAATAAGCAAGAATATCTTTCAAAAATTCTGGAGCACCGGAGAAATACCTGAGGATTGGAAAAGGGCTGATGTGGTTCCCATCTTCATATTTGTTTATTATTATTTTTTTTACCCTGTAATCAGCTCTGGGAAGTGGGGGAGGGGGGGAAGGGGTGGGAGTTTTATATTGTAATAAATTTATAAAACTTTTAATAAAAAAAAGAAAGGAAAAAAAACAGACCCAGGAAACTATAGACCAAACAGTCTAACATCAATACATGAGAAGATCCTGGAAAAGATAATCAAAAAACAGATCTACGAACAACTAGAAGCAAACAAAGTTATAACTAGTAGCCAGCAGGAGTTTGTCAAAAACTGATCATGCCAACCAAACCAATCTTATTTAATTCTTTGATAAAGTGACTAAACTAATAGATCAGCAAAATACTGTGGATGTAGTATACTTAGACTTCAGTAAGGCATTTGATAAAGTAGACCACAACCTATTCCTTGGTAAGCTAGAAAAAGGTAGAATAGACAACATCACCACCAGATGGATCTGCAGATGGCTGGCAAACCATACTCAACAAGTAGTCCTCAATGGCACTACATCCACATGGAGAGAAGTAAGCAATGGGGTACCACAAGGTTCTGTCTTAGGCCCAGTACTCTTCAATATCTTCATAAATGACTTAGACGAGGGAATTGAAGGGGAACTCATCAAATTTGCAGATGACACCAAACTAGTAGTAGTAGACAAACTCAGGACCAAAAAGATCTTGACAAACTTGAACAATGTTGAGAGTTTGGGAAAAATTCAGAGAAGAGCAACTAAGATGATCAAAGGCCTGGAGACTAAAACATACAAAGAACGGCTGCGGGATTTGGGTTTGACTAGTTTAAAGAAAAGAAGAAATAGGGGAGAAATGATAGCAGTATTCCAGTATTTGAGGGGCTGCCACAAAGATGAGGGGGTCACATTATTCTCCAAAGCACCAAAGGGCAGGACAAGAAACAATGGTTGGAAGCTGAACAAAGGAAGAAGCAACCTAGAATTAAAGAGAAACTTCCTGACAGTGAGGACAATTAACCAGTGGAACAACCTGCCTCCAGAAGCGGTGAATGCTCCAACACTGGAGGTTTTTAAGAAGAGACTGGACAGTCACTTCTCTGAGATTTTATAGGTTCTCCTGCTTAAGCAGGGGGCTGGACTAAAAGAACATCAAGGTCCCTTCCAGCTCTATTCTATTCTAATATGAAGGTTGTGGCCTGCGTCAAACATTGCAGCCCTGTTGAATTGTATTTATTTAGGATCACTGCCCTTCTACTTCCAAAGGCTAGCAGCAACTGAATTAGTAAGCAAGCTGTTATAACCTATACAAAAATAACAATAGAAACCCAACAATTAAACACATATTGATTTTTAAAGAAACAATTGACATAGCCAATGGACAAACAAATATTTCAAGCTAATTAAGTTATAGTTAACTACAAGCTAACTAAACTAATTTAAACACTAACTAAAATAATATCTGCCTGCCAAGGAAAATAATCAGGAAATGTTTTTGTGGCCCCGCTTAGAAAAGATATGAGTCCATGAGGCCCTTGCATTTTTTTTAAGTGAATGAGAAATGTAAATGTTTTCTCCCAAGCCTGCTCCTAAACCTTTAAAAGAAGGCTGGTATTGAAATTATTCCTCAAATGTTATCTACATTGTAAGAAGTAATTCATCAGAGTAAACTCATTTGAAAGCAGCCAATAAAAAATATTCATATATTGCATTCTTTGAAATGTTTAGTATACTATTTAGCAATGTAAAAGCTAGCACTTTTGGATTTAAATGATAGAAATTGGCTATCAAAGAACAAAAGGAAATTGGTGAAAGCACCTCTAGAATTCTAAAATCAGAAAGATATTGTACAGTAGGCCATTTAACTTAGTTGCCCGTGGCTGTGGGAAATTCAGAGCTTCCCAAACAAGAGGTTGACTAGTCTTTACTTGCAGTTCTTAAGAGTCCTCACAGAATGACACAGTCAACAATACATTTGCTTACTACCGCAGAGTTTTAAGTATTCTTGTCTCCTTTAAGAATTTAACTTCAACAAAACCCAAACAATCTCCAGTGTTAATATTTTATTTGCTTTGCTTTGGTCCAGATTTACTTTAGATGATTATACTGTGATTGAATTTTACAATACTGCCAAATTTATTACATTTATATATCAACTTTAAACTGTAATGCTGGCATAAATTCACGGAGAGCCAGAGCAACCAACAGAGAGGTGTTGAATCATATAAAAACGGACACATCACTAGAAGCCAAAAATCACCAGACTACATCTGATTTATTATGATGTTCCACATCACATGTGCAGGTTCATTGGATAAATCAGTGATGCTAAGGAATAATTAATGGATCAAGAAGAAGGGGCAAGCAAAGAACTTGCTGGCTTAATACCATCAAAGCTGATTTAAAGATGAACATCCAACAACTGAAAGAAGCTGTGCTTGACAGGGTAGCATGGAGAGCACTTGCATACAAAATCACCAAGAGTTGGACATGACCAAATGGTTAAAACAAGAATATACTGCCCATATCACGACTGAGTAACTCTGGGTGGTTTACAACACCATAAAAACAAAAATATATAAACACTAAAACATTAAGAAACATTAAAACATTTAAATTAGCAGGAATTGGGTAAACCAGGCACCCATACACAATCAGGGTGGGGGTGAAATGTTCTTCTTATAAGCTCTTTTCATGAGCTCCTCTAAGCATAAAAGGGTGGATTTCTGTGGCACTGTGACGATAACTGTACTTACGCTGTATGTACAGAGAAACCAGTAGCCAAGAGAGGCTCCATTAAGGAATTGGTACTTCTGTTTTTTCTCTTGTTTAAGACCTTTGAATAGAGTTGTGTTTCAGCTGCCGCCATCTCTTCCTTTCCTTCTGTGAATGTATGTATAGAGAAAGAATAGAGGGGCAGAGTCTGCTAAGATAAAATCAAACCCTCAAAACCTCCTTCAGTCTTTTTGACACGCTGATATCCTGTTTTTACAGAATGCTGTGGTTCTTACAATTAGTACAGTAGACAGACTACAAAGGGTGTGGGGGAAGGAAAACAGAATTTTTATATGCATGGCTATATATATATATAGCAGCAGATTCAGTATGACTTATATTGAGTTACTCTTGGGTCCTGGAGACAGCCTGGATTAGTATCTGCACATTCCTTGGCAAGATTTTGGAATGGCTTGCCATTGCCTCCTTCCTAGGGCCGAGAGAGAATGACTGGCCCAAAGTCACTCTCTTGTGCCTAAGACAAAATTACAGGATGTGGTTGGTAGTGCATTTGGTCTCTGCACCCTACTGGTATTACCAGTGAATTAGTTACATTCCATATTACTACATGTCAGTGTTTCCTGATTTGTAATTTTATTTATTGAACTGTATGATAATCCAGATTCAATTCCCCAAAGATATTCAGGAACACAAATGCAGCACATTGTCTGTCTGCAAGCATTTAAAATACCTGCCCCTTTTCCTGGAGCCATGTGGCTCTTGCAGAGCACAGCCAGATTATCCTTAGAAAAGGCATGGTTGCTTTAAAGAGCTGCTGATAGATATTACACTCTTATCCTTGTATGTTCTGAAGTGCCTGTTTGGAATCAAATCCAAAGCATTGTGGAGCCTTATTCATTTATTCAAAAGCAAGTTTAAACCAGCAGGAATTATATATTGTCTGTTTTTATTAAGCAATATAATGAGAGATGGACAGTTTATTTTGATTTTTTTATAATTATACTGTCTTTTTTAAAAAATAAAGACCCATCTTATATTAAAATAAAAAATAAAAATAAAAAATACCTATCTTATTCTTGGAAAATGGACAATTGGTGTACTCATCAAAGCTAATGACAAAGCTTCTTAATAAAAGAAGAATTAAGTCAAGAACCATTCAGGAAAAATATAACTTCATTCAAAACATTATGTCCTCTTTCCAAAGTAGATAAGTGTTGTGTTCCTTGAGTCATAATCTTATTTGGATTGATTTTTTTTTCTCCCTACTCTTTCACACTGTCTATTCTATGTTCAATCACCATTTGTAATTAAACTCAGGAAGTTGATTTATGGTAGATCAGAATCTGCATGTAGAATATCCAGATATTCTGCGGTACAGTAGATTCTCCATAATCTCCAACCACTATTTTTGCTGGCTGCCGCTAATGGAAGTTGTTGGCCAAGACATATGGATAAACCCAGGTTGGAAAAGTTTAACATTCCCTGATATGACAAACTGCTTTCCAGGATTTAAAAAAGGAAACAGGACCTCCTACTTGCATTCTATTGCTGAGCAAAGGTTCTTCTGAAAATACTGGTTCAAAATTCCACTTACGAATTTCAGAGAAAACTCTATTTCATCCCTGCTGATGTTTTATGGGCCATAAGTTCTAATTAGTATATGAGAATTCAGTTGTGCTCTTTCCTGGACCAGGAGGCCTTACTCATAGTCACTCATTCCTTGGTCACTTCCTGTTTGGATTACTGCAATGTGCTCTACATTAAGGTGACCAACCATCCTCCTTTAGGGAGGACAGTCCTCCTTTTGTGAGTTCTGTCCTCCCTCGAAACGTGTCCTCCTACATGTCCTCCTTTTCGATATTTGAAGACTAATCTGTAGGGCTTTTTTTTTCTCATAGAATGCTCAGAACGGTGTTCCGGCACCTTTTTTTGATGGCTTTTTTTTCAACTTTGCATGAGCTGTGCTACTCCTCGGCCAGCAAACCTTGCACATGTAAGTTGTCTGCAGCGAAGGCGAATTGGCAGGAACTTTGCACCCCTCCCTGCTACCCAACTACACCATATGCTAGTTAGTCCCGAAGATACCTGGAGGAGATTGGAGTGGCGATGCCACGGTAACTTTCTCTTGATCTTCGGTCCTGCTAGGGCAATAATGGCTGCGGGCGCAAGAGGCAGGGGCAGCGGGGCTGGTGCGAGCGGGGGTGTGGGGGGCAGTGGTGGCCGGCTGCCCCCTCTGCTGTGGGAGCCGTGGGGCCTGCTCTACATGGGGCTGCGCAGGGTGGGCGGTGGTGCTGGTGGGGCAGCTGCAGGCGGGGTGTGTTGACAGCGGGCTGTCCCCCAGGGCCGGAGCCGGCACAGCTGGTGCTTTGGGAGCCACGGAGCCCGCTCTACACAGCAGGGCAGCAGTGTTGGCGGGGCAGCTGTGGGCGGAGGCACGGCATGTAAGCATAATTACAATATAAAATGTTATTGTTACAAATGTTTTTATTATGCATTTATCATATTATAGTGTATTCTGTATTATTGTTGCAATGAATAAAATGTTTCTTTTATTTACGATATCTTTTTCTTCAATTTATTTGTGTTCTCCTTTTCATTGTAAAAAAGTTGGTCACCTTATCTACATAAGCTACTCTTGAAGATTACCCAGACATTTCAACTGCAATGCGCACAGTAATGGGGGCCCCCTAGGTTTGCCCATGTAACAGCTCTGTTGTATGAGGTGCTCTGGCTTCCAGGGGTATTTTTTTTTTATTTTTGGTGCAGTTCAAGGTGCTGCTCATCACCTTTAAATCCCTATATGGTAAGGGTCAGGCTATCTGCAGGATTGCCTTTTCCTAAGGATACTTATCATTTTACCAGATCAGATAGGGTGGGCACACTCCTGGTCCCTTCCCCCAAATGTTGTCTTTTGATGGGCAGTATGGAGTGGACCTCTTCCATGGCAGCCCCTGTTCTATGGAACACTCTGCCTCCTGAAAGTCAGTAGGCCTCCAGCCTCCTAACTCTCTGTAAAATGTTGAGGTCCTGACTTTTCCCCAAAGTGGTGGGATAAGATTGGATGACTGCACATTAAAAGTTTGATTTGATGCCAGATTTTTGTTATTTTTAATGATTTAATGTGTTTAGCTTTATAGTTTTAGTGTGATTTTGTATTTTGATCTTTGATTGGGAGCTACCCAGAGTAGGTTGAAAGATGGTGACTATATAAATGTTTTAATTAGACAGACAGACAGACAGACATAAATAAACAAACTACATCTTTGGTTGTCAGAATCTCTTTATTAATGTCTTTCATACTTGTGGGGTAATATAATAATCATCCTATAAAATAGAAAAGTTTGACCAGTTTGGTTCTGCAACTTTTGTTGATGTAGTACAAACAGAAACTTTGGTGCTCCTTATTACCTAGTCTAGTCATTGCACATTCTGCTGGCACCTACTAAGGTAAATAATAAATGTCCTTCATTGTGTCAAAGGTGGGGAGGGGGTTTGTGTGTAATATGAGACAGAAAAACATACAGAGTCTCTAGCAGTACTCCCATTGTTCTTTTATGTAAATATTTTAATTGGTGTGAAGCTTTTCATGCACACTTCATAATTCTTTAATTTCCTGCCCAGACTCAGGATTTACATGTATTGCAAAAGATCTTGAAAGATCCTGAATATGGTTATAAGTTTATGATAGGCAGTTGTTGTTGTTTTTTTACTGACCACTGCTACCTTTTCATATCTCTGAAACCACATCTCCACTCTGCCGTTTGAGAAGCTCTGCAGTTTGAGAAGTCACCAACAAATAATGTATTAGGTGTTATTAACTATCCTCTCAGCAGAATTTTTACTAGAGACAATCTGACCAACCAAATCATCAGTTTCAACTGTTTTGCCTGAAAAGTAAAAGCTGCACTTTCCAAGATTATTGAACATATTTGCATCTATCTCAAATGTTTCCTTCCCTTGATTATAATTAATTAATAGGATTGATGTCTTTTTATCTTCCTGGCCTTTGGAACAAAGCCATGCTAGGCCACTTGATATCTTTGGTCTGGCTGAGTTACATTAATAGCAGTCAAATGATTATCTGCTGCAATGAGTCCACTACTAATTCCCGAGGAGTAGGTGAACAAATTTGGAGAGAATACCTTGGGGTTTTTGACTAGATAACTTTTAGAATGAAAAGAGGGAACATTCAGGCTTTTCAGGATGAGTTCAGTGGAACAGGTAAGTGAAACCCAGGAAAGAAGAAAGAGGGTTAAATGTTTTTCTTCTGTTTTCTATTACGTGCCACATTTTGGAAACTTGTTTCTTTGATTATTGCTGGTTCTCACAACAAAGCCCCCCTAGAGAGAAGTAGACGGGAGCCAGATAAGGACAAGTCTTTTTGAACTCACATGATGGTGTAGAAAGTAGCATTCTAACATACAATAGATTGTGTACTTTGTTATTTCTGATTGTAGACAACTTTTTGAATTCCAAATGCACTGAATGAGAGGGGTATAAGAGCACATTCATTCATTTCAACAGTACCAGACTGTTGCAGGAAAATAATCACTTGTTAATCCAGCTGTGTATTCAGCTCTCCACTGGATTTCTTCAAGCACAAATTGAATTGATTCTAGCACTGGGTCAAGTCGCTTTCAATTCAGTGAGGATTGTGGGTAGAGTATGAAGTTATTTAGGAGCAGATTCACCTCCAGCACAACACTAATTGTCATGTGTGTTACATGGCACCCTCATGTGCAGAGGTGGATACATCTACAATAGAAGAAATCTCCCCAAGAAAATTTCATGTACATGAAACTAGTTCCGAGTAATGGAAATATGTTAGTGCTAGGCACTTGTTTTATTTAACATTCTTTTTTTTGCAGAATTACAGGTAGTCCTTGATTTACAACCTCAATTGAGCCCAAAATTTATGTTGCTAAGCGAGACATTTGTTAAGTGAATTTTGCCCCATTTTACAACCTGCCATGCCACAGCTGCTAAGTGAATCACTGCAGTTGTTAATTTAGTAACAAATCTGGTTTCCCCATTGACTTTGTTTATCAGAAGCTCTCAAAAGGTGATCACATGACCCTGGGACACTGCAACCATCATAAATATGAGTCAGTTGCCAAGCATCTGAATTTTGATCATGTGACCCTGAGGATGCTGCAGTGGTCTTAAGTGTGAAAAACGGTCATAAATCACTTTTTCCAGTGCCACTGCAACTTCAAAGAGTCACAAAATACACTGTTGTAAGTTGAGGACTACCTGTATAATTGTGCTATGAACAGAATATCTTTTTCCTTCATTATTATGTTCCAGAGAAAATAAACCTATAGGGAGACATACAGTTAATTCTGTCTGCCACAGAAGGCATTCATCAAAGTAATGGTGCTAATTTTCAACAATTATTCCATCACCCTCATTCTTACTTCCTCCAAATCCGGTCCAAAAGCATGGACCAGATTTGAAGGCAGTAACCTTCAGGAGGAAGAGAAGTTACAGGGGAAAAGGAATAATAAATCTTGGTCTTTCCATTTCAGAGGTACCTTTGCAACAGCAAAGACATTTCCATTATTTCTATTATAGTTTCTATAGACAATATCAAACTGAAATATTTTTAGTTTAAAAAGCACTTTAAAAAAATGGTATGTCTTTAAATAGGTCATATTTTAAATACTTGCACATAATTATTTTAGTCATTAGGAAGTCAAATGAACAATTGCAGTTTATTAAAGACAGGCTTAAGGAATACTCCCATCCTTTCAAGTTATAAATCCTCTAGTCATAGGCCATGAATGATGAAAATTTGAGTTCTAAATTAAAAGAGTTCTAAAATAAAATAACGTTTGCACTTCATTCAAAGAAAACCAGCATTGTTCATGCAAGCCCCTGGCATGCCTACAACCATTTCTAATCTGCAGTTTCAAGCTTTAGGCTGGTGATGCAGGTTATATGGGATAATATAAGCTTTTACTATATATCAGCTATCTAATAATTCATGCATCTTTTACATTCTAATAAAGCATTCTCACAATAAATGTTTTAAGGCATTACAATAGGACCCAAGGTTTGAGACTACACTATATGGTGTTTTGCTCCATCATGGGAAGCAATATAAACATGATTTGAACAAATAAATAACTGACTTGTAAAGACCTTCAGTGGACAAGGTGCCTGGTTAAAGTACAACCATGCTCATGTATGTGATCCTTAATCTACAAAACTTCAATCTTATTTGGAACGAAAGCCTCTCACAAGATTAACACATGCTGTTCCTTCCACTCAGTTGGACGATTGAAGTAAGTTCTAAATGGGGCTGACTTTAAACAGTACTTAAAAACTGCAACACGTATAAAATTCTGTGGTTCATATTCAAAACATGAATTTATTACACATCTACTATGGGCTACCAATAGGCTTCCAGGTGAGGTAGGAAGTGTTTGTTTTGAATTATAAAGTCTTATACTGTATGGTATAGAGGATGTAGAGAGTATCTTTGACAGACCCTTCTCTAGTTCACATGAAAATAGCATGAGGAAAGGGGAAAGCACATTCAGACTTGCAAGATTGTATTACTTTTCATTTTACAATAACAGTATTTTTTATCTTCTTTCTTAGCCTTGTCTATCTTATAGAGCTAACTTGAGATCTGGTACCATAGTATTTCCAACACTGTCTATTTCAGTCTTCTCTGATTCAATCACCACAGGATATGATTACTTGTAATTACCCCAGGTCTATAAAATTAAGGGGACAGATGTGAGAAACAGATGTTTTTCTGTCCTGGTCCCCACTTATGCTTTAGGAAATAACACTGTTAGCCTTCTGGAAGCAAGCTGAGCAGAATTATTCTTTTTATGTTTTAATTAATTAGACACTGCAGTAGAAAAACATTATATTCTGTTCTGCTTTTTGGGCTGATGATTTTATTGTTGGGTACAGAGTTTTTTGTTCGTTTGTTTTGGGTGGATGCTTTTCCTTGGTATACACTACCACTAAGGGTGCAACAATTGTGACAGCAAGAAAAAATAACATTTAACTAATAAGTTAAATAAATAAGCAAATAAGTAGCCGTGGTGTCCACCTTGTCTATTGCAAATAGAAAAGTGAGAATTCTTTTGATCCAGGTTAAAATCCAATTACTGAAAGAAGGCTTTACTTCCTAATTAATATGAATATCATTTTTGATGGGAGAGGGCTTCAAGTCAACATTAACTCCTGGTAACTTCCTGGATGAATCCTGCAGTTTTCTTCACAAGATTTCAGCAGTGATTTGCCATTTACTCTTCCTAGGGCTGAGAGAAAATGATTGGCTCAAGATCACCCAGCTGGCTTTGTGTCTAAGGAAGAACTACAACTCACATCTCCAAGTTTCCAGCTTGTTACCTTAATCACTACACCAAACTGATTCGCTATTTATTCTTTGGTAAAAGTAATAGATTCTGAGTTTGTTAAAGAGCGCCACTAAAAAAAATAGCATTGGTTGAGGACTTATTTCCTGGATTCTCGCTTGACATCACTAGGCTCCCTATCCTACCTATGCTATTTTTCTTAGATTTGTTTGATTAAAAAGTAAATGGAAAATTGGCATGCTGCAGCATAAATACCAACATCAAGTATAACCTATATGTCCACCAATATCTCTAGGCCCACGTAGGTCCCAGAGGCATTCATAAAAAATAAAATGATGAGTGGCTGAAGCCTTGTGCTTTGGATCTGTCATATGGATGTTTTGAATGGACACAACTGGTAATCATTTGTAGTCATGTCCTCCCTGGCCTATACAGATTGGGAATCTGATCTAATCTATTCCAGGGATGAGATTTGGCCTATCATATGTGCATACTTAATGCTTATGCTGAGTTTTCATATGCGTCCTTCCAATAATCCTGCAACATAAGATAGACTTACTGTGCCACAATTGATTATGGGACTCCCAAGACATATGTACCTCTCCTGATCTAGGCCCCAAGAACAGATTCCAGTCTTGATACCACTGAAATTGCCTCTGCTGCAGAAGATGAACTGCCAGATTCTAATATTTGTTTCTGCTGCAAAAGGATGTTTTGTATACATCAAGCAAAAGTAGATCATAGTGAACATGAAAATGGTAAGAAGCATAGAATTCTTTGATGTAACATAGCATAGGTTGTTGCCTCTCCAAATCTTCTTTAAGCCCTGTACGCTTCTTTTTATATTGCTTATTGATTTCTTTTTTTGTTGTTGTTGTTCAGTAATCATGTCTGACATATTTTAGCTTGTCTAGTTTTAGAAGAAGGATGAGATACCAGGAAAACTGAAAAGACCTGAGAGAATTAAGAAAAACAGAATGATATCAATGAACTCATTCATTACTACTCAGAACTATTCTTCCTGAATCTGAATGAAAGAATGGAAATAATAGTAATAATAATACAATACTGAGAATTACTGACAGCTCTGTCTTGAATATCTGTGTCTTGAGTTCTGTCTACAAACTGAATACAATATAGTTTTCAAAAGTTTCAAAATAAAAACAGATACTATATGAGCCTTCTACAAAACAAGCATAACATTTGTTTTGGGGATACAACCATGATGTAGGTTTCTCTCTCCACCCTTGTTTTCTACTTAAGTACTTGGTTGTTTTAAGATTATTTAAGTGATTTTTCTTTTTCACTTGCTTTCTTTTAATAAATGAATATTTTGAAATTCAAGAGTCATTTTATGAATATTCAAAAGAGGGACCTCGGAGTCCTAGTAGACAATCACCTAAATATGAGCCAGCAGTGTGCTGCAGCTGCCAAAAAGGCCAACACAGTGCTAGGCTGCATTAACAGAGGGATAGAATCAAGATCACGTGAAGTATTAATACCATTCTACAATGCCTTGGTAAGGCCACACTTGGAATACTGGATCCACTTTTGGTCACCATGGTGTAAAAAAGATGTTGAGACTCTAGAAAGAGTACAGAGAAGAGCAACAAAGATGATTAGGGGACTGGAGGCTGAAACATATAAGGAACGGTTGCTAGAATTGGGTATGTCTAGTTTAACGAAGAGAAGGACAAGGGGGGACATGATAGCAGTATTCCAATATCTCAGGGGCTGCCATAAAGAAGAGGGAATAAGCTATTTTCCAAAGCACCTGAAGGCAGGACAAGAAGCAACGGGTGGAAACTAATCAAGGAGAGAAGCAACCTAGAACTAAGGAGAAACTTCCTGACAGTGAGAACAATTAATCAGTGGAACAGCCTGCCTCCAGAAGCAGTAAATGCTCCAACACTGGAAGTTTTAAAGAAGAGACTGGACAGCCATGTCCGAAATGGTGTAGGGTTTCCTGCCTGAGCAGGGGGTTGGACTAGATGACCTCCAAGGTCCCTTCCAACTTTACTACTATTACTATTACTCATCATATGCGAAATCATTTTATGTTCCTGTTTCTGACAATGTTCTGGATTCTACAACCCACTGTAGAATCTGCCACAGCTTTTCAAAATTAAATCATAGATACTTTGTTTAGAAATAAAGTATTGATGGGATGTGAGAATGAGAAATGCCATTAAAAATACTATAGAAAGAGACCCATGTCAGTCTGTAGTATCCAAAACTCAGAGGGAGCCTGTGAAGATGTTTTTAATCCTGCAACATTATATTTTGCAACAAAACTAAGGGTCTACTTTCTCCACATATACACACCAACAGCACCCTCATGAACTCCAACAACTTCACCACTAGAGGCAACTTCACATGTTCTTTCTCTAATTGGATTTATGCCATTATCTACTAGCACCACCATTCTGATTCTATATGAGACAAATCTTGAGCCAAAGAACTAATGGATGCAAATTTGGTATCAGAATTCAAACAAAGGTATTGTAATCTCCCAGAACACTAGATTAAAAGTCTCAGGGTAGCTGTTTTGAAAGAAAGAAGCATACCAATACATAGAGTAGAGGCTGTGGAGTTTATATACATCCAAAGGCTATTTTGATAGGCCTTAAGAAATAAAGTAGCTTTTTAAACATATTATGATTGTTAATTGAAGAGGAACTTGTAATCTGCATAATGTCCCATCCCAACTTTAAATCCTATACCAATTTAACCACTCCATGCATACCTTTTAATAAAATGTACTATTAAAAGGTGCTACCAGGCTCCTTTTCATCATCAAAAATTAGTTTTCTTTCTAGAAATATGTTTCACTCCTTTGTATGTAAATTCATATTAAGATTCTGGGGTCTTTTAAAATGTTATTTTGATACAGAATCTCATGATTATATGCATTTTTAGACATTTTTATTTCTCACTTTTCTGTTTGATTCCCAGAAGAGATTGCAGTGCCTCGGTGCCATTTTTTAATCCCACTAAGGCTGCTTCCCTTTATCCTTGCCTTATTTCTCACTTTAATCATAGCAACTGCCATTGCCTTGAGTGGTGAGTATAAATAATTTATTTATTAGGTTCTCAGTTAACCATCAAAGAGTTTGCATTTTTCATGAACCTCCCGCCAAGGATAATATTAATTGGATACTAAAAGTTGCATCTTGAATTATTGCTGTTGAAATAATGATAATAAAAAAAACTCTTATGAGCTTTGTAAAGTAAGATGGTCATTAATAGATTTAGTCTTTAGTCTTCCCCCAACTTAGTGCCCTCCAGAGAGGTTGGACTTCACTCCTCATGATTCCCAGGAAACCTGGGACTTTGGCCAGGTTTTCCTGGGAGATCATGGAAACTGAAGCTCAGCTACTCTGACGGCAGCCCTCAGCCTTGGGAAACAAGTTATTCCAGACAGTCAATCCTTCTTGAGACCCATTATATTATTTCAATTTTGTTATACTCCCATTTTCCCCCCTGAGTGTTTCAGATACCTGCTAGCTTTCTTTCACAAGGTCAAGCATTTGAAAGTTTGCCAAACTTTGAAGCATTTTTATTGCTAAGCAAAAGTCAGCACACATAGATTATCCTTCCTGGGGCATGCAGTCACATTGACTATACATAATAGCACCTTTATTCAGCTAAGTGTCAGCAAAGTTGAAGTGGCACTGGATTTTCTCCAGTCTCAGCAGATCTATTTTATTATGGAAGTAGTGTCTCATTTTAAAAGCCACCATAAACTAAGAAAAACCAGGAAAAAATAATTAACAAAACTTTATGGTTCACACAAAGCTTTCAGTATAGAAGGATTCGGTTATAAAATATATGGGAAACAATGGACAGGCATTTTGTATTGACAGTGAATGAGTGTTAGCCATTTCACATTGTATAGCTGATTTTTGTTGCTGTATGAGGGAATGGAGAAAAAACAAATGGGAAGGAAGGAGAATCTGGATGGAGAAAGTTAGAGAAAGGAATGGGTTCTACTGAATTTTAACTTCCATCACAAAACAGTTATAACATTTCCTTCTTTCCAATATATAAAGAGAGGAAGGTTGCACACATAATTCCTGTTCCAATTTGGGAGGGCCAATTATATATCAAAATGTTGCTGTTTCATTGTAGATGGTATTTTGAATGAACAGCATAATAATATTTGTAACCACAGATGATTCTTCAATGTTCCCTTTTTCATTTCTTCCTTATGCATCTCTTTTCTTCATGTGTAAAATTTTGAACAAATCTGGAGTTGTGTTGATTTAATAAAATATCCTTCCCTCCCCCCCCCCAGTTTATTTCAACTGCAATGGGAGGTTTCAGTGCAGATCTTCCTTTAAATGTATTGATCAAACAGCAAGGTGTGATGGTGTCTTCAATTGCAAAGATGGAGAAGATGAATACAGATGTGGTAACATTCATTTTTATTATGGATTTTATGTGCTACTTCCTCTCAAGGCTTAAGTTCTGAAGTGAAAAAGTATGACTAATCCAACGTTACCTTGGCAATTTCTGTATCTAGTCCTGCGCTGTAGATAATATACCACACTACTAAAGGGAGAAAAATATTAGCCCCAGGGGACCTTTTTGTGGGGAAAATAATGAAATACATACAATTTTTCCTTCTCAGTGGAATCATGTTTTTAATTTTTAGAATTTAAAATCCCTGACAGTGTGAATAAATTTCTTTATTGTCACTCATTAGGAGCTACCATTTTAACTGAACATGTGCAGAAAAGCTACCATTTTATACAATGGTGAAAAGAGCTATAGAGATGACCTTGTAGAAACTATGTAAAGGCAAAGTGATTTAAGTCCAAGACAGAAGAAAACATTATAAAGAGCTCAGTCCAGCTCTGTCTTTATTCTCTTGAATATAAGAGGGAGGGAGGGAGGAACAAAATTGCTAGACTTTCAAGTTTCTTTTGTTTATTAATAAAATAGTGTTCCAATATTAGTTGTGGAGCCTGTTTTCTTAATCCAGCTTGCCACAAAGGGGTGACAAATGCTAAGAGGATTCATTTATTCCAGAAGCAGCATTGATTGCAAAAACACCTTTTACAAAAATCACATAACAAAGTTATGCACAATATTATATTTGTACAATGTAGCATTATACTTACCCTGAAATACTATAAAAATGTCCCTTTATCTCTGAGTTCATATGTATTACATACATAACTATGTATGAGTTGAAACAACTCAAATTTATTATTTGAAAATTGACCCATAAAATTATAAGCTGCTTTTAAATATAGGCATTTTTTTTTAAATAATGGGGAGTCAAGGGCAATAAAATCCAACATTATCAGCATAACCTTCAGCATATGGAATCAGGGATGACTGCAGGGACAGGTTAAAAAAAGTCAAGATAGTTGATGCAAATGTACAATCAAAGGATTCCCCTCTTATTTTACATAAGAAGTGGCACAGAGGTTGGAATGCAGTACTGTAGGCTACTTGTGCTGACTGCCAGCTGACTGCAGTTTGGCAATTTGATCCTCACTGACTCACAGTTGACTCAGCCTTCCATCCTTCCAAGGTCAGTAAAATGAGGACCCAGATAGTGGGGGGGGGGGGAACATGCTGAGTCTGTAAACTGCTTAGAGAGGCCTGTAAAGCACTTCCATTGCATGTTCAGGCCACCATAATTTTTTGACTCCCCACAGACATTTTACATTTGAGCATACTGTATGTCAGCTCTATCCCAAATTAATTGTTAAAGAAATTTTTAAAAGGGGGGGGGAATAAAATTGAAGTCAATTACAGGGTTAATTTCATTAAGTTTTGAATATATTATTACTGGTTTACTTCCTGAACTAGTCTACTGGAGGTCTTACCCAAATAGTGCAAAGAGAGAAAAGCAAGAGGCACTTGGCTGCTGCAACTGTCCTGTCCTTACAATAATTATTATTAAACACCAGCTGACTTTTTTTGTGTCCCCCTAGTCAGATTGAGCGGTAAAAGAGCTGTGCTGCAGGTGTTCAGTTTTGGAATCTGGCGGACTGTGTGTTCCGATGGCTGGAAAGACAACTATGGGAATGTTTCATGTAAATACTTAGGATTTTCAAGGTAAAAATTGCTGAGCAATTTTGTCAAGTGACAATGGAAACAAAATGACCCAAAGTATAGTTCAAGTCAAAATGTAATATTTTGACTCCAATAAACAGTGAAACCTTTGTTGAATTAGCTTTTGCATTTAGTGCTTCTTTTTAAATTATTGATGGCAATAAGCTATTAAACTACACCGTTTCAGAAGACTTTAAAATGTTAGGAAAACTGCCAAAATGTGATAGGCTTGGTATTGCTGATGATTATGGTAAATCTGACAGATTTTTAAAAAAAAAAAACAGTAAGGCACTGGAAATGTAGGTCTTCTGTTTGCAATGTTTACAACTGTATAGAACAGGGCCCACCCTGAAGTTGTCTTTCTAATATAAAAGGAATGATGGGATGGTGGTGGTGGTCTAACATATTGAGAAGATGCTGGGAATGCTGACAAGAATGAAATTCCAGCATTCTGAAGAGGGTTGTAGATTTGCTACCTTGAATTAGATGTATTGTATTATTATAATCTACCCCAGATTTGAAAACCAGGTAATATAAGAAGTCTGAAATATAAGAGTTAAGCATGAAAATTGTACTGGAACATATTGGTTAATTCTTACCTTCTACAGTTTTGTAAGTTCATCTGGCTTCCCAGTGGCTGCCATTGAGAATGAATTCCAGAAATATTTTGTTACTGCAAATCATTGGTTATCAGCTGATCAGCTAACATCACCACAGAATGCTACCAATTTACGGTATGTTTCAGATGTTTAGCTTCAGAAAGACATGCAAATGGGCTCCAGGAGCTTCCATGGAACTGCAGAATCTAAATCTATATTATCTGCATGCATGAACCATCATATAATGCTGTTAGAGAAGATGCCCTGTGTTACTGTGCCTTCACCATTTCTCAACTGGCAAATTGGTAATATGCATTGATTCCTATTCTAAAGGAAATTTTAATTGATTTAAGATGCTTTCCCATCTTCTATTGAATAGAACTAAAATTTGTTATTCATTTCAATCATCATTCCTAGGCCTTTGCAGGGAACAAGTAGCAATGAGTTTTATTAAAATGGCCAGTCTTTTCCTGGAATTAATTGTAACAGGTGTCCAAGTAAAGGCTTTGTATAAGTAACATGAACTCTCTCATGTCCAAAATCATGTATATAGTTGATTCATGATCTGGACATCCTAGGGACCAGAACACTAAGGAATTTGCTTCTGGGAGATTTCATTTTACCCTGTTAGGGGCTTTAATATGGGAAGAAAGTCTTCGTATGTTAAATTAAGTATCTCTTTCCATATATCTATGTGGAAATATTTATGGAAATTCAGACTTCCAGTGATGAACTCATACTTGGTGAAAACTATGCTGACAAAATACAATAATCATTCTTGTTTAAATCAACCATCTAGTCCCTTTCAAATGTATTTTGAATGTATCTCCAAGGGAGATGGGCAATTAAGAAATATCAGGAGAGAGAGAGAGAGAGAAAGAGAGAGAGACAGAGAGAGAGAAAGAAAGAAAGAAAGAAAGAAAGAAAGAAAGAAAGAAAGAAAGAAAGAAAGAAAGAAAGAAAGAAGGTAATTAGAATTTTTAGCCAACATAATGAAAGCTATCTGGGAATTCTGAGAGTTGTAGTCCTAACACGTTTGGAAGTGATGGATTTAGGAAGGCCGGTTTAAATTTATAGACTGAACAAATGGTATTTTTATAGATAAAGCTTTTTTTTTACTTTTTTTTCTGTTTCAGAGAAGAATGTATTTCAGGCAATGTAATTGTCTTAAAATGTTCGGGTAAGTGATTTGGGAAATGGTATAGAATGTTAGCTCAATTTCCTCACATGAACCTAAGGAAAGAATGCAAATGTTCAAATATAAATCATTGTGTGCAAGTTCAATTTTAATGAAGGGCAGCTATACAAAATAAAACTATCAGTTTTAATTAATCTCTGAAAATCTTATGGAGCAGAACTTTCTGATGGTGATGCCTCAGTTATTAACATGTTTGGTATAACTGCAGTTCTTTTAAATGGATAAGGACAAAATAAGGAGTTAGAAAAATTAAATCTTTTCTATTAGATAAATTAAAAAACAGGTATTTTATAGTGACAGGTATATTACAATGATTTTATTTTTCCATTCTGCCAGCATGTGGTACTAGGAGCTGGTACTCCCCACGTATTGTCGGCGGAAATGTGTCCCTGCTCCAGCAATGGCCATGGCAAGCCAGCCTTCAGTTTCAAGGATATCATTTGTGTGGGGGGTCAATCATCACCCCACAGTGGATTGTTACAGCAGCTCACTGTGTTTATGAGTAAGCATCCCATCTAGAATACTATCTTCTAAATATTTTGTGATGTTATCTCCAGTTTTCTGTTCCAATTTCCTTGTTCCAAAATGCATCCATATGAACTCTCTCACTGGATATTATCTGAGTTTTATCTTTCTGGTCTTCATGGATTTGGCCTATATACATGTTTCCCTTCTTCTGAAAAGGTGGTCTTGCTGTTGTTTTTTAAACCTTATTAAGTTGCTTCATATATTGCTTCACAACTGCATTAAAGCATTAATATGTATCATCTGTATATTTTAGTTATCAGTTCATTACAACAGTGATGGAGTCATCTTTCCTTGATTATTTTCCAAGATGCTAGTGTGATATAGAGAGGCAACTAATCGTTGACACCTTATCCTGGTTGGGCCTTAGTGGCTGGATGTGGGCTATAAGAAATTTTTAAAAGGTGATTAGATGTGATACAAAGTCATCTTCACTTAACAAAATGATGCAATTATAAGCCCATGTTACCCAGTAGACATCAATTTGGTTTTGTGCTCATGCTATAAACTTCTGCAACAGTGCCAATAGAAACCTTATATTTACTCTCTATCTTTCTTACAGAATCACTCTGAGTTATATTTCAATGGCTATCTTCCAGTACGATGTCTATGGAGATTCTCAGTCATCCAGGTCATGGTTTTCCCAAAGGTGCTTTTTCAAGAGGCAACTGGACTTTCTTTGTTTTTCCTTGAAGACGTTTTGCTTCTCATCCAAGAAGCTTCTTCAGTCCTAACTTCTTCAATCAAAATTGAAGAGGCTTCTTGGATGAGAAGCAAAATGTGTTCAAGATAAAACAAAGAAAGTCCAGTTTCCATTTGAAAAAACACCTTTGAGATGATATATTCAAACACAGTTTTGATATTTTAATTTGGATTCTGGAACTGATCTGAACTGGATTTGAAGAATGGAATTATTTGCCTAAATATCCCTGAATGTTGCTGTGAAAAGGTGGTGATGGTAGGAATTATAGGACTCATGCGAGCACCACTTGTAGAAATTTATACAGGTAGTCCTCAACTTACATCTGTAACTAAATTTGGAATTATGGTCATAAGTCATTGCAATTGTAAGTTGAGGTATCACATGACCAGACCCTAATTTTCATCATTTTTTGTGGGGTTGTGCCATGGTGATAAAGTGAATGTCACAGTGATGTGATATAAGATATATGATATTCGTATGATTTTATATTTTTGGAAAATGAAATCTTGTACATCAAAACTTAGGGAACATAAAGTTGTAAACACTACACATAGCCAATTTTAAATGTTGAAAGATATTACTTTCTTTTTTGTTTGCAATGTTTTTGCTGAAACAGTTTGTACTTACCAGGAGCGTGGAGTGTTCATGTGGGTTTAGTAATCCTGGAAGAAAGTCCTATTAATCCATACTTAGTGGACAAAATTATATACCATAAAAAGTATAAGCCTAAAACAATGAAGAATGATATAGCGTTGATTAAGCTGGCTACTCCACTTGCACTAAATGGTAATTTTGATTCCCTTAATTTTCTTTTTCTCTTGTTTTGGGTTTAAAGTTCATATTGAGAAGGGTGGCCTAGATTTATCACATGTATGATTTGCTACAGTGTCTATTTGCTTATAGGAAGAATATTATAATATGACCATGAGAAGGTGAGACCTGTCTGATGTTGGAATATTCTTTTTGTGCTTTTCATTTCTCTTAAATACTGTGTATTTGCCATGGAAAGGAACAGTAACCATTTCCAGAAGGCTTCTGTGCAGGTTTCTTATAATGTCAGACCTGGTGCTCATTTTGCAGAAGCAATTATGATGGAGAGGAAGGAAGGAAAGGCGTGGGTTGCAATTTTTATCTCAGTATCGCTGTCTTGTGGGAGAAACTACCAAAACCCAATTTGCAGAGAGAAACTGTTTCATAATTTATACAAATTTAAGAGTAGTTGAAGAGAAGTGAAGAAGACCAAGAAGCATGCCTTTTGTTTGTTCCTTTTCTGATAACTTTTTGGTAAATGAGAGTTTGTTATATCTTTAAAATAAAATCCAGATTTTAGAACTTATGCAAAGTATGCAGACTCATTTTTCCCTATTAATAGTATCATTTCAAATTTTATTCTTTCATCATTTCAGTGAAATGGTTTTTATTTTATTATGTTATGCTGTTGTATCATTGTTGTATGATATTTTGGCACAGTCAGCCAGATGTTTAGACTGGATTTGGCATTTTTATTCTACCTATCAAGTGCTTCCTCAGCACTTGGGCTAGGCCAGGGGTAAGCAACCCAAAACACTCAAAGAGCCACTTGGGCCCATTTCCCACCAAAAACAAAACACCAGGAGCCGCAAAACCCTTTTGATATCTAAAATGAAGATAACACTGCATATATCCTTTTTCACCTTTATTATAGGTGTGTGTGTGTGTGTGTGTGTGTTTGTGTGTATATGCGTGTGTGTGTGTGTGTATGTATGTATGTGTGTGTGTGTATGTATGTGTGTATATATATATATACAGCCTGACCAAAATCAACCCCGACGACGCTAACAGAATCAGACTCGAAATCACCAACATCCTCTGTACCAGCAAGCCACCCAAAAGCAACTTACCCAAAGAGGAACAGACAGCACTACGTAACCTGAAAGAAGACACCAGCATAATAATCCTACCAGCAGACAAGGGCAACGCCACGGTGGTTATGAACACATCTGACTACCAAACCAAATTAACCAACCTACTCCAAGACTCCACATACAAACCCCTAAATACAGATCCCACCACCTACCTGGAAAAAACCACCAGATCCAAAATAAAAGCCTCCCCCATTAGCGAAGAGATCCAGCAAAGAATCATTCCCAGAGAGAAATCATCCAGATGCCCCAAACTCTATGGTCTCCCCAAGATACACAAAGAAGGAACCCCACTCAGACCTATAGTCAGCTCCATAGGCTCACCTCTACAAAACCTAGCCAAATTTCTCGCCAAACAACTACAGCCCTATGCAGAATCCATCACCTCACACATAAAAAACTCATTCCAGTTTATAGAGATCATAAAGAAACAAAACTTACAGCCCAGCGACCTACTCGTGAGCTTCGATGTCATATCCCTCTTCACCCAAGTGCCTATCAAAGAAGCCTTGACAGCTATCCAAAACAAATATAACCCCCCCAAACACATCTTAGATCTGACCAACCACTGCCTATCCAACACATACTTCATCTATAATGGACAAAAATACAAACAAACAGAAGGAGCACCCATGGGATCACCCCTCTCACCTGTCATTGCCAACCTCTACATGGAACACTTTGAAACCCAAGCTCTAGAAAAATCGGATCACAAACCCAAACTCTGGCTCAGATACGTAGACGACACCTTCATAATCTGGCCACATGGGAAAGAAAAACTGGACAACTTCCTCACACACCTCAACAGCCTACACCCCAAAATACAGTTCACCATGGAAACAGAAGCTAACAACCAACTTCCCTTCCTGGATGTCTTAGTCTACAAGAAATCCAATGGCTCCCTAGGACACACCATCTACCAGAAGAAAACACACACAAACCGCTATCTGCACGCTCTCTCACACCACCACCCAGCACAGATCAACTCTGTAGCCAAGACACTCATCTCCAGAACAAAACGCTTAGCTGACGAACAACACCTAAAAACCGAACTACACACTCTCACCAATGTACTAACATCCAATGGATTCCATAGAAATAAGATTACAAACCTAATCCAAAAAGAAACCCCCACTAAAATCCAAGACAAAGAACAAGAAAACGGCAAAGCCCTCCTCCCATACATAAAAGGCACCACAGACAGAATCAGTAAGATCCTCCATAAACACAACATCAAAACAGCATTCTGCACAAACAGAAAAATATCCACCATCCTTAGAAACCCCAAAGATAAAATTGAATTAGAAAATCAAGGAGTATACGAAATCCCATGCACCACTTGTCCCACCACATACATCGGACAAACCAACAGAAGAATAAGTGCACGCATTGAAGAACATAAGAACTCAGTCAAAAAAGAGGAACCAACATCTTCCCTGGTCCAACACCTTAAAGCCACAGGACATGAAATTGACTTTAAAAATACCAGAACCATTGCCAAAAGTGAACATTTTAATAACAGAATAATCAGAGAAGCCATCGAGATAGAAAAACGCCCACACAGCATGAACAAGCGAGATGATACCTCCCGCCTACCAGCCATTTGGAAACCCGCCCTTATTGACAAACGACTCCCTAACACAAAAAATGATACCAGACCCACACTCACAAAAACCACACAGGATGTCACCACCACACATCCACGCAAAAAACAAACCCAAAGCCACACCGATGATGAGGCACGACCACAAACCAGAAGCCAGACCACAGCTGCATCATTAGCCACTTTAAACCCCTCCAATCCATACATGAAGCAAACTGACACCCTCCATGAAGAGGAGGCACGACCACGAACGCGAAGCCAAAAAATAGCAAGGCAGCCCAAAATCTTAAACCCCTCTGCAACTCAGACTAACCTGAGCACAACCACACACCAGCCAACAGAACAGCCAATCAGAGCACAGCCAACCCCCCAGCCAATCAGAGCACAGCCAAGCCCCTAACCAATCAAAACACACCTCCACCCAATCAGAACGTGGGAGAAAACCCGAACAACCAAAGACCCATATATATATATATATATATATATATATATATATATATATATATACACACACACACACACACACACACACACACACACACACACACACACATACACACACACACACACACACACACACATTAAAAATAAAAGTAAAAATATGACTCTTGGGAATATCCATACTATTAAAACAATGATCACCAGGAGAATGCTTTAAGAGAATAGAATTACATACACACAGAGGTAAAAAAAGGATATATGCAGTGTTATCTTCATTTTAGATGTCAAAAGGGTCTCTCTCTCTCTCTCTCTCCCTCCCTCTCTATTTGCCCTTGGTCTGCCACTCCTCTTCCCCCACTCTCTTTCTTTCTCTTTTCTCCCTCTCTCTCTCGCTCCCTCCCTCTCTCTCTTTCTCTCCCCCCTATCTGCTGCTCACCTGGCAAGCTTTAAACTGTTGTCCAACAAGCTCAGGAGTAAGCAACCTCGTCTCTTTTATGACTCGTGGACTTCAACTCCCAGAATTCCTGAGTCAGCCTAGCTGGGCTAGCTAGCTCTCTCCTGCCCTTCCTGCTTCCTGCTTCCTGCAGAGAGGCAGCAAAGGGAGGAGTTCCGCCCAGTAAGCTTTTCAGCTCTTCGGAGAACACTGTGAGTGCCGCATGCGGTTCCGGAGCCGCAGGTTGCCGACCTGTGGGCTAGGCAGATGTTGTTGCTTAATGATGTTAAAGATATTGTTATTATTATTTTAGGGGTTCATAGATTTGTGTAGATTCAGAATTGGATTTTTAATTCAAATAGTTTAAGAACTGGATGTTCAATTCAGTAATAGGAAGTGTCTTGTCACTTTCCCACAACTCTCTATAATCTCCCAAAGTTGTAGTTCTACACAAGAAGTATTTGAAGAACTGTATTTAAATTTTTAAAAGTTCTGAATCTTTAGAAGAAAGATGAGGGATATGATCTCACAGTGAATGTTGTTTGCTTAAACAGGTCTTATAGAACCAATTTGCCTTCCTAATTTTGGAGAACATTTTCAAGAAGGAAAAATGTGTTGGATATTAGGATGGGGAGCGACAGAAGAAGGAGGTATTCATTTAAGTGTTTGAAAGTGTCTTTTTTTCAACCAAACTTTGTCACATGTGAAAAATTAACTCAAGACATTCCCATTAATATCCTTCTATAAATATAACTTCTCAATAAGTTATATTTTATATTTCTAAAACAGAAAAAGGTTTTAAACACAAAATGGAAATAGAATTACTATGAGCTGCTAATTATTGCTTTATGCACCAATAAACGAATAAATAAATAAATAAATAAATGATTCCTTTTTAGAAATATGAAAATCATCTCCTATCAGCCTTAGCCTGTTTTCTCTAAGGGAAAAGACTGTAGGAGATGCTCCAAACATCGGACAATACCAAATTGTCTACTTCTTAAAGTATAAATACCACACATTACTTTTGCAACGTATGGAAATTTGATTAGTCTATAGCAGGGTGTCAAACTGTTGGCCCGCAGGCCGGTTGCATCATACGGAGGCCACGCCCACCCCAGTTCCAGCAATGCAAAAAAAGTCACGATACGTCACGACACGTCACGTGGCGCAGTGAGTTTGACACCCGTGGTCTATAGTTTGATCTGCATACAATTAATTTTTGACTTTTCACTCTTCTGAATTTTGTATTGCAATTTCTGCTTAAAAATTACACACATTTAAAAAAAATTAAAATTTATTATTATTATTTTATTTTCATCCTACCATTTTATATTCCCCCTTCTCTTTTCCCCACAACAAGTGAATGGGGTTAAGGATGAGTGACTGGCTTATGCCTAAGGCAGGACTAGAACTCACAATTTGCTGGTTTCTATGCCAACCAAAATTGCATCATACTAGGACAAGTCACACATTGTGCTGTGTACAACAAAGGGCATATTATGAAAAATTATACACAACATGAAAATTTAATCTTGTTTTTTGTTTTCAAATTGCAAAAACTATACAATAAGGACTATAGCTGACCATAGATAAAATAAGTCAGATTTGGGAAGACTGCTCCATCTCTACTTCATTCCTGGTCCTGGAAGGTAGTAGGGATTACTTTAGTTGAGATTAATAATTCAATGTTTTGCTCTTTGAATGTCAAGTTAAATGTCAAAAATTTCAGTGCATTAACTCAGTGTTTCTCAACCTTGGCCACTTTAAGATAGGAGGACTTCAACTCCCAGAATTCCCCATGATGGCTGGCTGGGGAATTCTCGGACTTGAAATCCACCCATTTTAAAGTGGCCAAGGTTGAGAATCACTGCATTAGCCTATACATCGTTTTGAATTAGTTCTTTTTGGGACATTAAAATTCCTTCTAAACAAACAAACAAATAAATAAAAATAGTTGATACGTGTGGCCCATAACCTATAAAACAGCAATACATATACATAGCTAACGAATAAACATATTTACTTTATTTATGAATATAAGACTAATAAAATATATTAAATTATAGGAAATCTTCTTAGGATATACTATGTATACTTTATCACAGCTTATAGCTTTTTAAAAAAGCCATCTTAACACAGAAATGAAAAAAAAAACTAATTATTGTCTTGGACTATCAGGAGATACTTCAGAAACAATGAAATACGCTGGTGTCCCTTTAATTTCTAACAAAGTATGCAATCATGGAGAGGTTTATGGAGGAATTGTGGCTTCATCAATGCTCTGTGCAGGTTATTTAAAAGGAGGCATAGATACCTGTCAGGTAAGAACATTTCTTATTGGTACATGTCTAAATTTATTGCTTATAACCCCTATGGAAACTTTGTCATTAAGACATATGCAAACACACTACTTTTAAAGAAAATCTCTACAGAATTTCTACATGACATTTAATGACAATTTTTTTTCATCTCAGCCATAGGAAAAAGTTCATGTATCACATCAGCCTGTGGTCAAATTATAAATGCATGCAAATAGAAATGATGTAGGAGATGTGAGGAAACACCACTAGGAATATTGTAAATTAAGGATTTCCCCCACCACGTCTTGTTTAGGGGAACATAAGAAAAGGAAGGATGGTAAGCATCCAAAGCTTAGCTGTTGAATACAGAAGATCCCAGTTTCAGTTTTTGGCAAGGATCTGCTCCTGCTTCTTACAGAAATATTGTTCTTCAGTTGTGTAAAGCCTGGATAAGGTGGTTTGGGATTCTGGGAGTTGCTTCCCACCCTTTTACAGAAGAAGCCAAGTTGAGGGAAGCAGAAGAGAATAACCATGATCAGCCTGATAGGTTGATCATGGTTATAGCCAAAACTGGCTGGGGAAGTCTGGAAATTGAAATCCACACATCTTCAAGAGGCCAAGGTTGAGAAACACCGAGCTGTATGATAATGACAAAAGGAAGTTTCTTTTTTTTTTGCAATATACATGTCAGTCTCTCAGAAAAGTGATGTTGTGGACTCATCATAGAGACAGAGTCTTCCTCTTCATTTGCAGTTGCTAAGCAGCTGGAGTAAAATCGTACACTTGCTTAATTAATTGCTCTACTGACTTCTAAGATGGTAGTCCTTAAAATATGGTGTAGTTAAAAGGTAGCAAATGTCCTCAAAATTATATGTGCTCAGATAGTGATCAGCGATATTTTTCAGACATGGCCGCACCACGTTATGTTTTTCTGTCTTTTCAGGGAGACAGTGGGGGGCCACTGGCATGCAAAGACATGAATACTTGGAAGTTGGTAGGAACAACCAGCTTTGGGGTGGGCTGTGCAGAAGAAAACAAACCTGGAGTCTACAGCCGCATCACCTCATTTCTGGATTGGATACATGAACAAATGGAGGTTGATTCTCTGATAGTTTCTTTTCCTGGCCTAATCTTATTGTTTTCAATGGGAGCAGGCAGGCAGTTATGTTTCCTTTTGCTCAGTTGCAACCTTTTCCCCCAGGGACATATGTAGTGGGGGATTAAATAGTCAAGGTGGCAGCCGCTACTGTGTGCTCAGACCCCAACCCTTTTTGGCATCCATCAACACATATAAAAAGAAATGAACTTCAATGATGTGGTTGCATTTGCCATCTTAATTCCTTTCTCCCTGCATATGTTCGTATTTCTCTGTTGCAAATACGTGAGTGGCACAACAGAAAGGGATTTTGCTTAATCTGCAGCTGATTTCATACTATATTAAGTTGACAATTGTAAGAGCAATGGTTGAAATCCAGTGTTTATTATGTGGGTGGGAAGAAACCCAACCTTAATCTGTGTAGGAGGGGAGACTTTGATAAAATGCAAGATTTATGCCAGAAGGCTGAGTGTCAATTGAACTTTGTTGACATTTGGCAAATAGGATAGTCCTGCCGCACCCCAATATACTTCTATTTATCCAGGGATAAAACAGGAGAAAGATTAGATTTGCAGAGCTATGCTTAATCATTTCCTGCTTGGTTTTGCATTGCCAATTAGAGCCAATTATTTCAGGAACATGAGTACATATTCCTAAGAGAGTAGCAGGCTTCATGCGGGACACCTCCCAATGCACTATTTCACTTATCTGCAGAATAACAAACCGCTTAAGGTGATCTAGTCATCATACTGATGTTATCACTCTTTCTGAGCAAAACTGGCTTAATCCTTAGACTATACAATAGGTGTAGTAAAGGAATGAACAAGCTCTGTTGTAAATGAAACAGAATCAAACATGATATGGAGGTGTAATAAAACAATGTAAAGACCAAATGTGGGTATCACGATTGATATGCCCATAGGAACTGTGATCCCTGACTTACATAACAGCTGTTAGACTCTCATCAATGAATAATAGATGAATAAACAGCCACTGTTTTAATTAAGCCATTGAAAGAAGTTTAGAATGTAATGACAATTTAGGAAGAACATTTGATGTACACAAAAGCTGCATGAATGTTAGCCTAGCACAGGGGTCAGCAACCTTAAACAATCAAAGAGCCATTTGGACCCATTTCCCACAGAAAAAAAAAAACCACTGGGAGCCACAAAACCCTGCTGCTTCCCCTCCCAGCACTCTACTCCTGCTGCTGCTTACCCCCCTGTGCAGAGTGCCCTGCCGCTGCTTTTCCCTCCTACCTCCCCTGCACCGAGCACCCTGCTGCCATGGCTTTTCCCAGCAGTGAAGATGGAGTTTGGGAGGCAGCGGCAGGGCATAGCCCAGGCATGGCCCAGCAGCAAAGCTCGTCCTCCCCACTCAAGGTGCAGCAGCAGGATTATTCTCAATAAGGCGGGTGCAGATGAGCGAGCAATGCACCTAGCTCTTATTGTTTGAGAGCAATCCCGCTTCTGTGCCTCTGCTTTCTTCAACCATGATTCCCCCCCCTCCCCAGCCAGCCAGCTCTTCATGAATTTAACTTGGACATAAAAATGTTTCACCACCTTTATCAATATTACAAAGAAAAGTTTAAGAACTTTAATTGTACTTGATCGGGTTCAGTCATTTTCCTTCAGTCACTCTCTTGGCATCTTGGAGGAGGACTGGGAGCCGCAGTAGAGGAATGAAAGAGCTGCATGCGGCTCCAGAGCCACGGATTGCCGACCCCTGGCCTAGCACCTTTCCCATGGTTTGTCTATGCATGGATCGTCTGATTCTGAGTCAATATCTTTCCATAAATTTTGGAGATACTGATTATGAAGATCTATGTGGATGTGTTCACTAGTATTATCTCCACGTGAACTTGCCACATGTGTTTTACAGTAAACGGCATTAACAATCACAGCATCCTTCTGTAATGAAGAACGTAGTTATCAGTTATGATGAATCTTAACTTTTAATTTTTTCAACAAAAGACAAAGGCACAAGTGGTCAATTGATTCCCATGAATTAGAGTAAGTGAAATATTTTAAGTACTTGGGCAAAATATTTGAAGCCTCTAGGAAATTAACAGCCCAAGCAAATTCTGCCACTTCTACTGCCCAAAGGAGTACACTATAAACTAAATTTTATAGGCAACAGGGGACAAATTACATTCCAGCATCAGTCACGTTGTTTATGGCCAATTTATGTGGGATGAAACTTGGCCTATATACAAACCTAAGGGCTTATGAAAGCACTTAATTTCCTTAGGACTTTGTTCAGGATCCCAAAATGCACTCCTAATGCAATCTTGATTTTTATCCATAGAGAGAAGAGTGGAAGGGAGACGGTTAGCATCTTCATCATCATCATCATCATCATCATCATCATCATCATCATCATCATGCATTCATCTAAATGCTCTACAATTCATTTTCAGCTTTTTTTGTACTTTTGTACAAAGGTGCTGCAATTTTTAAGTTTAATCCATCTATCATGTCCTTCACTAGGGCTGGTTTAACACTATCAACATCTGCCTATCCCAGGTCCTTTAGAAAGACTTGCTAAGTGGATAAAAATGCCAAACCCAATCAAACATCTGGGTGACTGTGCAACCAACCTTAATTAGAGAACACAGATTATGTGGTCCCTGCTAGCCAACCCCAAAGCCAAACTGTGTTCAGATCAGTTGTTTATTACACAGTTGGACAGATGTCCAGACTGGATTTGCCATTTTTATCTACCTATTGAGTCCTTCCCAAGGACTTGGGATAAATAGATGTTTGATGGTGTTTAAAAATACTGCAGCAACATATAAGCTGCCTTTTGCAATTGACTAATGGTGAATTTGTCAATGACGATGGTATTCAAGTGATGCTCCAGTTGTTTTGGGATTGCACCTAAGTTATCTATGACTATGGGTACTATTTTGCTTTCTTTTGCCACAGTCATTCTATTTTTATTTGCAGGACTTTATATTTTATTATCTTCTTTCTCTTTTCTTCTACTTCTCCAGGTATTGCCATGTCCACTATCCAGACTTTTTTGTCTTTCTTATCAACAGTTGTTAAGTCTGGGTTGTTAAGTGTCAGATGCCTATCTGTTTGAATTCTAAAGTCCCAAAGCACTTTTACTTCTTCATTTTTTATTACTTTTTATATTTTGTAGTCCCACCAGGTCTTACCTGCAGGCAAATGGTATTTCTTGCAGATATTCCAATGCACCATTATTGCTACTTTATTGCATCTTTGCAATCAGTCTGTGTCTTCCATTGTACCATTGATTTTTGCACAAACTTCTGATATTTCTTACTGTTATTTGTAAGCACTTGATTATTCAATCATGTAGCAGAGAGTTGAATGCCTTCTTGTAATCACTCCACACTATATACAAGTTGATCTCCCTCTTCTTGCAGTTTTTCACAATCATCTTGTCAATTAGTTGTTCTTTTGTTTCTCTGCTATTTAGGTACTTTCCTTTCTGCTCAGGTGGAGAAAGCTTGTTTTCCACTAGATGTTGTTGGACTATATCAGCTATTACACTAGTTAGCAATTTGAAAGTTGTTTGCAAGCAAGTAATTAGCCTGTACAGTAGTTGCCTGGTGCTACCCCTTTCGTTGGATCTGTCATTATCAGGTACATTTTGCCAGATGTTAGCCACTCTTCAATTTCACTTCCTTGCAGTACATTTTTAAATTGCTTGGCAAAAAGTAAGTGTAGAGCTGTCAGATGCTTCAACCAAAAATCATGCAGTTCATCTTCACCCGGTGCTGATCAATTCTTGGTTTTCCTTGCCTTTTTCTACATCATTTCTGCTGTTATTACAAGTTCTTTTATTTCTTCTTTATTCTTATCCACCTCCTTTAGCCAAGTTGCATTCTTGTTGTATTTCTTTGGGTTATTCCATATTTGTGCTTGTTGAGTTATTCACTGCAGTTTCTCCATTGATGGATTGCTAGAAATGTTTCTGATTAGATTGAAATTGGAGATTCTGCCTATAATTTGCAATTCAAGCTTTGTATCTGCTGATCCTCTTGGCTATAGCTCTTATTTGCAATTTTATTATTATTTTATTATTTTCCTCATTTCTAAGTAGTATTTTTTGATTGGGTATTTTTTGGTCTTCTTGTTCTTCAACTTTTTTTTATTTCATATGTTCTAGCTTGCTTTCATTTGATCTCAGCTTGCTGATCTTATTTTCTAGCCTAATCTTCCATTTTGGGTGTGTATCCCAGATATTCAGTTGTAACTGCAGCTGTACTATAAATTAGTTGGTTTGTTTCATGTCGCAACTGGTGCTTAGATTTGATATTACAATATTGGCATCTTTTAATGCTTGGGCTAGCTATTTCTTTGGAACAAGCTTCAATTTAAGCAACCTTATTCTATTGTTTTTGTACTGTTCTAAATATTCAGTTGTACTTTCTTTCAATTTTTCTACTTCTTTAGTGATAGAGCTTTGTTCTTTGTGAAGAAAGGGAGACAGTGCCTGGTTTTTAATGAAAACAATTCTATATCTGTGCTGGCTTCCGCTACTACCAACTCCCTCTGGTTTGCCTCTACAGTCTGAGGTACTTATAGCAAGGCTTTGATTTCTTTGCCCTGTTCAGACTTTTGTAGGTCTTCCAATGCTGCTTCTATGGATACTTTATTTTGTATTATAAATCATTGATCTGCTAGCCTTTGTTCTGTTATTTCTGATTCTGGATGTTGTTTTTCCGGACTTGGTGCATTCATTTCAAATATTCTCTTCTTGTTGGACTTAATAACAGATCATTGTTTCTTTGTTTTCTATCACTGCATATTTGCGATGAGTAAACACCTTTCCCTCCAGTAGTTCTGCAACTGCTGGCCTTGGTTGCTCAGCCAACAGTCCTAAGTCTGATAGCCTGTTTTTCACCAAATGCCCAGGAACTCCAACAACTAGCATGGTCGTTGTTGACCTGGGCCATGACCAAGCCAATATGAGTTTCAGTAATTTACATCTCACCATATTTTTTTATGGGAAAGACACTCTTTGTCTGACTCCTCTGATGAGATGTGTCCAGTATGGTTGAACCTCTGGTTTAGATCTTATCTTCCTCAGAGTACACAAGCTCTGCAACCATGTCAAGACAGTGCCTCAGTGGGTATCAGGGTAGCCCATAATTGGTCAGAGAACAGAAATTGTGTGGTCCCTGGTAGGAAGCACCAGAGTCAAGTTGAGTTCAAATCAGTATTATTATATGGTTGTTGCACAGTCAGAGAGATGTTCAGACTGGGATTTGGCATTTTTGTTTACAAATCAACTCATTTCCAAGGACCTGGGATAAGCAGATATGGATGTTTGATGGTGTAAACCACCCAGTGGGGTACTGTGGTTGCTAGTAGATTTGAAGTTGTTATTCCGAATGTTGATCCAGTGATTTAGCTATTACATCACAGTGAAATGCATTTAATTAATTAAAATCTGCATTCAAGGCAAAGTAGAGAAAGCTGCAAAATGAAATTTTGGTGAGAAAAAGCAAATAATCCTTTAAAAACAGCTCACAAAGAGAAAGTTTATTCTGTCCTACAATAGGGAATCTGAAGTAAACCTCTCCTGGGAAAGGAAATATCAATCTTTGGGATGATCTCACCTTCTGGTCCTCAATATTGACTAGATCCTCAGTAGTCCTGATTCTGGTTGTTGTTACTAAATGCTAGTTTGGTGTATAATAGGGCTGGCCTCATCCATGAACTGATAGTGGATGAGGCAACTAATCTGGCATGTATAACCAGGTTGGATCCAGCAGGGGATGTTTCCATCTTTGAAATATACCTACCTGGGATTTGAGTCTGAAATCAATTGCAGTCCTATACCAGGGAGGGTGGGACTGTGTTATGAGAAGGTGATCTAATGATTTTTAGGGACACTGTGCCATATATTAGCCAAATGTAAAGTTTCATGATTGAAGTCGGGCCCTAGAAAGCAGTTGGATTTGTTGCTGCTATACCAGCCTTCTTATCTGAGCTGTCTTACTCTGTTGTGGAGTTAGTAATAGTAATAGTAGTAAAGTTGGAAGGGACCTTGGAGGTCATCTAGTCCAACCCCCTGCTCGGGCAGGAAACCCTACACCATTTCGGACAAATGGCTGTCCAGTCTCTTCTTAAAAACTTCCAGTGTTGGAGCATTTACTGCTTCTGGAGGCAAGCTGTTCCACTGATTAATTGTTCTCACTGTCAGGAAGTTTCTCCTAGTTCTAGGTTGCTTCTCTCCTTGATTAGTTTCCACCTGTTGCTTCTTGTCCTGCCTTCAGGTGCTTTGGAAAATAGCTTAATTCCCTCTTCTTTATGGCAGCCCCTGAGATATTGGAATACTGCTATCATGTCCCCCCCTTGTCCTTCTCTTCGTTAAACTAGACATACCCAATTCTCGCAACCGTTCCTTATATGTTTTAGCCTCCAGTCCCCTAATCATCTTTGTTGCTCTTCTCTGTACTCTTTCTAGAGTCTCAACATCTTTTTTACATCGTGGTGACCAAAACTGGATGCAGTATTCCAAGTGTGGCCTTACCACGGCATTGAAGAGTGGTATTAATACTTCACGTGATCTTGATTCTATCCTCTGTTAATGCAGCCTAGCACTGTGTTGGCCTTTTTGGCAGCTGCAGCACACTGCTGGCTCATATTTAGGTGATTGTCTACTAGGACTCCGAGGTCCCTCTCACAGTTACTACTATTGAGCATGGTGCCACCTATGCTGTACTTGTGCATTTGGTTTTTCTTGCCTAAATGTAGAACCTTGCTTTTTTCACCATTGAATTTCATTTTGGTAGTTAGTGCCCAGTGTTCAAGTCTGTCCAGATCCTTCTGTATCTGAAGCCTGTCTTCTGGAGTGTTGGCTATTCCTGCCAGCTTGGTGTCGTCTGCAAATTTGATGAGTTCCCCATCTATCCCTTCATCCAAATTGTTGATGAAGATGTTGAAGAGTACTGGTCCCAGAACAGAGCCCTGGGGCACCCCACTACACACTTCCCTCCATATAGATGCAGTTCCATTGAGGACCACTCGCTGAGTACGGCCGTCAGCCAGCTACGGATCCATCTGGTGGTGATTCTGTCTACCCCACATTTTTCTATCTTATCAAGTAGTAGGTTGTGATCTACTTTATCAAATGCCTTACTGAAGTCCAAGTAAATTATGTCCACAGCATTCCTCTGATCCACTAATTTTGTCACTTGGTCAAAGAATGCAATAAGAGTTGTCTGGCATGATCTATTTTTGACAAACCCATGTTGGCTTTTAGTAATGACTTTGTTTGCCTCTAGGTGTTCGTTGATTCGTTGTTTGATTATCTTTTCCAGGATCTTCCCATGTATTGAGGTCAGGCTGATAGGTCTGTAATTTCCTGGATCCATTTTTTTTCCTTTTTTGAGGATGGGAACTACATCAGCTCTTTTCCAGTCCTCTGGTAGTTCCCCTGTGTTCCAGGATCTTTGAAAAATATAGTTCAGTGGCTCCGATATCACATGTGCCAGTTCCTTGAGAACTCTGGGGTGTAATCCATCTGGTCCTGGAGATTTGAACTCATCTAGGCTGGACAGGTGCTCACTAACCATTTTCTTGCCTATCTTAACTTGTGTTTCTGTTTTGTTTTTTATTTCACTATTTTTGATAGTTTGGTCTGTTTTTTCCCTTTGTGTAAAGACAGATGCAAAAAATGAGTTAAATAGTTCTGCTTTCTCCCTGTTGCTTGTCACCTTCTTGCCACTTCCACCCACTAATGGACCAATCATTTCCTTCCCTTTTTTCTTGTTTTTTACATGTTGAAAGAAGCTTTTTTTGTTATTTTTGACTTTGGTCGCAAGCCTCAGTTCATTTTGAGCCTTGGCTTTCTTCACTTCATCTTTGCAGGCTCGGGCTATTTGCTGATATTCTGACTTAGTTATGTTCCCCTCTTTCCCCTTTCTATACTTGTCCTTTTTATCTTTCAATTTGTCAGAGAGTTCTTTATGCAGCCATGCTGGTTTCTTTTGAGAGCTGTTATTTTTCCTCTTTGTTGGTATTGTGCTAGACTGTGCTTTTATTCTCTCATTTTTCAAAATTTCCCAAGCTTCTTGAGTTGTTTTCCCCTTGAGGATTCTCATCCATGGAATCCTTCCCAAGCCCTCTCTAAGTTTATTGAAATTAGCTCTCTTGAAGTCCAAGACTCTAGTTTGACTGTGTTCTATTGGTTGTGCTTCTATAATGTTGAATTCTAATAGTGCATGATCACTTCCTCCCAGGGTTCCTATGGCTCCAACACCGTCTATAATTTCATCTCTGTTAGTGAGAATTAGATCCAAAATGGCTAATCCCCTAGTTCCATTCTCTACTTTTTGGGAGACAAAGTTGTCTGCTAGGTTTGCCAGGAACCTGTTTGATCTTCCACTTGGTGCGGAGTTTGTCTCCCAGTTGATGTCAGGGTAGTTAAAGTCCCCATTACTATTGTGATGTGCTTCCTACATACCTTAGTTAGCTGACTAGCAAAAAGTTCATCTATTTCCTCTGTTTGGTTGGGTGGTCTGTAGTATACACCTATGGCAATGTCATTTTCCCCCCCCTTTTATATTGACCCAAATGCATTCAAGACAGTTTTTATCATTGTTGTACTCTATTTCTGTGAAGATGTAGTTATTTCTTATATAGAGAGCAACTCCACCTCCTCTTTTATTTGGTCTGTTTCTTTTAAATAATTTAAATCCCTCTAGCTGTGTGTTCCATGTGTGAGTTTCATCCCACCATGTTTCCGTAATGGCAACAATATCGTATCTGCCCTCATTAACCTGAATTTCTAGTTCACCCTGTTTGCTGTTCATACTTTGTGCATTGGTGTATAAACATTTGAGTCCTTTGTGGGTGGCCCTGTGTTTCCTTTCTACATAACCTGTGTGGTGCCTGAGTTCCCCTATTGTCTTACCACCTATTTGGTTAGTGCACTTTATATGGCACTCGCTATTAGAGGCTTCATTTTGATTGGTAGCAAGGTTGGTATTCTTGTCCACACACACATCTGTGCTACATGCACTGATAGCCCTATAGTTTTTAAATTGCCGGGGACAGGGTTGTTCCATATCAATTAACTCCCTGTCCCCGCTGTTTAGTTTAAATTTCCCTCCAGAAAATCTGTGAATTTATAGCCGAGTAACTCAGTCCCTTTTTTTGATGGATGCAAACCATCTCTTTTGTACATCTTTTGATTGGACCAGCTACTGACATCGTGACTAATATATCCAAAGCCTTCCCCTTTACACCATTCCTTTAGCCACATATTGAATTGTGCTATGCGCTGGCCTTTTCCGTTTTGCTCCTTATACACTGGTAAAACCTCTGAGAAAGTAAGCCTACAGCCTATTCTGCTAAGTTCCTTCCCCAAGCTCTGGAAATCATTCTGCACAGAGAGTACATCTTTTTGGGACAGATCATTAGTGCCAAGGTGTACAATAGCCTCCACATCACAGTTCTTGCTGCCATTCTTGATTATTTTAGAAATACGCTTCTTGTCCCTACTGGCAGTAGCACCTGGAAGACACCTGACCTCTTTCAAAGCCTCTGTGTCCTTTCCTAAATTTACATCCCTTATAATTGAATCACCTACCAGAAGGTAGCTTCTCTTTTTGGGAGCCTTTCTATTCTTGCATGACTGATGTGCAATACCTGATTCACACTTCTCCCTATCAAAATCTAGTTCTTCATCTCGGACCACAATCCCCTGCTTATTTGAGTTATCTTCACAAATACCTTTACCAGTCTCCTTAATGTCCCTAATAGTAGAATAGTAGAATCTCCTAGACCAGTAGTTCTCAACCTTTTCTTCACCATGGGCCCCTTTAAATACCTTTTGTAGCTATGGACCACTACCACATACCCCCAAGACTTAACTCAAGATTTAAATCATAACATTTCTTCAAGCCTTTGCAGACCCCCCGTGACAACATCATGACCCCCCCAGGAGTCCATGGACCACAAGTTGAGAACCACTGTCCTAGACTGTTGGGTCTGTGAGACTTCAATCTACAGTCCTGAGGCATTGAACTGGAGGTGGCTTGAGAGTTCACAGCCAACATGGCAACTCCAGACCCGAACATAAATTACACAACTGTCACACATCAGGTCTTTTTCTTTTCCTGAAACAGTTTCAATGTGATTTGAAAACACAGAATGTTACAGTTAGTCCTTTGTCATGGTATGATCACACTGGGGTCTGCATGACTTGAAGAGACAAAAAAAAAAGTGTATCTTAAAAGACGTAAAAGATGGTGAAAAATGTTTGCTATTAAGAACATAAGGTCCTAAGTGTCAGGGAGTGATCTGCCACTGCCCTGGCAACAGAGAAATAACTTTGTCTACTGTCTATTTTACTGTCCTGAAGAGGCATCAGGAGGACACTCCATTGAAAGTATATGCATGGTTAGGAACATAATGGATCTAGCTGATCATTCAAACCTGATCATCAGGTCCTGGGTTGTGAAGTTTTTTAAAACTCAAAATGAATACTTTGAATTGGACAATATATTAAATTTGGACCAGTCAACTTCTCAAAACTATTCTGTACTATAAGTGTATGTGATGTTACTAATGCATGTAGATTGAGCATAATGAATACTTTGTGACTTAAATCAGAGACGTATATTTGTGAAATAACTCATGAATGGCTAACTCTGTGCTGCCACATTAGAAGGAAACTTCATTATAATGTCTAAATAATCTTCAGAGGCAATCCCACACTTTATATATATCAAAAAATTGATATATAAATTATATACATATATGCAGTATTTCCTCGTGATCATTTCAGTTACTTTAAAATATGTTTCTCGATGGAATATTTATAATTGGTTCCATATTGTTTAACTTTTGAAAGGTATTGCAAGAATTGTATAGTAACAGACTATACTATAAAAGAAAATAAACAAAAGCAAAAATAGAAGACAAGAAATTCTATGGAGAACTAAAAGGGATTCTGCAATAAAGTACTGTATGGACATTAGATCTCTCAATTCTAAATGAGCTTGCAGATATCATCATAAAGTCCTTTTCTCTATTCCTTGTGGAATCACAAAGAACGGCTACAGTGCTAGAAAATTGGAAAAGATCAAAGGTTTTTATCTTCAAAGAGAATGCCAA